AATACAATAATGGCCTGACACAATACAAGCCTGACACAGTACCAGCGTGACCCAATATTAATATTCCTATTAATAAGTGATTAATTGTCATGGATGTTCAAATTGCTGCCTTATGGGAATTTTCAGAGTAGAAAAGGTCCCCAGCACCCCATGCTCAGAACAAGCAGGTAAAAGGGCGGCCACAATTAATGTGTGACTGGGCTCATGGTGCGTCATTGTACCGGCATGGCCCTCTGTGGGAAATTATTTGTATTTATGTTGCACTTAGCCAGTGTTAAAGCAATGTTGACTCAACATCATCAGGACCATTGGAATATGTCAGGTCATCGCCAGTTGGAGACAAGTGAATGTTGATTATGCTAGATTTGGGAATAGGCTCAGGTGCCCAGTTTTGGATACAGTGCCCGTATCATGTAGTGTTACCCCAAGGATATTAGGATGTGTAACAGTAAATGCAGGGATAATTCTAGGAACGGCCCTAATGGGTTTTGGCCTATAAACCTATAAAAAGGGCCTACATTTTCAAAAGCAGTGGGACTTTATAACATTGTATTATGTAGGCATCACCTATTAATTGGTCCAAATTTCACTTAACAGAAAATTCCCAGTATGATCCCTGTAAATGACATGGCAGCATATTCCTGTCTCTTGTGGACTGAACACACATATTCCTGACTCCAACTGGTGCGGTACCGTGCACTGTACCTTCATGGAAGGATGTATCGAGTAGATGCAGTCATCTCCCCATCTACAGGAGCTGAGCAGAGTGGAACTGTTAGAGCACAATATTATCTACCAAATTTGCATATTTATAGCAAACTCTAACATTTTATTGGAATAATTGCTTCTTTACTACATTTCTAAAATTCTAAACCATCAGTATTCAGTAAAAAATTAGATTGTAAACTGCTCAGGTTGAAGGTGAGGAAGAAATTGATCGGTATCTGAGCAGGAGCGTTATCCTTGACACGTCTGTGGTGTAATTGCATACAGTCAACCCTATCGTGAGCTGATGGTCTTCCAGGCTGAAATGTGAACTAAGAAACAGAATGAAACATGATGAGTTCCCCTCCCCATCCTTCTTGGCTGAAACTAATGGACACACTCGACAGTAAACTTGCACAAGTCTCTAAGGCAATAATTATTAGTGTAAGTCATAAGAAATAGATTATGTAAGAACCAGTTGTCCCTATAAGAGACTGTACTGTCCACATATCTAGACATGCCTATAAGGGGGATAGAATTACTACATATCCATGGACGTTTCTTTCAGTACAGCCTTTTAGCAAGGCTAACTAGACAGGATCTGAAGTCTGTAAGTCGAGTGTCAGCAGGGAGGTGGTTGTAGTGGAGACAAAAATCAATCTCAGTGGTGCTGGGTCACTGGGTTTTTCATGTAGCGACTGATTTTTCTCAAGATGTTAATTGAATCCAAAACATTGTTCCACCTTGCGAGGACATTGCAGCTGTTATTGATAAGACTGATGAATGGCTGCTGGTTCAGTTCTTGTTGTTTGAACTCTGGTGGTTATTGATGGAATTCTGTCTCACATTTTTTCTTTTACATGTGAAACTCCAGGCTCTTTTTTTATTGCTGATACCTCCTACACAAGTTAGACTGTCCAATTGAACGTCATTTCCAAGTATTTTCATCAAGCGTTCAATACTACAGTATCATGTGACATACAGCTGTAACAGCGGAGACTGTTGGTGGAGTAGTAACTACCCTGAGACATTTCAGGTGACATAAATGGCAAACTTGGATAGTAATTGGGGAAAGTCAAACTTTAATGGCGTGTTTAAAGCACAAGATGAGTAATGGTGAAGGAAGCCAGCTTAGTATCAGCCATTTCTCCAACCTGCATATTCCTCCATTTTGTATCGACAGGCACCACATTTCTCAACTGCTTGGTTATGGCACTCTTTATTAGATCGGTGTCCAGAAATATGACTTGATTCAATTTCACTCTGATCAGCTTCACCATCCTGTCTCCCTTGTTTCAAATATTTGCTTCAATTCCTCTAAAAGCAAAACTATTTTTTGTTTCTGTTCCTGATGGCATCATCCACAAGATCCTGTTTAGATGGCTATTTACAATATTGGAGCTCGTGATCAGATCAGAAGTTGGTTGAATCATCTCTTTTCTATTTGCGGGCCAATTCCATTTAGTTTATTATTTGTTGATGGTATTGATTCTGTTGGCTTACCGGATGTGTCTAGTCCACCTGTGGGAACCTTTGTTATGATGGAAACCCACTGTTAGAAGTTACGTATTAATGTTAAACCTAATGTAACAAAATATACTCACACACAAAAGAAACGCAAGTGGTTTTAAGCAAATAGGCAACAAACACGGAACCATAAATTGATACGAGTTTTAGCAAGTAGTGAAGCCTGATGGTGTTATCAATATTTTTGGTTGCATTTTGGAAGCCCCGAGTAAAAACGCAACATGAAAAACAAATTCAGAGAAACCAGGTTATCGGACGTTTGGAAGCTGGAGAGTCTGTCCAAGATGTTGCCCGTCATTACAACGTTAACATAACCACAATTTACCGTCTCCTGCATCGATACAATGCTACACAGACCACCGATGACCTTCCTCGGAGCGGTCGTCCTAGGGTCACCACACCTCGACAAGATCGGCAGATTACCCGTCAACACCAGCGACATCCGTTCCTAACTGCAAGTGAAAGTGCTCGATAGACCATAGGAACACAAAATCGACACATTAGCCGGGAAACTGTGATCCGACGTCTCCGTTCAAACAACCTCAAATGTAGCCGACCAGGATGTCATCCTGTTCTCCAACCATGTCATCTAGTAGAAATATTTGCCCTTTTTAAGGGTTTTGCTGTATGTTATCATTATAAAGACTAGTGGTCAAAAACTGTTAGTTTCTATTGCTGGAGTCTGTGTGCCTTGTAGTGTTAGTGTGTGACAGGAACGTATATATGCCCATCTTTTCATGATATGAAACCCAAAGTGTGCCAAGGAATCGCACACATCAAACTGGTGCCAAAATACCTGATTAAGCCCCACGTTGTATGTTCAGTGGCAGCGATAGAAACTAACAGTTTTAGTCAACTAGTCCTTATTATGATAACATATAGCAAAATCCTTAAAAAGGGCCAATTTCTACTAGTCCTTATGATACCTTAGCTATTGGGCAGTTTGGCAAGGATTCTAGGACTAGTGCCAATTTCTAACGCTGAGTGGGTATTTTAGGATGAATGCATGTGGTTCTGATGTATGTATTTGGGTGTCAGTTCCAGGACAGGACAGGACATGATGATACAGAAGAGGAGACATATATGTGGAGTAGCGTGTAGGATAGGGAGCCTTGTGTCAATGTGGAGTAGCGTGTAGGATAGAGAGCCTGGTGTCAATGTGGAGTAGCGTGTAGGATAGAGAGCCTGGTGTCAATGTGGAGTAGCGTGTAGGATAGAGAGCCTGGTGTCAATGTGGAGTAGCGTGTAGGATAGAGAGCCTGGTGTCAATGTGGAGTAGCGTGTAGGATAGAGAGCCTGGTGTCAATGTGGAGTAGCGTGTAGGATAGAGAGCCTGGTGTCAATGTGGAGTAGCGTGTAGGATAGAGAGCCTGGTGTCAATGTGGAGTAGCGTGTAGGATAGAGAGCCTGGTGTCAACCAGGAAGGCCTCAAGGCCACACTCTTTCATTTTGTGTTTCACAGATTTACTTCTGCTTTTGCACACAAGGTTAGGTCCAAATAAAAATAAAGTAAATTGCGATGTCAATCATTTTTTTTTTTTTATATGAAAGTCATTCAATCCAGACAATCCAGTGATTGACATCATGAGCATCGATCCACACATATGGAATACGATGACACGGTAAATAATCGAGTCTGGACCAGACAATCCAGTAATTGACATCATGAGCATCAATCCATGCATTTGGGATACAATGACATGTTTTAACCAAGTCAGCGAGCCTGACCATCCGTTCCAAAGGTCACCTCTCACGACAAGCATAGTCGCCTCTCACGACAAGCATAGTCGCCTCTCACAACAAGCATAGTCACCTCTCACGACAAGCATAGTCACCTCTCACGACAAGCATAGTCACCTCTCACGACAAGCATAGTCACCTTTTACGGCAAGCATGGCCGGGTTGCCACACTTAAATTCAGTGTGCACAGCCACAATAGTGGTAATGTCCTTATGACCATCAGTCTGTGCCAAACACTTCGGAGGGGACTAACGGGATCGGGTGGTCAGGATCACTGAGTTGGTTAATGCATGTCATGGTATCCCAATTGGGTAGATCAATGTTCCCGATGTCAATCACTGGATTGTCTGGTCCACACTCAATTATTTACAGACCGCCGTCACATAGCTTGAATATTGCTGAGTGTGGCGGTAAACAACAAACAAACAAACAAAGTTTTGAGCCTACTAGCCCTACTTGCCTCCATTCTGTAGATGTTGCTATGTGGACTGTTATTACCCGAGCTTATTAGACGGAAAATAATTTGACTAGGCATGGTCTTCCAGGCTAGACCAGTGGTTAATGTTGTAAACTGTGTAACATGCATATTGTTTCGTATAAAATGTCGACCAATGATGCTAGGATTTTATGGATGTATGGACATATGGGCATATTATCTCATCCTTAATGAAGTTGACCTCTGAGTTGATCAGCTATGATGGAAGTTAACATTGTGCAGTTCAAGACAGCTGACTCAGTTAAAGTTGAACACAGTAAACTACGTTGATGATAAACACGCTTACAACGAACTGACGGGTATAACAAACTATTTCTTGGTCCCGTCCATTTGCTGTATATATGTTGTACATATGCTTATATGTATAACGAACTAGGGTTATAAGAATAAAAAACCTTGTGGTCCCTTTGAGTTCGTTATAACCGTAGTTTACTTTATATAGTTTTTCTTGCCCCCAATTGGCCATACTCCGTGTACAAACAGTGGGTGAATGATCTGATAACAGTGTAACGGTTTATTTATCTACTTTCAGCATGCGGCGGAACTCGAGAAGAAGCAGAATGAAGGAGAGAGCAGAAAACTGCTGGGTTCCGAGATTCAGTATGGCCTGGTGGTACAGGTAGGTGTGACCTACAGGAGGGGAAGTTACATGATGCTGGTCAATCTGGTGGCAGGGGCCACCTAAAATGGGCTTCACACGTTGTACCTATGTTGGGAATCAAACCCAGGCCTTCAGCATGATGAGCCAAGTGTCCAAGTACATGACTGCTTGAAGGATTAGGAAGAGGGATGGGCGAGTCAGATATTACATTCTCACAGGTTCACATCGGGAGGAAAGTCATTATCACCATTGAGACTTTCACAACTTACAAAAATGCTGAGTGGCATATTTTCACAAAAATATCCTGAAGTATGTAAATGATTTTCTTTGAAGACATGAATATGAATGTTAAAAAGAACGCTTGTGCTTGGAGGAATTAAAGTTGAGCTATCCCAGCAGATCAATACCCAGCAACAAGACTTGAGCGCTGCTGGTTCTAGAGCAACAACTCCTGTCAGTTGGTAAAGGGCACCTGCTGCAAGATATGCACCGCCCAGTAGAGACTCTTTAGTCCCCAGTAGAGAGATGAGGAAGCCATAGCCATCACATACAGATTGTTGTGATGTGATGCCGTTGGAAACATATCATTCATCATGCTTTTCACATCAATGTAAGATTCTTCTGTTTGTAGATAGGGAAATTAAGGCTGAATTTGGAAACATTTTCATTCAGCTGTTACATGTTCCTACTTCTTTGGCTTAATGAGGTCTTTAGAGGTTGACAAGATTCTTGTTAAGATTGTCCAGGGTAATTTCAACATGGGAAAACCAACATTAGTCCAATAGTCTCAAACACGATTTACTACCTTCACAGCTCCCTCCCCTAATGTTATCTTCATGCAAGGAGGCATAACTGGTTGTCCTCATGCTTCAGCCTGTCCACATGCAAAGCGTAGTTTACTCGCCTGTCCCAGGCTGGTTGCTGTAGGACAGGCTTAACCAACTGTACCCAGGGTTTAGCATGACACACAAATGTGCATCCAGTACGCATAAATGTAGAGAATAGAGGCAGAAAAAATACTGTGTCCCAAGGGATGCATAGTTATGAGCAGTTATGAGTGTCTGTTATTTCATCCATCAATCATGACGACTGTCCACTTGATCCAGCGTTAGAAACAAACAGTTTTAGTCCACTAGTCCTTACAATGATAACAAAGAGAAAAAAACTTAAAAAGAGCAATTTCTACTCATCCTTATGATACCTTAACTAATGGGCTGTTTGGCAAGGACTATAGGACTAGTGCCAGTTCCAAAATAATTATCTAAACGTACAGTACACAACACCATTCCATTGCTTTACAGGACCCTCATATTGCCTGCAAGGACCCTTAAAATTAATTATTGGGGGTCCCCTGGACCCCCACTTTTGTAAGTCAAAGTATACCTGTGTACCAGACCTCACTGTGATGCAGAGAAGCCCTCAGTGGTTGTGTCAGGAGCTGCTGGTCATTCTGGGTTTGACTCCCAGGTTTGCCCAGATGCATGATCCAGTGGTAGAGTCAATGAACTGCATCACTTTTCCTGACATCATGATATAACTGAATACTGTTCAGGTGGTATCAGAAGCCCAACTCTCGCCCAGCACAAGTCCGATATTGGTAATACCCTCTCCTTGGGTCTCTCATAATGGTTTAACCTATAGTACACCGTCGGTGGTGTCTCCTGCCGAGATGTTACAGGAGTATGGCTAAAAACTGTCTTACTCACTCACTCTCACACTCATTTCACTCACTTACTCACTCACTCTCTCACTCTCTCACTCACTCTCTCACTCACTCACTCACTCACTTTCACACTCACTCAACATGTTTCAACATTATTTGCCTTTAGAATTTCACACTCTCAAACTCTAACATTCATTTATTTGCTACCACACACACTCACACTGAAACCCATTCACCCTGTCACTTACTTAGTCTTATACTCAGCCACAGCCACTCTCTCACACTCACAGCCACTCTCACACACACAGCCACTCACACACACACACACACACACACACACACACACACACACACACACACACACACACACACACACACACACACACACACACACACACAGCTAATCACACACACACAGCCACTCACACACACACAGCCACTCACACACACACAGCCACTCACACACACACAGCCACTCACACACACACAGCCACTCACACACACACACACTCTCTCTCTCTCTCTCTCACACACACACACACAAATTCACTTTCACACTCACTCACTCTCACCTCACACACTCTCTTTCACTCACTCAAACACACACTCTAACTCACTTTCACACACACACACACACACACACACACACACACACACACACACACACACACACAAATTCCCTCTCACTTCCACAAACATCACTCCAAACTCATCTCTAATGGTGCAGCAAAGTCTGTTTGCCTTGTTTATAATTTCCTAGCAGGGATGAACGCCTTGATGTTCTGACCTTAAGTAATTATTAAATAGCATACAGACAATCTATTTAAACAAATTAATTTCTCCTTCCCCAAAGGATATTTTATCTCTGTAAGATGGTGACTGCTAAACATAATTAATCTCTTATCTGCACTTACCGGTACCTCCCCAAAGAAACAACAAGTCTATAGCACAAAAAACTGAGAGAGTGTTCATCAATCTTTATTAGGGATCTTTTTTACTGCTGAAGAATTATTTCAGAAAAAGCCACACACTTGAATAGCATTTCAGATGGTGCCAGGGTTGGTTATAAGGGATTAACCAGTGTCTTTAGTTACCAGCAGTTGGCAAGGCTGACATTATAGAACAGTCTGTCACAAAAATACTTAATACAAACATACTCGTAGAAAGTAATATGGGGTTAAAGTGACAGGGATGTATCTTGGCATTCTCTGATAGTCAGTGGAGATCTGCTGCAAAATGTCGTTGAAAATACCCAAAGTTTTTTTAGGGCAAAGGCAGTGAAAAAGGCTTTAATATTTTGTTTTACATTATTGCATTGGATAGTAAAATATCTTTGAATTTATTAAAATGTGGACTTTCAATTAAAAAAAATCAATTTTGAAAAAAAAGCAAAGCCCCTCAATCACATGGCCACGGCCATGTTTGAAAATCTCATCCCTTGTAGTGAACAATCAATGCGGGGACACTAGTCATTCCAGGAGAAGGTCTTCTGCTTACAGGGGCGGTTGGGTAGCCTAGTGGTTAAAGCGTTCGCTCGTCACGCCGAAGACCCAGGTTCGATTCCCGACATGGGTACAATGTGTGAAGCCCATTTCCGGTGTCCCCCGCCGTGATTTTGCTGGAATATTGCTAAAAGCGGCGTAAAACCATACTCACTCACTCACTCTTCTGCTTACCCTTCAAAATTATTCAGAGGTCTAACAATTCCTTGTCTTGGCAGTGGCGTGCAAGTTGTATCCTAGCTGCATGTGTGGTACTGTGTTGATAACCTTATACATACACACACACACACCATGCTTATAGACAATGTGTAGAGGAGACAGCAGAGGCCATACATCATCTTTCTTTGTTCCCTCGAGAGTTGCTAGACATCTTTCTGACTCATGAATAACACACGAAGAATTTGTTTGATTAGATTAACTCGACAAAACAAATTCTGCGTTAATGTTCATTCACAAGGTGTAAAACCATCTGGTTAAATTCTTTTAAATGTTTAATTTGTGGGAAGAACCTTTCAACAGCTCTGTGCGTATGTCATCATTCATCACTGGTGGTTGGGGATTAGGGGATGGGAGTGGGACATTTGATTTTATTGTCAATAATTCATTTATTAATATCAAAACTTGAATAAATATGATACCATAAATTAATTATTGATATAAAATTGTTTATGTCAAGTATTTGAATTTTAGATATCACAAAATGAATTGGTGTTATCTGGAAATGTATTTTGATATCACTAAATTGAATTTGTAAAATCTATTAGTCTAGTTTCATAAATTCAATTTTGTGATTCACTTTTAGATATCTAATAATTGAATGTGTAATATCAAATATTTCTTTTGAAGTATCATAAAATTATGTTAAAGTTAGGTTATCTATAATGTGATCTATGTTACCCTTTCCACAATCACTGCTCCCTTCACTTTACATTGAGCTTTGCAAATATTCACTGCTGCACTGAATTGGTTGAAAATGGGGGCAATTAGGAATATGCAAGCTGTGGTGTCTGTACCGCTTGCTGCCATCAATAGAGAGAAGAACCAAGAACCCGTTTCTGATGATCCTAGTACACATACCCAAATAGAAATGTGCTTGGCTCTGTTCTGACCATCCCTCATCCTCTATAGCTGACCCTAGGACATGATGAAAGGAAGTCAGACAAGTCACCAAGTCGGACCCTCCCCAATCCTCTATAGCTGACCCTACGACACAATGAAAGGAAGTCAGACATGTCCTAAGGAAGCACAATCTACCATCGGGATGTCTTCTGACCTGGAATTCCCACAGGGGAAGTAGGAATTAGGTTGTAGCAATTGGAAGACTAGATGTCATCGGCCCTGTGACCTCTGCTTCTAGCTGGAATTGTGTATCATTGTACCGTGTGCTTCCACAATTAGTAACCCATCATTTCAGCTCAAAATGTTTAAAGTGAAGGATAAAGCACGACTGAGGTTATAGGCGATGAAGTAAGACCAAGGTAATCGGGTGTTGGCAACAGGGTATCTTACATTGCCGATCCCCAATTAACGAGGTCCTACTTCCTCGACCGCTTTATCTCACTTATAAACCGTCTTAATGCAAGAAATAACAGAAAATATAAGAAAACATCGAGATAACTTATAGTGAAACAATACAGTGTGTCGCTGTATAAAAAGGAATGCGAACAAAGCGTCCAAGAGAAGAAACACGTGCAGCATAGAGAAAACTAAGTCATGACATCTAAAATTGAACGTTCTTTCACCACCTGCCCCGGTAGGTCAGTGGGAAAACATTGGGTTACAAAACTTAACACGAGGTGTGAGGTTGCAGGATCGATTCCCTTCATGTATAATGAAAACTTTGCCTTTCTGATCCTCGATTTTAGAACATTGGACGTCCGAAATCCAAATTCCGTCTGCTACTCAAATCAGGTCATACTTGCAAACAGTAAAACCTTATACCATGTCTTACTTGGAAAAAGTAAAAGCTCATGCTCGTGATGAAGTCTTACGAGGAAAAAGTAAAACCTCCCAATACAATAGGCAAAAGTGGCAGTAGGTTTATACTTGGGTGTTAAATTGTTTAACACCTCATGCATTGGCTGAGTGATGTGAAGGTTTTCCTACTTTTCATGCAGTTTCTTAGTGGATCTATTATTTGGAGTGTTTCTGTGTTGCAGTACCTTCACCTGAAGAGCAACAAGTACCTGACGGTCAACAAGCGGCTCCCAGCCCTGCTGGAGAAGAACGCCATGCGTGTGACGCTGGACACATCGGGGAACGAGGGATCCTGGTTTTACATTCAACCATTTTACAAACACAGTTCCCCAGGAGACAGGGTAACCAGCTGGTGTTGGGATCAGTTGTCAGGATACTGTGTAGACCACTCTGTTGGCAATATGTAGTCAGTTGTAGGGAATAAAGAACTTGGGCCTCTCTCTCAGCGGTATACAGTTAGTTATTTGGAATACAGTATCGACCACTCTGTCGGCAGTATACAATCAGTTGTCTGGAATACTGTATAGACCACTCTGTCGGCAATATACAATCAGTTATTTGGAACACAGTATTTGGACCTTTGTGTCCACAGTATACAGTCAGTTGTTTGGAATACAGTATGGACCACTCTGTTGGCCATACACAATCAGTTTTGGGGAATCCACTATTTTGACCTCTGTGTCCACAAGATACAATCAGTTGTCAAGAATAGAGTCGTTGGACACCTCTATTATTGCATTGTTTGTTTGCAGGTAAATTATGATGTTCAGTGAGTTGATTTGTGATGTATAAGCATCTGTTAGTAATATTTAACCCATACTTTGAGCCAGTGGTACAAAACACAATGACTGTGATAGTGATATGAACATATCAAACTAAGTTAGAGATTTGTTGGATGATAAATTGAAACAGAGAACCAGATTTGGTTCATCTTGTAGTTCAGACATTACTTCAGCTGTAAGGGAGAGAGGAGTTTTGTTTTCTTGTGGTATATTTGGTTAACTCATGGCTGTGTTGAGAAGCATGTGAAAACATGTCAGAGTTGTCTCCCTTCATATTTTCGGTCAAAAAGTAAATATTCATAATTCAGAAATTGATAGAATAATTTAAGTATAGACTATTATGTCAGTCTGAACCAGATGATCAGTTATTTTAAACTTTTTTCTAGAAATAATGAGACTAAGCTATTGAATGTTGATGTTGGATGTGTTCAGTGTCCGAAAAATAACTGCCTGCCCGTCTGCTTGTGGCTTGTAACTTTTCTGTCGGCCTGCACAAAAAATTTCTTCCACCTGCCTGAGTATCAGGCAGAGTACTTATGTATTCAGTTTTAATATAACTCCTCGTAGATTATCAAGTAATTGTTTGTATCAAGACATGATTTGTCTCTTAGTTTTTGAAATTTAATATTCAAAATGCGGGTTAGTAACTTTTAAGATGGACAGGCGAAACTTATGGGTCACCTGGCCACCTGTCTTGTTGGGTTTTAAAATTATTTTGAACACCGCCTGTTTGATGTCCTGCTGCTGCTGCTGTTTCAGGTGGTGGTGGGGGACAAGGTGGTGCTGAACCCAGTCAGCGACGGCCACCCGCTGCACGCCAGCAACTGTGACCTCGTGGACAACACGGGATGCAAGGAGGTCTGTTGTACATACTCAAGTCCATGTCGTAGACATGTCGTACAAACATGTACAGTCTGTGTAGTACATACTCAAGCCCATGTCGTAGACGTACAAACACGCACAGTCTGTGTAGTACATACTCAAATCCTTGTCGTAGACATACAAACACGTACAGTCTGTGTAGTACATACTCAAGCCCATGTCATAGACGTACAAACACGTACAGTCTGTGTAGTACATACTCAAATCCTTGTCGTAGACGTACAAACACGTACAGTCTGTGTAGTACATACTCAAATCCTTGTCGTAGACATACAAACATGTACAGTCTGTGTAGTACATACTCAAATCCTTGTCGTAGACGTACAAACATGTACAGTCTGTGTAGTACATACTCAAGCCCATGTCGTAGACGTACAAACACGCACAGTCTGTGTAGTACATACTCAAATCCTTGTCGTAGACATACAAACACGTACAGTCTGTGTAGTACATACTCAAGCCCATGTCATAGACGTACAAACACGTACAGTCTGTGTAGTACATACTCAAATCCTTGTCGTAGACGTACAAACACGTACAGTCTGTGTAGTACATACTCAAATCCTTGTCGTAGACATACAAACATGTACAGTCTGTGTAGTACATACTCAAATCCTTGTCGTAGACGTACAAACATGTACAGTCTGTGTAGTACATACTCAAGCCCATGTCGTAGACGTACAAACACGCACAGTCTGTGTAGTACATACTCAAATCCTTGTCGTAGACGTACAAACATGTACAGTCTGTGTAGTACATACTCCAGTCCATTTCGTAGACGTACAAACACGTACAGTCTGTGTAGTACATACTCAAATCCTTGTCGTAGACATACAAACACGTACAGTCTGTGTAGTACATACTCAAGCCCATGTCATAGACGTACAAACACGTACAGTCTGTGTAGTACATACTCAAATCCTTGTCGTAGACGTACAAACACGTACAGTCTGTGTAGTACATACTCAAATCCTTGTCGTAGACATACAAACATGTACAGTCTGTGTAGTACATACTCAAATCCTTGTCGTAGACGTACAAACACGTACAGTCTGTGTAGTACATACTCAAGCCCATGTCGTAGACGTACAAACACGCACAGTCTGTGTAGTACATACTCAAATCCTTGTCGTAGACGTACAAACATGTACAGTCTGTGTAGTACATACTCAAGTCCATTTCGTAGACGTACAAACACGTACAGTCTGTGTAGTACATACTCAAATCCTTGTCGTAGACGTACAAACATGTACAGTCTGTGTAGTACATACTCAAATCCTTGTCGTAGACGTACAAACATGTACAGTCTGTGTAGTACATACTCAAATCCTTGTCGTAGACGTACAAACATGTACAGTCTGTGTAGTACATACTCAAGTCCATGTCGTAGATGTACAAACATGTACAGTCTGTGTAGTACATACTCAAATCCTTGTCGTAGACGTACAAACACGTACAGTCTGTGTAGTACATACTCAAGCCCATGTCGTAGACGTACAAACATGTACAGTCTGTGTAGTACATACTCAAATCCTTGTCGTAGACGTACAAACATGTACAGTCTGTGTAGTACATACTCAAGTCCATGTCGTAGTAGTACAAACATGTACAGTCTGTGTAGTACATACTCAAGTCCATGTCGTAGTCTCCATGCATGTGTATGATGACAGAAAGATACATGCCTGTAATAATATGTCTAATATTATAGCATCATTTGTACATTATTTCAAAACAATGACCTCAATTTGGTAGAAATTATCTGTTTGTATCCTGTCTGCTTACAACAATCGATAGTTTTGTCCCTGTGTCTAGCCCTGTCTCACCGCACATCTCCCTGTGTCTAGCCCTGTCTCACCGCACATCTCCCTGTGTCTCACCCTGTCTCACCCCACATCTCCCTGTGTCTCACCCTGTCTCACCCCACATCTCCCTGTGTCTAACCCTGTCTCACCCCACATCTCCCTGTGTCTAACCCTGTCTCACCCCACATCTCCCTGTGTCTAACCCTGTCTCACCCCACGTCTCCCTGTGTCTCACCCTGTCTCACCCCACATCTCCCTGTGTCTAACCCTGTCTCATCCCACATCTCCCTGTGTCTAGCCCTGTCTCACCCCACATCTCCCTGTGTCTCACCCTGTCTCACCCCACATCTCCCTGTGTCTAGCCCTGTCTCACCCCACATCTCCCTGTGTCTAACCCTGTCTCACCCCACGTCTTCCTGTGTCTAACCCTGTCTCACCCCACATCTCCCTGTGTCTAACCCTGTCTCACCCCACATCTCCCTGTGTCTAACCCTGTCTCACCCCATGTCTCCCTGTGTCTCACCCTGTCTAATCCTAAGTCTCCCTGTGTCAAACCCTGTCTCACCCCACGTCTCCCTGTGTCTAACCCTATCTCACCCTGTGTCTCACCCTACATCTCCCTGTGTCTCACCCTGTCTCACCCCACATCTCCTCTGTGCCTTATCCTGTCTCACCCCATGTCTCCCTGTGTCTAACCCTGTCTCACCCCACATCTCCCTGTGTCTAACCCTGTCACACCCCATGTCTCCCTGTGTCTCACCCTGTCTCACCCCACGTCTCCCTGTGTCAAACCCTGTCTCACCCCACGTCTCCCTGTGTCTAACCCTATCTCACCCTGTGTCTCACCCTACATCTCCCTGTGTCTAACCCTGTCTCACCCCACATCTCCCCTGTGTCTTACCCTGTCTCACCCCACATCTCCCTGTGTCTAACCCTGTCTCACCCCACATCTCCCTGTGTCTCACCCTGTCTCACCCCACATCTGCCTGTGTCTAACCCTGTCTCACCCATGTCTCCCTGTGTCTAACCCTGTCTCACCCCACATCTCCCTGTGTCTAACCCTGTCTCACCCCACATCTCCTCTGTGTCTTACCCTGTCTCACCCCACATCTCCCTGTGTCTAACCCTGTCTCACCCCACATCTCCCTGTGTCTAACCCTGTCTCACCCTGTCACACCCCATGTCTCCCTGTGTCAAACCCTGTGACAACCCATGTCTCCCTGTGTCTCACCCTGTCTCACCCCACATCTCCCTGTTGCAGGTGAACTCCCTGAACTGCAACACCTGCTGGAAGGTGACTCTCTTCATGGACTTCAAGGAAAACAAGGACGACATCCTCAAGGGGGTGAGTCTCCGGTCATCTACAGTAAAACCTCTTCAGTCTGGACACCATGAGTTCCAGACCAGACAGTATTTATCCAAAGCAATATTACTCCATAGCTATGATTCGTTGATCTGGATGATTTTGGTACTATCCAGATTGCAACACACATAATGAGTCTTATGGTGCCTTCTTCACTTAAATCTTTTAAGTATCTGTGTTCTGCAATCAGGATGCTCTTGTTGGAAACCCCTGGGAAGAGCTGGGTAAGAATTGTTCTTCAGCAAACCCATGCCTGTCGTAAGAAGCGACTAACAGGATTAGTTGGTCAGTCTCGCTGACTTGGTTGATACATGTCATTGTATCCCTATTGTGATGGTCGATGCTCAGGATGTCAATCACTAGATAGTCTGATCCAGACTCGATTATTAACAGACTGCCGTCATGTAACTGGAATATTACTAAGTTTGGTGATAAACAAAAAAAAATCAGTACTTCTTGTTGGAGACATATTTATTCTGTGTACCAAAAGATGTTAAAAGATGTTACTTGTTGTGAACCCTCCTGGTGCTCAGCATTAAGGGGCTAAAACAAGGACTGGTCAGCCCCAAGTAAGTATACTGTGTCTGAGTGGGGTATTCATGTTAAACTGTGGCCTGGTGTCTCAGTGGGCTAGCACTATAAAACTTCACCTTAGGATGTTGTTGTGTTGCATAGGGTGACGTGGTGCGGTTGTTCCACGCGGAGCAGGAGAAGTTTCTCACGGGAGATGAGTACAAGAAGAAGCAGTATGTCTTTCTGAGGACGACGGGGAGGACATCGGCCACCGCCGCCACCAGCTCCAAGGCATTGTGGGAAGTGGAGGTAAGGGCTGTAGGGAACAGGTGCTTGTTGTAGAGGACAGATTGTCCCTCTGGGAGAACAGAAGAGGTAGAGGCTGGGTAATGTAGGAATCAGTCATATGTTGTGAGGAGAGTTTGTTCCTGTGGAAGGATATAGGTGTAGGTGGAAGCATCAGTTTATGTTAAGAGTATAAGCAGGATACACCTTGGTGGAACTAAAATCAGCTTTAGAATAAATTGTATTTCACTCTTTGATAATGACCGAGTTTTGTGGGCCAGAATTTCCAATATTATGATCTGGTTGTGAAGTCAAATTGTAGTTAACGGTATTGTGTTGCATTGTATGAGTGTGGTCCCTGTGTTGTAGGTGGTGCAGCATGATCCATGTCGAGGAGGGGCTGGACACTGGAACAGTCTCTTCAGGTTCAAACATCTAGCAACCGGACAGTACCTGGCAGCCGAGGTAAGTTTTCAAGGACTCCAATAGCCCCTAGACAGGTTCTCAGGTACCCACAGATCGCCAGGTAGGTTCTCCGGTCCCCCCAGATCTCAAGGTAGGTTCTCAGGTAGGCTCTCCCCCCCCCCCCGATCTCCAGGTAGGCTCTCCGGTCCCCCCCCCCCCCAGATCTCCAGGTAGGCTCTCCGGTCCCCCCAGATCTCCAGGTAGTTTCTCCAGCATCCCAAGATCTCCAGGTAGGTTCTCCGGTGCCCCAGATCTCCAGGTAGGTTCTCCAGCATCCCAAGATCTCCAGGTAGGTTCTCCAGCATCCCCAGATCTCCAGGTAGGTTCTCCGGTACCCCCCAGATCTCAGGGTAGTCTGGTGTCTCTCTTGGATTCTGTATTGTGGAGGAGGTGTACAACAGAGGTGTACAAGTCTTGAGTTATGAGTACCAGACTGAAAGTAGCTTGACAAAATCTGGGAATAAATAACTGAGTAACACTTGTTTACCAGGTGGACAACGATCCGACGGTGGACACCACGCGACAGAAGCTGCAGGGACTGCCCACCTCTGCCGTCTACTGCCTCGTCTCTGTCCCCCACGGACACGACATCGCATCCATTTTCGAACTTGACCCCACCACCATGACGAGAACAGACACTCTCGTTCCCAGGTGTGTTCCCTAGTTCCTTTAAAGGGCAAGTTAAACAAAAACAATTTTTGCGATATTGTTGTGAATGTGAATTTTCCTAGATACATTTTTTCAATTTCGGAGAGAGAACAATCATAATATTTGTTGAAAGTATTGTAAGTGCTGAAATATCACACACTCCCTGATCGTTTTCCAAAAAAAGCCTATTTTGGGGCGTGGCCTAAACCTGTTTTCATTGGCTGATACTTTAGCCTCGTTTTAACCCCAGCGAGGGGAATCCCCTCAGTGGAGGAATTTTTCCTTTGAGGGCCTATTTCGCCTGTTGTTTTTTTGTCGTCTGTTTTACGCTATTTCCATTTTTAGAATTTTATTTTTGTCAAGTTGCTTGCCCTTTAAGCTCAAAAATCAGAATATATGTACATTCTGCTCTGTAAATAACAAAACACCACAGACTGTAATTGGGGGCTTAGTTGGATGTCTTTCCAAAACTACATAAAGAGAAACCATAATTCCAGACTGGTAAACGAATGATTTCACTTTTGTAATCCCCCTATTTGTTTACCTCAGACTGTCATGTACATAGCAAGTCAGTCAGATGACATGTCAGTCCTGATGCATGTGAATGTGTTTTCAGACAAACGTTTGTTCGGCTGCACCATCTCTGCACAGACACATGGGTGCACAGCACCTCCATCCCGATAGACAAGGAGGAGAAGAATTCCATCATGAACAAGGTAGGCAGCACAGGAGATCCTGGGGAGTTGTACAGGAAGCTACTCATGCAGCTAGTCAGCGGGGGCAGCTTATGTCATGGGGCATCTTCCTGAGGCAAGGGAGATATCTGACCAGAAAAGTCCAGTTTCCACCCTTGCCAAACTAGGCTGGAATTTCTGAGAGCGATCATAGCTTCACCAATGGCTATTACGAGTTATGTCCCTTCTATGTCCCTCCTATTGACCAATCAGATTTCACCTCTCATATCAAATAAAATGGTGTTGCCTAGTGAAGACGATCTGATCAATAATCAAGATCTGTATTCTTCCTTCGAGAAGTGCACCATAACCCATGAACACCTTCATTAAAAACATGAAAAGATTTGGAAACTATCTGTTGATGCTAAGTTGTCGGTACACATGCCTTGCAAGTCTTGCAATACATCAAAACCTGCACGGCAGTTTACAAACTGGATGTCGATTTTGATTGGACTTACATAGACTTGTTTGTCCAGCCAAAATATAACTCCATAGTTCCAGCCTATTTGGGTGGAAACGGGACTTTTATAGTCAGTTAACTCCCTTGCCTCAGGAAGATGGTCATGGGGCCGCGGGGCAGCTCATATCCATATGCTGGGGCAGCTGTAATATCTACTCTCTAACCCAGGTTGTGGCATCTTATCTGACCAAATACTGCTTTAACACCCAGCGGTCAAGGGGTAGATGGAGCAGGGCGTAGTGGTTAAAGCTTTCGCTTATCACGCTGAAGGCGTACATCGGGGCAATGTGTGATGCCCATTTCTGGTGTCCCCTGCACAGATGTTGCTTATATAATGCTAAAGGCGACGTAAGACCCCACTCATTCATGGCATGGTAGGATGAATGATAACTTGCTAGATTCTATGAGGGCAAATTGTGGTTGTCTATCACCCCAAGGGAGCTTAGGAGGCAATCTGATGTACTCTTGATAGTTGGGGTGAAATACGTAATGTCCTTCGGAGGGGAGGAAGTGGACTGTTGTTACAATCAAGACCATGACAATGAAATAGTGTTCACATTTTAGACTCATCAAAACATTTTCCAGTTACATTTGAAATTGTTTGAACAGAAACTGGCAACATTTCAGAGTGACCCGAGTCCTTGCTTGGACTCCGATGATGATGATGATGATGATGATGATGATGATGATGATTTAAACTTTGATTTTGATGCTGACAAGTCCATTGTGGTACGATTGATATTAATTTCCCCTCCGATGGCAATCTGGCTTCCCACCTCCGCCTCCACCCTCCTCCACCTTCCTCCACCCAGCCGTGCTTATGCTGCACAATTACTGGATCCACTGCATCATCACCCCCATGATGACCTTGGGGTTTGAATATCTCCCCCGCAACCAATGCTGGCTGTGAGAGGCGACCCCGTGGGGATTCCGGGGTAGCTTTGGTCCCCAGCAACCAATACTGGCTGTGAGAGGCGACCCCTTGGGGATTCCGGGGTAGCTTTGATCCCCAACAACCAATGCTGGCTGTGAGAGACCACATAATGGATTGGGTGGCCAGGCTCCGTGACTTGGTTGATAGAATGTCATAGTACCCTGATGGCGTGGATCATTGCTCATAATATCAATTATTGGATTATCTGAGTGTAGCTTTAAACCACAAAGATACTTTTTTAAATCAGTTCAAATGTGTTTATATTAAATGCAGAAGAGACTTTTGTCTGCAGGAAAATGACTGACAGCTTTTTACCCCCCCCCAGGCATAAAATGCTGGGGGATATAGTCAACACCTCGCCTGTCTATCCGTCGTAATCATTTAATTTCCGGAGTTTATCTCATTTATATTTTTCTCGAATTCCATGGAAACAATTTAGACTTTGTCTCAAAATGGGGGGTAGGTGTCGTTTCCAGGGCACAACTTGAAAACTGTGGAAGACTTTTCATCCAAACCTGATGCATGTATTAACCAAGGGCTGAAGTGGTGCCTTTTGCTATTTAAGAATTTTTCAAACTTTGATTTTTTCCTTTTTAGATGAAACAGAGGTAGGTGTTGTTTCTGGAGCAGAACTAAAAAACTATTCAACATTTTTTCATCCAAACTTGGTACATGTATTAATAAAGGGCTGAAGTGGTGCCTTTTGCTATTTAGGAATATTATTAAAATTATTTTTTTCCTGTTTCCATGGCAACAAGTTTGACTTTTGACTCTGTTGTTCATAGTGGTGTGTTTGTCCGGACCATAGCTCTGAAACTAATAGGTACACTTTCTTGAAGCTGCGCACACACAAAGACCAGCTTGATTTTGACTCTGCTCATATTTGTGTGTACCTGACATAGAAATATAATGTTCCCAATCCCAATTACTACTCTTGTATAGGGACAGACATTAGTGAACAATAGTGAACATTGCTGAACATACCTGAACATTATCGAACATTATTGAATGTTATTTAACTTTATTGAACATTATTGAACACAATTGGGCATAAGTGAAGAACCAAACAAGTAGCTCTGCAAGCATACTTGATAGTTTCACAATATTAAACCAATAAGTATTCAACATGCCACAGTATTTCTCTACTCCCTTTTTGAAGGGTAACCCTGGTAACCATCCTGCTTCTATCTGTGTCCGCCAGGTTGGGTGTGCCAAGATCAAGGAGGACAAAGAAGCGTTTGCCATCGTCCCAGTGTCGCCACAGGAGGTGCGAGACCTGGACTTCGCCAACGATGCCAGTCAAGTCCTGGCTGACATTGCGAACAAGTTGGAGAAAGGTGCTATAACACAGAACGAGAGAAGGTAAGAGAGGGAGGAATGAAGGAGGACAGGATCAGTTGTTGTAGATGAACAAGAAACTCTTTCAGAAGATGGAGAACTCATGATGGAATTATTCATGCTAAATTACTTTATGAGGAACTTGCATTTTCTGATTTGCTGTATAAAATGCTATCAAATTCAATACTTGTAATTATTCTTCACTGTCCCATGTGGAATAACATTCAGAGTGAGTGAGTTAAAATTTAACGTCACATCGGCATTATTTCAGCCATATATGACATGAGCATATATAGGATTAGTTTTGTTTTGTTTTGTAGTGTATCTGTTTACCTACAGATATAGGTGTACCAGAGCATGTCATGTTGCCATGGTATTTGAGGCCAGTAGGGGCTTGTCATGTTGCTAAGGGGAATATGATCTACAGGAATTAGTTCTGTTGGCATGGTGATAAGCGCTACCTCGGTTACTACGCGCGGTAACGCATGGCTCTCAAAATGTATGTACACTTTTAATACTGAGAGTTTTACACAGACATGATTGTATTCTTGTTCGTTGTTCATTTGCACATAACGCTTCTCATTGCATAATCAACTGTTTATTGTTGAATAGAGTTCTAATAATCTGTTTTAAAACCGCGGCAAGTCCCGGAAATACAATTGTTCTACTAGCTAACTTTTCACACTATACATCCTTTGATCTTAGAAGCACATGCATGCAATAAAAGAGAACCACAAGCGAAGTTCATATCCTTAATCAGTGGGCAATCCAATTTGAGGCGACACTGTTAACTCACATGTAGTTGCTGTCACAACACGACGGTCATTCCTTTTGATTCGGATCAAGTAACCGTATCAAATCAATTAATCTGGCTTGAATGTGTATCTATATTTGTATTAATGTGTATGAATGCGCACGTGAATACATTCTAGTGCTGGTCAAAACTCTCGTTTTCCGTATTTTAAGCAACATGACCAATCAATGCCACTGTTACACTCTGTACTCTGTGTAATGAATTGTGATTGGCTCTTCACTCATAGCGTCTGTTACTACCATTATCGATCGATATTTTCATGTAAGTAGACTACTTTCACATTGAATGTGACAGTTAAGGCTTGTAAATAATAACAAATGGCGAAAACATAATGGATATATATTTTTACACTTTGAAGGGTAAACAACTTGTATCATTGCAATGTGCGAGACAAGGTGAAGATCGTGAGATTGGCCGAGCGCTCTCCCCCGCCTCCGCCTCAGTTAATCGGCTCATCGTCTATAATGCCCACCAATTATTTGGACCCCATTGGTAGCGTTGTAGCGAGGGACCACTGTATTAGTTCTGTTGGCATGGTGAATGAGGTCAACAGGAACGAGTTGTGCTGGCATGGTGATTGAGGTCTACAGGAATTAGTTCTGTTGGCATGGTGATTGAGGTCTACAGAAATTAGTTCTGTTGCCATGGTGATTGAGGTCTACAGGAACTGGTTCTGTTGGCATGGTGATTGAGGTGTACAGGAACGAGTTGTGTTGGCATGGTGATTGAGGTCTACAGGAACGAGTTATGTTGACATGGTGATTGAGGTCTACAGGAACGAGTTGTGTTGGCATTGTGTTTGAGGTCTACAGGAACTGGTTGTGTTGCCATAGTGATTGAGGTCTACAGGAATTAGTTCTGTTGGTATGGTGATTGAGGTCTACAGAAATTAGTTCTGTTGCCATGGTAATTGAGGTCTACAGGAACTGGTTGTGTTTGCATGGTGATTGAGGTCTATAGGAACTGGTTGTGTTGGCATGGTGATTGAGGTCTACAGGAACTGGTTGCGTTGGCATGGTGATTGAGGTCTACAGGAATTGGTTGTGTTGCAGGTTTGTGACCCAGCTGCTCTCTGATCTTATCTTCTTCCTGGCGCTGGAGGAGATCGGCTCCACGATGGATCCTCTGGAGCTGGAGGCCAGCAAGGAGGACCGGGAGAGACAGAAGCTGCTCCGGGAACAGAACATTCTCAAACAGGTGAAGTACAAGGGTGGTCTGGAGTCCTGGGGGCATGGGTAGCTAGAACATCCTCAAGCAGGTGACGGTGGTAGAGAGTCCTGGGTGCGTGGGTAGCGAGAACATCCTCAAACAGGTGACGGTGGTAGAGGGGTCCTGGGTGCGTGGGTAGCTAGAACATCCTCAAGCAGGTGACGGTGGTAGAGAGTCCTGGGTGCGTGGGTAGCTAGAACATCCTCAAGCAGGTGACGGTGGTAGAGGGGTCCTGGGTGCGTGGGTAGCTAGAACATCCTCAAGCAGGTGACGGTGGTAGAGGGGTCCTGGGTGCGTGGGTAGCTAGAACATCCTCAAGCAGGTGACGGTGGTAGAGGGGTCCTGGGTGCGTGGGTAGCTAGAACATCCTCAAGCAGGTGACGGTGGTAGAGAGTCCTGGGTGCGTGGGTAGCTAGAACATCCTCAAGCAGGTGACGGTGGTAGAGGGGTCCTGGGTGCGTGGGTAGCTAGAACATCCTCAAACAGGTGACGGTGGTAGAGGGGTCCTGGGTGCGTGGGTAGCTAGAACATCCTCAAGCAGGTGACGGTGGTAGAGAGTCCTGGGTGCGTGGGTAGCTAGAACATCCTCAAGCAGGTGACGGTGGTAGAGGGGTCCTGGGTGCGTGGGTAGCTAGAACATCCTCAAGCAGGTGACGGTGGTAGAGGGGTCCTGGGTGCGTGGGTAGCTAGAACATCCTCAAGCAGGTGACGGTGGTAGAGGGGTCCTGGGTGCGTGGGTAGCTAGAACATCCTCAAGCAGGTGACGGTGGTAGAGGGGTCCTGGGTGCGTGGGTAGCTAGAACATCCTCAAACAGGTGATAGTGGTAGAGGGGTCCTGGGTGCGTGGGTAGCTAGAACATCCTCAAACAGGTGACGGTGGTAGAGGGGTCCTGGGTGCGTGGGTAGCTAGAACATCCTCAAACAGGTGACGGTGGTAGAGGGGTCCTGGGTGCGTGGGTAGCTAGAACATCCTCAAACAGGTGACAGTGGTAGAGGGGTCCTGGGTGCGTGGGTAGCTAGAACATCCTCAAACAGGTGACAGTGGTAGAGGGGTCCAGTGTTGGGGGTAGCTAGAACATCCTCAAGCAGGTGACGTAGATTCCAAGATGCTAGAGGCATCTCATCATTGGGTTGTTAGCCCAGTGGGTTGAACCTGCTAACTTGCTAAAAGTAAAAAATAGACAACAGACCAAGCTCATCCTCAGTGGTGCTTATGATCGGAATATGCCTGGACCAGTGGTGCTAGTTTTGGCCAAGTGCATTATTAGTCCATTAACCATTGTGTTTAAAGAAAGGGAGGAACATGCTTATGATGCTTGTATTGTTTTTATGACCATTAGACTGATTTAACTACCTATCATGTCAAACTGTTTTGCCCAAAGAATCCATTTTTTTCTGTAACCGTTTGGATGTCAACCTGAAATATCCCGTTATCATTCAGATCTTCAAGATCCTGCAAGCCCCGTTTGTTGATCATGGTGATGGCGAGGGCCCCTTCTTGAAGATGGAGGAGCTGGCGGACCAGCGTCACGCCCCCTTCCGCCATATCTGCCGCCTGTGTTACCGCATGCTGAAATTGTCCCAGCAAAACTACAGGAAGAACCAGGTACAGGCTGCAAGGGGGATAACTTCTACACAGGCTGCAAGGGGGATAACTTCTACACAGGCTGCAAGGGGGATAACTTCTACACAGGCTGCAAGGGGGATAACTTCTACACAGGCTGCAGGGGGATAACTTCTACACAGGCTACAGGGGGATAACTTCTACACAGGCTACAGGGGGATAACTTCTACACAGGCTACAGGGGGATAACTCCTACACAGGCTGCAAGGGGGATAACTTCTACACAGGCTACAGGGGGATAACTTCTACACAGGCTGCAGGGGGATAACCTCTACACAGGCTGCAGGGGGATAACTTCTACACAGGCTGCAGGGGGGGTAACTTCCACACAGGCTGCAGGTGGGATAACTCATGCACAAGCTACAGGGGGGATAATTCCTACACAGGCTACAGGGAGGATAACTCCTACACAAGCTACAGGGGGGATGACTCCTACACAGGCTACAGGGAGGATAACTCCTACACAAGCTACAGGGGGGATGACTCCTACACAGGCTACAGGGAGATAACTCCTACACAAGCTACAGGGGGGATAATTCCTACACAGGCTACAGGGAGGATAACTCCTACACAAGCTACAGGGGGGATGACTCCTACACAGGCTACAGGGAGGATAACTCCTACACAAGCTACAGGGGGGATGACTCCTACACAGGTTACAGAGAGATAACTCCTACACAAGCTACAGGGGGATAACTCCTATACAAGCTACAGGGGGATAACTCCTACACAGGCTACAAGGGGGATAACTCCTACACAGGCTACCAGGGGTGTGGGGGGGATAACTCCTACACAGGCTACAGGGGGATAACTCCTACACAGGCTACCAGGGGTGTGGGGGGGGGTAACTCCTACACAGGCTACAAGGGGGATAACTCCTACACAAGCTACAGGGGGATAACTCCTATACAAGCTACAGGGGGGATGACTCCTACACAGGTTACAGAGAGATAACTCCTACACAAGCTACAGGGGGATAACTCCTATACAAGCTACAGGGGGATAACTCCTACACAGGCTACAAGGGGGATAACTCCTACACAGGCTACCAGGGGTGTGGGGGGGATAACTCCTACACAGGCTACAGGGGGATAACTCCTACACAGGCTACCAGGGGTGTGGGGGGGGGTAACTCCTACACAGGCTACAAGGGGGATAACTCCTACACAGGCTACAGAGAGATAACTCCTACACAGGCTACAAGGGGATAACTTCCACACAGGCTGCAGGGGGGATAACTCCTACACAGACTGTGTGTTTGCAGGATCAGGTTCAGTACATCCAGACTGTTTGTGTTTGCAGGATCAGGTTCAGTACATCCAGACTGTTTGTGTTTGCAGGATCAGGTTCAGTACATCCAGACTGTTTGTGTTTGCAGGATCAGGTTCAGTACATCCAGACTGTTTGTGTTTGCAGGATCAGGTTCAGTACATCCCGACTGTTTGTGTTTGCAGGATCAGGTTCAGTACATCCAGACTGTTTGTGTTTGCAGGATCAGGTTCAGTACATCCAGACTGTTTGTGTTTGCAGGATCAGGTTCAGTACATCCCGACTGTTTGTGTTTGCAGGATCAGGTTCAGTACATCCAGACTGTTTGTGTTTGCAGGATCAGGTTCAGTACATCCCAACTGTTTGTGTTTGCAGGATCAGGTTCTGTACATCCCAACTGTTTGTGTTTGCAGGATCAGGTTCAGTACATCCAGACTGTTTGTGTTTGCAGGATCAGGTTCAGTACATCCAGACTGTTTGTGTTTGCAGGATCAGGTTCAGTACATCCAGACTGTTTGTGTTTGCAGGATCAGGTTCAGTACATCCAGACTGTTTGTGTTTGCAGGATCAGGTTCAGTACATCCAGACTGTTTGTGATTGCAGGATCAGGTTCAGTACATCCAGACTGTTTGTGATTGCAGGAGTACATTGCCACAAAGTTGCCATTCATGCAGAAGCAGATCGGGTACGATGTTCTGGCAGAGGAAACGATCACAGCACTACTGCACAACAACAGGAAGTTGCTTGAGAAACACATCACAGCATCAGAAATCGAGACATTTGTCAGTCTTGTGCGCAAGAAAAAGGAGCCAAGGTGAGACAGTTCTCCAGCCGCGTTGCGATGAGTGGACAGTTTGTGTTCAATTTGGCAGGCTATTTTTAGGCTATTCAGATAAATTGGACCTTTTCTTATTTCTACGTAGGTCTTTTATCACTTGTCAGCTGTACTGGAAATTAAAGTGAATTCAAATTTCTTGAATTGATAGAAATGTAATTATATTTGTGTGAGATTTTCCCATGTCATGCTTACTTTTGTATGATAATTATATTCTAAGGTTCTCATAATTCATCAACAACTTGATGTATAGAAAGAATTCTTCTTAAAGGCATATGATGCTAGTAACTATAGAAACACATTGCCTGGCAACCCTATCAAGAGATGTTAGATGTCAGAACATCAGCAGTCAGGAAACTAATACTTGCCAGAACATGAAACCAGTTCCTACTGGAAACTTACTCTTATAACAAAATAACTTTCTACATTTACCAAATTGCACAATCAATGCCAACTTCAGTGGCTTTACCTAATCTGACTATATAACCTACCTTGACTAACGAACTGCTGTTTTCAGTGATGCTGAGTTGAAACTTAACTACAGGTAAAGCGCAATGTGTGACCTGCGGGTGAACCCTCTCCAAAACCCTAAACCCTCTAATACTGACAGTTCTTATTAATCAGATTACAACTGTGTGTATATATATATATATATATATATATATATATATATATATATATATATATATATATATATTCTAATACTTCCTTATACTTATTTTAGGCAGTTTCAGGTAACACATATATTTGATTGTTGAATTGATTAGAACACTTGTGATGATGTATGAATGGGGTTTGGTTGGACACTCTGAGAATGAGGCCCTGGATGGGTCACACCTGGATGGGTCGCACCTGAATGGGTCGCACCTGAATGGGTTGCGCCTGGACGGGTCGCACCTGAATGGGTCGCACCTGAATGGGTTGCGCCTGGACAGGTCGCACCTGAATGGGTCACACCTGAATGGGTCGCACCTGAATGGGTTGCGCCTGGACACCTGGACGGGTGGCATCTATATGTGTCACAACTGGACAGGTCGCACCTGGATGGGTTGCGCCTGGACGGGTCGCATCTGGATAGGTCGCACCTGGACGGGTCGCACCTGGATGAGTGACCAGGCGATGGTGACCACCAGAGAGGATATGATGACTCCCCTGGGGACCCAGGGTAGAATGTGTCCCAGAATGTGTCCCTAAATTGGAAAGCTGGGATGGCAGGTTAGAGTTGATCCCCAGCAATTTATGCTGGATGTAAGAGGCACCTTAGTGGAACAGGTGGTCAGTTGGTGTCGTGTCGTCATGCTCCAGCTGCGTGGATCATTGCTCATAATATCAATCACTGGATTGTCTGGTCCAGACTCAAATATTTACGTATTGACGTCATTTGGCTGTGATATTGTTAAGTGTGGCAAAACACACACGCTTTGAGCAGTGCTTGATGGACTGCTGAGAAAAACTTGAATATTGCTTTAAGCTGCTTTCATATTGCTGACTATGTTGTGATATAGCTGGAATATTGCTGACTACAAACAGCTGTAGCTTTGATGTTGCTGACTATGTTGTGATACATCTGGAATATTGGTGACTACAAACAGCTGTAGCTTTGATATTGCTGGCTATGTTGTGATACACCTGGAATATTTCTGACTACAAACAACTGTAGCTTTGATATTGCTAACTATGTTTTGTGATATAGCTGGAATATTGCTGACTACAAACAACTGTAGCTTTGATATTGCTGGCTATGTTGTGATATAGCTGGAATATTGCTGACTACAAACAACTGTAGCTTTGATATTGCTGGCTATGTTGTGATATAGCTGGAACATTTCTGACTACAAACAACTGTAGCTTTGATATTGCTGACTATGTTGTGATATAGTCCAGTTTCCATCCTTGCCGAACAAGGCTGGAATTTCCAGGCTGATCGTAGCGCCACCAGTGGCTAATATGAGTAACATACCTTCTATGTCCCTTCTATTGACCAATCAGATTCCATCTCTCATATCACTTGCATTTGCTTCAAACAAACTGGCGGCACCCAGTCAAGATCAATATTAGAATAAAACAGGTCTTACCTCGTGAACTACATCAAATCACGTGAGCACCGTGATTAAAAATGACAGTAAATGGTTTTGTCATAGTGTAATACAGAAACAGTGATAGAGTAGTGTGAACAGTTGTGTGTAAACAGTATCAATAAACCACATCAGCCTGAGACATGCATCACTTAATGGTTAATACGACACAACAAATGTAGAAACCTAAGTGTTGAGCATTGATGTTACGCTTTGCAACAAGCTTGTCTCACAGAAATAGAGAGCTTAGTGTTCTCTGTTAATTCACTGCAAAAATAAAACTTGCCTTCCTCCCATGACTGTGCTTGCAATGGGAATATGTTGTGCTTTAGAGCAGTACATGGTACTACATGGTGCCTGTAGTGGTTGAAGGCTAGTTCTGGTAAGTTAAGGAAAGGCAATTCTCAGGATCTTATTCCTGTGTTAAACTGCAACCTAGCATATAGTTATTTATAAGGCTACTTCACATATTAAATTGACATTACAATTTTTATTAACAGACAAATATTTTAAGATTTAAATTTTTTTTCAAGATTACATTTAGTTGTTTCAGCGGACGGGTTTAAACAATCAGGAATATGGAATAATTTTTTTTGACTAATATCTATTGAAGGAGCATGACTTCCCCTTGTTCCACTGCCCATCCCAAACAAGCACAGAATTTGAAAACATCACTGAGTTTTACCATGCAATCAAACCCACTGCTTACCTACCAACTACTTTCACATGGCACTTCTCTGAATTCTAGCTTTTTCCATAATAATATTCCTGTGTAAGGAAGTTTGGATTGTATGTGCATGAATGCATTAACACTACCCTCTGTCGCGGCACAGATTGGACAAGTTTGGCCACGAGGAGATGAAACAGGGCCGAACCCAGGCGCCCGCCCACAGGTCTGTCACGATGTCCCCGCCCACTGCCCCACCCTCACAAGTAGATGCATCATGCACCAGTCAGTTGGACTGTCGGCACCCAGTTTCTACCTATTCAGACCTCTGTGTTGGCTGCCCTTTCAGTACCGTGTTGTGGTTGATGGATAGGAATCTACAGGGAATATGGATTCAGGACTTGTGCAATTATTTTTGACTAAAATTTTGTTTCATCTTGTCAGCCAATGATACCAGTACATAAGTTTATGGTACCACTGTCACTGTTGGTAAAAGTTTGGACCCCGGAAAAAAATTCTAATTTGATCCTGAATATGGAATTCAGAGAATTTGATGGTATGACCATAGGTGAATATCCTTGGCACTGTTGTTGAATTTGATGTAACCACAACTTTGAATTTTGTAATCTATAATTGAAGATATAATTATTTAAATATGCCAACAACAACTGAAAAAGTACTATTCTATGAATATTAGCTTCCGTGGTGATACAGCCATCAAATCGGCTGTTTCCATCAGAGGTGGTTTATCGTGATTTGACAACCTCTGATTGACCAATCAGAATTGAGTAGTTTTCAAATTCATGGTAGAATGTGGAATTTGATAGTCCCTGATTCCACACATACAACCATCATTCCCTTATTGACCTCGCTGTTAGTCATATTCCGCTGCCCATGTTAAATATTGTCAGTGTTGTGGTAGTCAACTTCGTGACAAGATGAAGTAGTTGCAGCAAGTCCTGCCTCCATGGAATGTCTCCACCTTCATGCCTGGTGCTTGTTCCATCCGATCCTTCCACTAGAGGCTATGGTACCGTGCTTTATATTCAGATATTGCAGTATGTATGTATATGTCTCTAGTAATGAATAGACCTGGGGTTCGATCTGTATATTGTTCCAAAGATAAATCAACCTGAAATATGATGTGGAAGCCTTCTTGCATGTATTGGAGTATTTTTTTGAAATAGTATTTTGAAATTTTTATAAAGAAAATGCCTTTTGATATGTTCTACTTCAGAGCAGTTTCATGCTTGTTCCTGTAATAGACAACTGCTGATCTCTCCTGGTCAGTCTTCTCCTGGTCCATGACCGGTTTAGTGGTCTGCATGAGGAAGACAATTTTGAGTAGCCTCCCTTTAGTCATGCCTCTGCGTCATATGTCTTACAGAAGATCAGCTCAACAAATTGGAGTTTTCAGGAAAATAGTACAACTGTCTTGCTTGGTGATTGGTTCATTCTACTTCCGCGATGTAGTGAAACGGCAGCCACAGTTACCTCAGTCTTTTTTGTTCTGTTTTTGTGTAGGACTCCATTCCAGGATAGACATTGCAGTGCTTTAGGCATGACCTAGATCAAACCTTTTTACATTTCCACCCCCATTTTATGAAATTGTAGATGGAGACACTAGCATGTTGATGGTAAAGATAACGTGTCTCAGCTATCTACACATCACGTTTGAAGCCTGCACTTTGTGTACTAACTCAGTCTATTAACCATTCATAATTATATTTCAATTGTCTTTATGAAACAATTCGGCTAAAGTTTGTATTTAAACAATTTCGCAATGAATGCTTGTCTCTATTGTCAGCTTACAGTATTTAATCAGCCTGTCCCGCAAGCTCGCATATAGCGTATATTTATGTGCTAAACCATCTAACTTGCAAGCTACATATAGGTGTGAACCAACTAATGCCTCAAGGCCTGTAGTATGTGGAACACCACCAATAACACGTGTAGGTGGACTAATACGGGTGATAGCTAACTGGACATTGTTGTTGCACTGTTCCATGTCTTTGTTTGGGAGTCTGGGTAAACTTCACTATTTGGTTTACTGCTAGGCACTTTACAGCATATCGCTGTCCTACATGCTTTGTATATTTTATATTTTGTTCCAATACACTCACACTTTCTTAGATGTTTATGTCCAGATTTCATTGACCATGTTTTTTAAATGCTGTGAATAATTCATAAGGGATTGGTGTAATTCTACACAGTCGAGCCTTGTTGGCTTGAACATGAAGGTACCAGGATGTTTAAATAACGTAAAATGATTGATGTACCGAAACCCGTCCATGACTCAGTCTGTGTGATGTGTTCATTCAGTTTCTTGCCAGGTATTGTGAAATGAAAATTTTAAATATTTAGTAAACTATTTATATATAGTTGTCAAGTGAGTAGCTTCACTTATATATGAGATATAGAAGTTCTGCAAATACATTTCTGATGTTTCAACCCAACTTCGAGACAATTACCGGTACATCCCATACGTCTTTCATTTGATACTCACCACCAAAAGAAACACAAACCATAGAAACATAGAGAAGTATGTAAGTTAAGAAGAGATGTTTCCAATGTGTACCACTTAATGACAAAGCTAACTATCAGTCAAGAGTTACCACAGACTGCCTTTATTCTCTTCACAATATGCTGCACGTGATATATAAACTTAATTGGCTAGACCTGCACGAGACAAATGGTGCATCTTGAGTCATGGATCCACGACGTCACCTGTGATGTGTTCAGGAGCATCGGTTCACACAAGATAACAGTACATGCATCAACCCAATCTAATATCTCTTAAATATGTGTAATTCTTCATATATGAACTAACATGTATGGTATTTGCGTTTCTTTTGTTGGTGAGTATATATATGTATATGGGCATACTTGCATGCGTCTGAGATGTCTCGTAGAACGAAGTTCCACTGTGTATCAACTCTTTGTACGCTTTTATTTATTGGGATTTGAAGGGTTTGTATTGTTAAACATGTTTGATTCCTCTCTAGTTTCAGATTCCTAATGTTTCAATATTAATTTATCTTGTATATAATGTTTAATTGCACATTTTATCAAACCATCAAACAATGTGGCATATGAAGGACGTTGAGTTAACATTTTAGATTCAATGAAGGATTTCATAATCTGTCTTGTGGCCGTGGGTACTTTCAGGATCATGGAGCACTATCAGATGTTCAGGTCCACAGGTCCCTATGCTTTGTGTATACGCCATCTATTGTGGATGGGGTGGTACCGAGGAGTCCTGACCCTCATACTATCACACTGATTTGCGTCGGCCAGACTCCGGTATTTACTGGTTGATAGGACATAGCAACACACGCCCTCACTCACTGTTTATAGCCTGTTTATTGATGTAAAGGAAGATGATGTGGAGCAGAATCCTTCTTGCATGATTTCATTCTGTCTCCAATATGAGCCCAATGTGGACATGTATTGTCTTCAGAAGACTGCAGGCATAGACCAACCTCATACAATGCCCGGTGCAATACAGATAGCATGCAGAGCATGGGCATGCATTGACCCTATAGATAGACATTGCTACATTGCCAGATCATTTGCAAAGCTTTCCAAAAGATAAGGTAGTGTTCACTGTTATTAACTTCATGTGTAATGTCCCTTGTATTCTTCTCAATCAGAACCACTTCAACAAGATTCTTTTATTGAGTCCTCATGATCTATATGTTATAACCCTCAAGAATGACCAAGCCTACTATCAGTGTTGATATGTGTAGAACATCATTTATTCCATGCCTAGTATTCTCCTACATCCTGTTCAGTGTGTATTGCTGGTTATGTCCAGTGTGGTATGACATGGATGGCTGTGGTATAAGTGATGGTTGTGTGTGTTACAGGTTCTTGGACTACCTGTCAGACCTGTGTGTCTGCAACAAGGTGGCCATCCCCGTCACACAGGAGCTCATCTGTAAGTGTCTGCTGGACAGGAAGAATGCAGACATACTCATCGAAACCAGGTACTGGCTCAACAACAGGGGATATGAAATACCACAAAGAGTCATGGGATGTGGCAGGAAGTACTGCAGGGAATTATGCTATGCAGAAGGGAATTATAGGATACAGAAGGGAATTATAGGATACAGAAGGGAATTATAGGTTACAGAAGGGGATTTTAGGTTACAGAAGGGAATTATAGGTTACAGAAGGGAATTATAGGATACAGAAGGGAATTATAGGTTACAGAAGGGAATTATAGGTTACAGAAGGGAATTAAAGGTTACAGGAGGGAATTATAGGATCCATCTATCTGTTTGTTTTCACATATGCATATGTTCAGATTTGCTTCATGTATGGATAGGATATTCTTAAAGCATGTGAACTGACTGTCACTAGAATAGCTGGTAACCTTGACAACCCAGAGCTGCTAGAAACAGTATGTGTCTAGATGGGAATAAGTCCAAAGTGGAATCTCATCTCAGGCATCAATAACATTTGTCTTTGTCACAGAGAGGTGAGGGGGCATGGATGATCCAACTAAGGTGCCGCACTTCATTGTGCGGACTGCATATCTATCATGGGTTCAGATTTTGGTTTTGTAGTTTTTGTAAGCACCATACCCATGCTAGTGGAAAATTGGAAAAACATCTTGGACCTGCATCTCTTCAGGCTTTTCCCTCACATAACTTGTGACACGCCATGATGTGAATGGAATATTGTTGCAACAAACTCACTTGTTCACAGTGATTTTAGACTTCATGAAGTCTTCTTGACGGACCAAAAGATGACCGTATCTTGGTCTACAGGGGAAGTGTCTGCTAGATAGTGATTCAAATCTCAGCTTATACAGTATTGTTTCACGATACAACATATAGGAGATCATCTGACAGGCCTGTATCAAGATACAAACAAACCAGTACATGAGAATTTTCAATTAAATTGTCAGCAGAGAACCCTTTAGTTGGACTGTAGACAAGATGAAGATGTTGTTTCGACAATTATGTTGTCCTAAATGGCCTGACTGTGTGTAGTGGAAGGTAACCTGAGCTAACAGATAGATGTAGCTGTTGAGAAATGACTTTGCTGGGACCTTGCTTCTCTGAGGCACACCCACTGAAACCCGTGGAGAGAAGTCCATCTGAGCTGGTGATGCGTGTTTCTTCAATCTGTACTGACAGTTACATGTTTATTCCCTTCCTAGACTTGCTACAAGGACCCTGACAGGGTATATCCCAAAGAAGTGAGTAGTTGTCCTATGCCAGGGTTTCAGGTGTAACTGTCTCTCTCTCTTCAGGTATAGAGCATGGCCTTGGACTATTTAAAACATGGACTCTAGTCCACTGTTGCTACTGTAGGCCTTCTGGAAGCTTCGCCTCACACTCATACCACATGCATGACTTTGTCTGAGGAGCGACAGCATAACACATTGCTTATCATCTGTGGCCCTTACTAGAGGAGTCTGATAACATTGTCTTTCTCAATCTTGCTGCATGCACACTTCTGTCTGAGGAAGGAAATTATTATTCAGGGACCTTACAACAGAGTTTCTGGAAACCATTCATAAGTGTTATTCGGCATCTGGTACTTTGTCAGAGGAGGTATATGATATCATAGTACATAACTTCTATTAGAGGGATATCATTGTACACCACCTCTGATAGAGTTTCACTGGTAACCAAGTCTCTCTCAGTCCAAGGAGTCACCATAAACAACTTTGATGTCAGGGTTCACAGAAGCTATAACCTGCTAATTCTTGTGACACACTAGAAGCAATGTAACATTTTCTTCAGCTTTCACAGTTTGAATCATTTTCCCTGATCTCTTGTTTCGTACATAATTTAAATGCCCATATGAATAGTTTATGCATTAATGTTTGTTAGTGGCCTCAAGAACATGTCCTGTGAAACCTTCAAGATATACTGATGGGACGCAAAACAATATTCATTCTGGACTATGCTACAGTATCAGACAAGTCACTCATCCTGTTATAGGCCTGGTTGAAGTTAACAAATGGCCCTGATCAAAAGTCATCTTACTGCTAAGATGGTCGTAACCCCCATACTTAAGCATTCGCATACAATAGTAGTAGTGCTAAGCTTGCTTTGTGGAACGGGACCCAATGTCACACATTTGCATTATTTGCTAATTAACCTGCCCTGAATCCATACGCTGACACTTTGAAATAAACACATCAGGTTAATTTTTTAAAGAAGGATTCATTGTGGCAAAGGAAGAGGACCCTGTAAAGCAGTACCAGTGATGTTCAGTCTGTCGTTTAGAGGAGGTTGATGTAGTGGGGCTGCATGAGGTGTAGGACCAGGTCCTCCCACACAGACGGGGGACACATCTCCTCCAGACCCTTCTCTGTTGTGACTCGTGCTTCATGAAGTCTTACCATACTTAATGTGGGTCACAGGCAGTTGGTGAAGGGGTTTGCTGGTGACAGACATTTTGTAGGGGTGACAGAGGGGGCCAGCTGATCAGACATTTTGTAGGGGTGACAGAGGGGGCCAGCTGATCAGACATTTTGTAGGGGTGATAGAGGGGGCCAGCTGATCAGACATTTTGTAGGGGTGACAGAGGGGGCCAGCTGGTGATAGGCATTTTGTAGGGGTGACAGAGGGGGCAAGCTGGTGATAGGCATTTTGTAGGGGTGACAGAGGGAGCCAGCTGGTGATAGGCATTTTGTAGGGGTGACAGAGGGGGCAAGCTGGTGATAGGCATTTTGTAGGGGTGACAGAGGGGGCAAGCTGGTGATAGGCATTTTGTAGGGGTGATAGAGGGGGCCAGCTGGAGACAGGCATTTTGTAGGGGTGACAGAGGGAGCCAGCTGGTGATAGGCATTTTGTAGGGGTGACAGAGGGGGCAAGCTGGTGATAGGCATTTTGTAGGGGTGATAGAGGGGGCAAGCTGGTGACAGGCATTTTGTAGGGGTGACAGAGGGGGCCAGCTGGTGATAGGCATTTTGTAGGGGTGACAGATGGGGCCAGCTGGTGACAGGCTGATAATAGGTGGATCACAGGCAGCTCCACAGGCCTTTACAGGACCAGGACCAATCTAGTGAACCATCACAACCAACCTGTAACAAACAGAACCCAACCCTTGCTTGTGACCAATTACTCCAAAATAACCTGAAAATGCAACCTCTGGCAATACAGAAAAACACTGCACACCAACTCATACGAAATATGACAATGGCAAAGAAAAATTAGAGATAAATCTGGTCCAGTACTAAAAGCTTTTTGTCAATCCTTTTCCTTGAAATCTCATAAATAAGGTTAATGTGCATTTTGCATGTTATGCATGTGCTATGTCCTCGGTCCAGGTGTGGGAAAAAGGCAACTTTAGTATACACAGACTCCTATAGATGATAGTCACCACTCTCAGATTACTTTATGAAGTGTAGTATCCAGCCGTCAACCTCACCCAAGCAGGATTGTGAAGATCTTTGTGGTAGGTTGTCCATGTGATAATAGACTCATATCACCCCAGCAGGATTGTGAAGATCTTTGTGGTAGGTTGTCCATGTGCTAACAGACTCATATCACACCAGCAGGATTATGGAGAACTTTGTGGTAGGTTGTCCATTTGATTGGCCTTGTATCACCCCAGCAGGATTGTGAAGAACTTTGTGGTAGGTTGTCCATTTGATAATAGACTCATATCAACCCGGCAGGATTGTGAAGAACTTTGTGGTAGGTTATCCATGTGATAATAGGATTGTATCACCTCAGCAGGATTGTAGAGAACTTTGTGGTAGGTTGTCCATGTGATAATAGCTTTGTATCACCTCAGCAGGATTGTGGAGAACTTTGTGGTAGGTTGTCCATGTGATAATAGCTTTGTATCACCTCAGCAGGATTGTGGAGAACTTTGTGGTAGGTTGTCCATGTGATAATAGACTCATATCAACCCAGCAAGATTGTGGAGAACTTTGTGGTAGGTTGTACTTGTGATAATAGACTCCTGTCGACCCAGCAGGATTGCAAAGAACTTTGTGGTAGGTTGTCCATGTGATAATAGACTCCTGTCGACCCAGCAGGATTGCAAAGAACTTTGTGGTAGGTTGTCCATGTGATAATAGACTCCTGTCGACCCAGCAGGATTGCAAAGAACTTTGTGGTAGGTTGTACTTGTGATAATAGACTCCTGTCGACCCAGCAGGATTGCAAAGAACTTTGTGGTAGGTTGTCCATGTGATAATAGACTCCTGTCGACCCAGCAGGATTGCAAAGAACTTTGTGGTAGGTTGTCCATGTGATAATAGACTCCTGTCGACCCAGCAGGATTGCAAAGAACTTTGTGGTAGGTTGTCCATGTGATAATAGACTCCTGTCGACCCAGCAGGATTGCAAAGAACTTTGTGGTAGGTTGTACTTGTGATAATAGACTCCTGTCGACCCAGCAGGATTGCAAAGAACTTTGTGGTAGGTTGTCCATGTGATAATAGACTCCTGTCGACCCAGCAGGATTGCAAAGAACTTTGTGGTAGGTTGTCCCTTTGATAATAGACTCCTGTCGACCCAGCAGGATTGTTGAAAACTTTGTGGTAGGTTGAGCGTGTGATAATAGCGCTGTATCACTCCAGTAGGATTGTGAAGCTCTTTGTGGTAGGTTGTCCATGTGATAATGGCCTTGTATCACCCCAGCAGGATTGTGGAGAACTTTGTGGTAGGTTGTCCATGTGATAATAGACTCATATCAACCCGGCAGGTTTGTGGAGAACTTTGTTGTAGGTTGTGCATGTGATAATAGACTCATATCACCCCAACAGGTTTGTGGAGAACTTTGTTGGAGGTTGTCCATGTGATAATAGACTCATATCACCCCCAGCAAGATTGTGGAGAACTTTGTGGTAGGTTGTCCATGTGATAATAGACTCATATCACCCCCAGCAAGATTGTGGAGAATTTTGTGGTAGGTTGTCCATGTGATAATAGACTCATATCACCCCAACAGGTTTGTGGAGAACTTTGTGGTAGGTTGTCCATGTGATAATAGCCTTGTATCACCCTTGCAGGATTGTGAAGACGCAGGTTGAGGTGGAGCTGGTGGGCGATGGTGTGGATGGGCAGTTGATGGACAGTGTAGTCCTGGAGGAGGACGACGAGGTGGTGCTCATGTGGGACAACGATGTCAAATCACGCGGCATCAGGGAGCTCGCCATGGCAACCACAGACAGGGTGAAGGAAGACAAGGAGATCCTGGAATACTACAGGTTTGATTGGCAGCTTTTGTTACAGCTTTGGTGGAGACATTGTTCAACTCAGTTTTACTTTTGGAACATACTGGTTACTTCATGTGTTGTACCATGTTGTTGCTTGTTTCAGACATCAGTTGGATCTGTTCTCTCACATGTGCCTTGATCGTCAGTACCTTGCCATTAACAAGCTGTCTCAGGAACTGGATGTAGACCTCATCCTCAAGTATGTGCTGTAGTTTGTTCCTCAACCTGTTGTCAAGCAAAACAATAGGGCTTCAGTTTAGATAGATTTTGTGCCAATTGCTGACAGATAAGCTTAATATTTAGGACAATTTGATAAGACTTTGGGATCAGACTGTGGATAAAGTGATACAGGGCCTATCATAAGTCTATGTTAAAGGATGGAAGTTACAAAAGGAGTAAGGCACTGAACTCTATCGTGATCATTTTAGTACCTGTTGATTTTAGGGCAGAATAGGGGATGCCCAGTAGTCATTCAAGGCAGAATAGGCCCTCAGTACCTTCTTTGGCCTCTCCATTGGGGTAGTACTTGTTTGTTTGTTTGTTTGTTTGTTTGTTTGTTTGTTTGTTTGTTGTATAACGCGGCACTCAGCAGTACTCCAGCTTTATGAGGGCTCTTTGTAAATAATCAAGTCTGGACCAGACAATCCAGTGACTGACATCATGAACATCGATTCACGCAATTGGGATACGATGACATGCATCAACCAAGTCAGCGAGCCTGACCATTTGATCCTGTTAGTCGCCTTTTACGACAAGCATAGTCGCCTTTTACGGCAAGCATGGGTTGCTGAAGACCTAATCTACCCCGGATCTTCACAGGCACATTGGGGTCGTAGGTAGAAGGAACGCACAGTTCTTCTTACCATGATACATAATGCTGAGTGCAGTATACATCAATAACTACTCTTTCACTTCTACAAGGGATGTAAAGGGGACTCGCAGTTTGGCGCTATAGTCATTGAAACTAGAAACCCACTAATTTAGTTATTCTTAAGGTAAGGGTTATAACAAGGACCCTATGGTTTTCATACTTTTAAACGCTGTATGATATGTGACAGATGTGTGAAGAGCCCAGTTAGAATTGGTCTTCAGACACCCATGCTTGTCGTAAGAGTCAACTAACGGGATGGGTGGTCAGACTCGCTGACTTGGTTGGTGCACATCATCATGTTCCAATAGCTTGGATTGATGGCGATGATTTCAATCACTGGATTGTCTGGTCCAGACTTGATTATTTACAGACCGACGTCATATAGCTGAAATATTGCTGAGTGTGGCCTTAAACAACAAACAGACAAAACAAACAAGCAGCATGTCCGAAACATTCCTCTTGGTTTTAGTTCTTAGTATTGACCACTGTGTTGACAGATGCATGTCTGACGAGCTCCTCCCCGCTGTCCTGCGCGCCTCGTTCTGCCGCCTGATGCTTCACATGCATGTGGATCGCGACCCCCAGGAGCAGGTGAAGCCGGTCAAGTACGCCCGACTGTGGTCGGAGATCCCATCCCAGATCTCCATTGAAGAGTAAGTCGGACATAGCTGGGCTGTTGGGAAAACCTAGTGTTATTATGTATATAGTGTACTTTTTTCAGTCGCTATGTGGTGTTTCTTACCAGAGTAAATCTGAAATATGGGGGCAGTTATAAGGAAAGAGTCAGGATTGGTTAAGTCTTCTTGCTCAAGACAATATGCGATGTTGCATCGAGTTAGACAACGACCTGAAATCTACTGAACTGTGTATTAATCCTCACAGATCTCCATACAAAAGTAGATCAAATATTGATAATCGTTTGCAAAGCTAAGAAATTTAATGTGGTTCACAGGCATTGACTTTTGAAAGTTGTTTTGGAAGGGGAGTTTTAAAAAGTTACCAAATTTGGTGTAATTTTAGCACATAGGACTGAAGGTCCAACTGAACTTGTGGCGTGGCCTGTTGTCCGTCATCAAAATTAAAGTTAACTTTCCAGTTTTTCTTCAATCAGACTTATTGGATGATGAACCTGACATGGTTTCAAATAAGCATTAAAATCTCAGTGGTACATTCAGCTCTATGCCTGTAAATATCACTGAATGACTTTAAGTTCACTCAAATTATACCCGGTGAGCAGCAGTGCCTTAATTGGCAATAATTAGTGTCACAGCAATATTGGCATAACACTGTATAAGCATGCATGCCAGCTCCTGGAAACTGGGCCCCATTCCACAAAGCGATCTCTGCGCTACGATGATGGTAACTCCCATCTTTAACATAGACTTACAGTCGTCGTAGCATTAAGGTCGCTTTGTGGAACAGGGCCCAGAGCATCTGTGCCCACTTGCACTTAGTGATCTTAGTGCTAAGATGATCGTAACTCCGATACTTTAACATGGCTCAAAATCGTCGTAGCACTATGGTCGCTTTGTGGAATGGGGTTTAGAGCATCTGTTCCCACTTTCACAAAGCGATCATAACACTAAGATGATCGTAACTTCCATACTTTAATATTGGCTTACGATCGTCAAGCACTAAGGTCGCTTTATGGAACAGGGCGGAGAGCATCTGTGCCCACTTGCACAAAGCGATCTAAGCGCTAAGATGATCATAACTCCTATACTATAACATGGCTTACGATCGTCGTAGCGCTAAGGTTCCCTTGTAGAACGGGGCCCAGAGCATCAGGAATACTTGTTAAGGCTAACATCCAGGATTCCATATAGTCAGATGATGAAACAGTGACATTAGTTCTATATCCTGTTCTATAGCTATGAACCCTGGGGTTAGTGCTATATCGTGTCTGTGGACTTGAGTGTCTCTCCTGTACAGTAAACTACGGTTATAACGAACACGCTTATAACGAACTGACGGATATAACGAACTTACTTTTTTGGTCCCGACTTTTTGCTGTAGTTATGCTGTATATATGCTTATAACGAACTACAGTTATAACGAACTAAAATGAGTAGTCCCTTTGAGTTCGTTATAACCGTACTTTACTGTAGTTTAATGCTGTAGGTTAACTCCGTAGGTGATGACAGATGCCTTTTGGTACATTGAACTTTGTACATATTTATTGACCCTCGAATGTGTAAACTAATCATTAGTCTGATTGTGGTAATATCTTCACTTTGGAAATATCTTGAGAGAAATAGTAATTTCTAAATGATTATTGTCACATGATTTCTTGATAATGTTATTAAGCTTTTCTGAATGGTGAGCAGGAAGTACGGGGCAAGACAGGGTGGCAACCTGTTGCTTCAGTCATTGTTCCCCTTCAGGGACGATGTGGGGCACCATATGGCGGTGACTACGGCAACCTGTTGTCAGCCCTGTCTCTGTCCTGTATACAAGATTCTGGAAGTCATGTAACACTGTTGCCATGGTAACTCATATACTGTGTGTCGTCTTGCAGCTATAATGGGAGTCAGCAAACGGAAACGTAGGTGCTCCCAGGTTGCCATGCCAACCAAACATTTGGTGGCAACTGTGTTATTCAAGTCATCTGCTTGCTGTTCCAACATTTCCCATTGCAAAAGTTGAAAATCATCCCGCTTAAATCCTTGTAGAAAGCTGCATAATTTCAAACTAAGATAAAAAAAATACAGTTTTCAGTTCCTTCAAAAGAGAAGAAAAGATTTACCAGGACTAACATTACTTTTCAATATACCTATGTGCCAGTTGTATACTTAGAGAATGTTTTAATGCAGTCATGTTGATGTCCATCTTGGTAGATTGAAAAGCTGTGGTTTTGTTGTATGTGATAATTCTGTCGTTTCCATGACGACCAGCACTGACATTATAATGTCAGAGTAATGTTAGCAGCTTTCTGCATCCGATCATCAGTCTTCCAACTCATCAGGAATGTTGCCTATATATGTGTTATTTGTAAGATATGGAAAATTGACATGGTTTTCACATTGTTCTTGGTTTGGTTTGAGTTGCCCTCATCGAGCATATGCTGTGTTGGTAGATAGGCTGGTAGAGATACAACGCAGCGCTCCTAGACGAAGACACTTTGTTGATGTGCCCAACATCTTTGTTTCCATGTGTTCTTCATGTGTAGATGTAGCTACATTCAGAGCATGTCTTTGTTCAGGTAGATTTTTGTCTTCAAGATTGGAATCAGTTTATTGTATCCACTTTGTTAAATTATCCACTATATTTAAACATGGCATGTAGATTAAAACTTCTGGTTTTTTTATCAATTAATCATATTTCACCACATATAGGCAACATTATAGTATTAATATAACGTGTTGATTTAAGAATAATTTAGATTTATTTCACAATCAAGGAAAAATGGCGAAAGTCTTCTCCATATGTTTGTTGTTAGTTTTTTGTCGAATAATTAATCTGCATAGATGACAAGTGTTAAATGACTTGAGGTTAATTATATCTAAGAAATAGGAAGTGAAATTCTCGCAGGACCTTACGTCTCATAAGCGAAACATTTTCTTGCATGGTATCTTCATCATTTGAAACCCAAGCATGCAGACATTGCAGTGGTTTGATTGACCAATCAGAAGCCTAGCAACAGTAAACATCTTGCAGTGTTGCCTGTGTGATATGAGCCGTACAACACTGGCTAGATAAGGCTATTCCTGGTTTCCCCAGAGCAGATGACTTTGAGCACAGTGTATATACTGTAAGCCCCCCCCTCCTCCTCCCGTAGTCCCTGTATTCAACCCGTAACAACCCACTACTAACACTCTCAACTTTGGAATTTCATTTTCAGGTAAAGATGTTAATTTAATCTAAGTCTTCTTCAAGATATATGACCCCACAGATATCTATCAGTTTCTGTCTTATATATAACTACTATTCTATCCTGACTCTTCACAGAGTCTTTTAAGATATCCTTTACTCGTTTCAAGGGCGCCTCTCTTGCCCATTTTTCTTTTTGCAAAGAAAGCATGTATTTTTTAATCTGGGTACCTGACTGTTGAGACTAATTAATTCATTGTGTTAGGGTAACTTACATAGAAATCAGGTTGTTTTCTGCATGTTTGAATTTGGTTTTCACCACTTTTTCCAGTTGGGTAATATTTGCTTGTCACCCTCACATACTAAATATGTAACAATTCTTAAAGAAATTCTAAAAGACTCAAATATTATAAAAATTTATGTATTGTTTTCAGCGGCATAAAACAAACTAAGGGTTATATTGTTATATTTGGCTATGCAACTATCTATACTGAAAAAATAAATAGGGATCATGAATATTTGGGGCTTATTTTATGAAAATTGTGTGCTCATTTCTTTACTACAAAAAAATATCACCAAAATATTCATGATCTGATCTCTAACTGTTTTTGTTCAGTGTGCAATGTCAACAGTCCCAATGATTAATGGAAGTACATTCACATAGGCCAGTATGAAGTCTGACAGACGAGATGAGTAATTGTAGCTCTTGGAAGATAATGTCAGCAATATGGATTCTGTTCTCATGAATATACATAACATGGAGCATATTTTATGAAGTATTCCCTCTAAAATGTACTCGACAAACCCTTCTTTGTGTAGAGACAGATATCTTAGAATGGCAGTAGCTGAGTATGTAATCAGGACAGATTTTTCACACTTCATAAATGAGATGCAACACAAAGACAAACACTAACCAGACTTCATTGTGGCTTCTTTCACAGTAGTTGCACCAGTCAACTGCTACACCAAACTGCCGTAGTCGGGAAGAATCTGCTCCCACACAATATAGTGACGTCATGATCACTGGCATGCGGCAGATGATGAGGGAGTGAGCATTATTCCCAACATACTTTGTGATTGTTAAAAATTTGAACAAAGACAAATTATTTCTCGTTCACAATAAATAGGTTAAATGACGACAGTTTCCCCACTTAGTTTTGACCACAGCTGACAGTTGCCTAATGAAATTTGGCTTCTGTGTGCCCAGAATAGATTACACTTTAAATTCTAGATTCCTATGTAGGTAAGATGAGGTTTACCGATGCTCAACTTAGGTTAGAACTGGCTCCTGTGTGGCTAAAATAGGCTACACTTTGGATTCTAGATTCCCCATTTAGGTTAGACGAGGTCCCCTAGTGCTCAACTTAGGTTAGAACTGGCTTCTGTGAGCTACACATTGGATTCCTGATTCCCAGTTTTAGGTTTTCCCACCCTTATAAGCAGCAGCCCCAGAAGTTAGTGTGTTGTGTAGACAGGCTACAACTTCCAAACACATGTTTTGTGCAACTGCCGGTAGAGTAGATACGTTTTCTCAACTAAATCAGCTGTACAGCTTCAACACAGATATGGCAGTAAATGTGAAGCCAATTGAACAACACACTCAATGTCCAAGCATCGCCCAGGAACAAGCTTTTCCTTTCGACATAGTTATAAAGTTTCTCTAGTCCATATGATGAGTGATGTGTGGCTTTCGTCGCAGTAACTTCCTTTAAAGTTTAAATGATCCGATTAAATGCTCCAATGTATTGGGGCTGGTTAACCTGACTGTTATTGTATGCAGACTGTGTGTGATGTGTCTCACCTGGGTCTGTATGTTGCTCCAGCTATGAGTCCGCAGTCAGCAAGGTCCCGGAGAAGGAGAGGGTGAAACACAAGTTTGCTCTCACCATCAACTTCGTCGAGGACTACCTCTGCAACGTCGTCAACCGCGCGTGGACAGAGCCTGAGCAGAACAAACTGACCTACGAGGTAAGACATCAAACCTGCAGTAATCATTCAGGCGTATATAACAGGGTTGTCTCTGGTGAAACCGCAAACACGCAGACACTGGACATTCCAGAAACTCCACATTACAGAACAACATCTTTGTGAATCATGTGCCATCTTGCTACAGGTGGTCAACTTGGCCTGTCAGCTCATCTAGTCCACATTAACTAGGTTCACTGTAGTTGTATTGTCTTGCTACAGGTGGTCAACCTGGCCCGTCAGCTCATCTAGTCCACATTAACAAGGTTCACTGTAGTTGTATTGTCTTGCTACAGGTGGTCAACTTGGCCTGTCAGCTCATCTAGTCCACATTAACAAGGTTCACTGTAGTTGTATTGTCTTGCTACAGGTGGTCAACCTGGCCCGTCAGCTCATCTAGTCCACATTAACAAGGTTCACTGTAGTTGCATTGTCTTGCTACAGGTGGTCAACCTGGCCCGTCAGCTCATCTAGTCCACATTAACAAGGTTCACTGTAGTTGTATTGTTTTGCTACAGGTGGTCAACCTGGCCTGTAAGCTCATCTAGTCCACATTAACAAGGTTCACTGTACTTGTATTGTTTTGCTACAGGTGGTCAACCTGGCCTGTAAGCTCATCTAGTCTACATTAACAAGGTTCACTGTACTTGTATTGTCTTGCTACAGGTGGTCAACCTGGCCTGTCAGCTCATCTAGTCCACATTAACAAGGTTCACTGTACTTGTATTGTCTTGCTACAGGTGGTCAACCTGGCCTGTCAGCTCATCTAGTCCACATTAACAAGGTTCACTGTAGTTGTATTGTCTTGCTACAGGTGGTCAACTTGGCCCGTCAGCTCATCTAGTCCACATTAACAAGGTTCACTGTAGTTGTATTGTCTTGCTACAGGTGGTCAACCTGGCCTGTCAGCTCATCTAGTCCACATTAACAAGGTTCACTGTAGTTGTATTGTCTTGCTACAGGTGGTCAACTTGGCCCGTAAGCTCATCTAGTTCACATTAACAAGGTTCACTGTAGTTGTATTGTCTTGCTACAGGTGGTCAACTTGGCCTGTCAGCTCATCTAGTTCACATTAACAAGGTTCACTGTAGTTGTATTGTCTTGCTACAGGTGGTCAACTTGGCCCGTAAGCTCATCTAGTTCACATTAACAAGGTTCACTGTAGTTGTATTGTCTTGCTACAGGTGGTCAACTTGGCCTGTCAGCTCATCTAGTCCACATTAACAAGGTTCACTGTAGTTGTATTGTCTTGCTACAGGTGGTCAACGTGGCCTGTCAGCTCATCTAGTCCACATTAACAAGGTTCACTGTAGTTGTATTGTCTTGCTACAGGTGGTCAACTTGGCCTGTCAGCTCATCTAGTTCACATTAACAAGGTTCACTGTAGTTGTATTGTCTTGCTACAGGTGGTCAACTTGGCCCGTAAGCTCATCTAGTTCACATTAACAAGGTTCACTGTAGTTGTATTGTCTTGCTACAGGTGGTCAACTTGGCCTGTCAGCTCATCTAGTCCACATTAACAAGGTTCACTGTAGTTGTATTGTCTTGCTACAGGTGGTCAACCTGGCCCATAAGCTCATCTAGTTCACATTAACAAGGTTCACTGTACTTGTATTGTCTTGCTACAGGTGGTCAACTTGGCCTGTCAGCTCATCTAGTCCACATTAACAAGGTTCACTGTAGTTGTATTGTCTTGCTACAGGTGGTCAACTTGGCCCGTCAGCTCATCTACTTCGGCTTCTACACATTCAGTGACCTGCTGAGACTCACCAAAACACTGCTGAGCATCCTTGACTGTGTGCCAGAGACCAACCATCTCGCCCTCACCCCTGTCAGTGAATGTAAGTAGCTACTACTAACAAGATAAGAATTACTGCACTTCCGAAGTTAACAGAATTTACAAAAATATTTGGATACTGCTGGTGGTCTTTATGATCATTAGTAGCATTACAAATTGGCACTAGTCCTGTAGTCCTAGGACTTGTGGACTAAAACTGTTAGTTTCTAATGCTGTTTAGGGGCAGATGCTGCATTTTACCGATTATGTACCTGGGTTTGTCAGCACCATACCCGTGTCGGGGGTTTCACCTGCATCACTTCGTGGTTTCCTCCCACATTAAGCTGACACGCTGTGTACCTGTAACTGAAATATTGTTCAAAGCAGTCACGCACTCACTCACTCACTCACTCACTCACTCGCTCGCTCACTCGCTGTACACTGCCATGTTTCAATCTTCCATGTGTCCAGCTGCTGAAGAAAGCCTAGAGATGAGTATTTCCGCCATTGGTGAGGCACTGACCAAACAGAAGAAGAAGAGGGAGACTGATGAGGAAGACACAATCGTCATGGATACTAAACTCAAAATTATAGAAATCCTCAAGGTAGGAGATACCTATGATAATCAATGAAGATCTCTTTGACAAGTCATGGAAAGAACTGGCCTCCCAGTGGGGATTCCGGGGAAGAATAGGCCCCCAGTACACCTTGCTTGCCACCCTGTGGGAATCCGGGGCAGAATAGGTCTCCAGTACCCATGCTTGTCTCCCTGTGGGGATTCCGGGGCAGAATAGGTCCCCAGTACTCCATACCTGTCATAAGAGCAGACCAAATGACAATGTAATACCACTTGAAGAACAGGACCTAAGCTATAGACAACACTATGAACTTACATTGTTGCAAACACCACTGGTACATGTGCACAACAGTTCTATGTATTCTGCCATAAAAATAATGGTTATCTCAGTTTCCGTCTTCCTCAAGTAATGTAAGTCAAGCTTGTCTATCGTGTCAGCCATATTGTACTGTGCACACTGTTTGCATGCTTGTATTTCCCATCTGGTGCCCCCCGATTAATCGGGTGGCTTAGTGGTTTGTGTGTTCACTCTCCACACATAAAAACTCAGGTTCGATTCCCCAATATCTATGTCAGTTTTGATATGGCTGAAAGATTGCTGAAAGATTGCTGAAAGTCTCACTCGCTCACTGTGTGCTGAAGCAACAGAATTTTAGTTGTGTTTTGTTACCTTTTGTTTCAGTTTATTTTAGACGTGCGCCTAGATTACCGCATCACTTGCCTCCTGTCTATTTTTAAACGAGAACATGATGAGCCAAGTCATGCAGAAAGTAGGTTCAGTGTTTATATCCAGTTATCTCTCACCTCCCTACATTCTCCACTATTCAGCTGTCTCCACCTCCCTTCTGTTAGCCTTGTATCCTGAACCCATTGGATAATAATAATAATAGTCATCGTCAGTTTATATGGCGGTGTACTCCATGCGTAATCATTCTCTAAGCTCTTAGGCATTTATTACCACATTGTCTTCTCATCCTGCCGGGTACCCATTCACTGCTGGGAGAACAGAGGCACAATTGGAACAAATCACTTGCCCAGTTGCTTCCGAAGCTAGCTTTTGACTCAGTTAAGCTCAACTCCCTTGCTCCCTCCTGGTGAGTCCGATTCAAGCGGTGCATGGCTAGGAAGAGACATCAAAAGTAATTGTTCAATATTGTGGTCATGATATCTGTTTCCAAATGAAGCTATGCATGTGGCATCAAACAGGTCCAGGGTGATAATCGTAACAGATGGGAAATGTGTTACCCTGAATAGTGGAGGATGGAGACACTAGGGTTTGCCCAGCACTTTCAGATGCTGGCTACTAACACATGTACAGTCCACCTCCATGACATCACATGCTGGCTACTAACACATGTACAGTCCGCCTCCATGACATCACATGCTGGCTACTAACATATGTACAGTCCACCTCCATGACATCACATGCTGGCTACTAACACATCTCACATGCTGGCTACTAACACATCTTACATGCTGGCTACTAACACATGTCCAGTCCACCTCCATGACATCACATGCTGGCTACTAACACATGTAACAGTCAATCTCGATGACATCACATGCTGGCTACTAACACATGTCCAGTCCACCTCCATGACATCACATGCTGGCTACTAACACATGTACAGTCCACCTCCATGACATCACATGCTGGCTACTAACACATGTCCAGTCCACCTCCATGACATCACATGCTGGCTACTAACACATGTACAGTCCACCTCCATGACATCACATGCTGGCTACTAACACATGTAACTGTCAATCTCGATGACATCACATGCTGGCTACTAACACATGTAACAGTCAATCTCGATGACATCACATGCTGGCTACTTACACATGTCCAGTCCACCTCCTGACATCACATGCTGGCTACTAACACATGTACAGTCCACCTCCTGACATCACATGCTGGCTACTAACACATGTCCAGTCCACCTCCATGACATCACATGCTGGCTACTTACACATGTCCAGTCCACCTCCATGACATGACATCCTGGCTACTGACACATGTAACAGTCCATCTCGATGACATCACATGCTGGCTACTAACACATCTCACATCCTGGCTACTAACACGTAACAGTCCATCTCGATGACATCACATGCTGGCTACTAACACATGTAACAGTCCATCTCGATGACATCACGTGCTGGCTACTAACACACGTTACAGTCCATCCCGATGACAACACATTTTTCACAATCCGTCAAACTTGTCCTTCCTCCTGTTCAGGAGATTTAGCTGCATTCAGAAATCATAAATATTGAATAATCACAAAAGCTAAGTGAAAACTTAAATCACATCTTGATTCAGTTGAAATAATGCAATTAATTACTTGAAAATGTACAAGAATTTATGATAAAACTGAATACATAAATAGTCTTAAAGTCTGCCAGACAAGTGGGCAGGTGGAGGAATATTTCAGACAGCCCGACAGGAAAGTTACCAGCCACAGGCAGCCAGGCAGGCAGTTATTTTGGACACGGTCTTCATTAATTCAAATACCTATATTTCTTGAAACCGCCCAAGTTAACCTGTGTTTGAGACAGATTATTAAGCATTGTTGTTGACATCTGTGCCAGTTGAGAGTATTGGTGATTATGGAAACTATCAGAAAATAGCCCAGATCGGGTTTCCTTGTCCTTGTGATAATGCCAACACTGTTCTACACAGTGTATCTTGTTGGGGCAGGGTTTGAAATTGACATATGTCTGCTATTTTGTGACTTGTTTATGATGTTTCCTTGTGGACTTCCACTTTTAATTTTAGGTAAATGGGAACTAATTTTTGTAGGGAAAATAAAAAGTAATTTTTATCTTGTGAGGTATGATAAATTTGTTCTTTGAATTCGTCTGAATCACAGTGTGTCATTGAATACAACAGGATTATTTAGATTCACTTTTAAATGATAATTTATTTTATTGAAAATTCATTTGAAACCACATCAGATAAATCGATTTGGACTGCTACAAGCTGTGAATGACATATGTAACTAACACCTACATACTCTGGCTTATTTAGACAGTGTTCCTTCTCCATGTGCTTGTAGTCTACTCTGTGTGTGTTTGTGTGTGTGTGTGTGTGTGTGTGTGTGTGTGTGTGTGTGTGTGTGTGTGTGTGTGTTGGCCAATGGGTGGAGGGTGGTTTTGTGTACAACTCTGTACATCTGTACATCAATGACTTAGGGGTGAAACAATGCAGCAAGGTCATGATACAATATGTATCGCGATACGCATATTTACGTCAAATCACATAGAAAATTCTGGACAATAAATATTTCAGAGCAGGTTTAAAAGGAAAAACTAGCTGTAGACACATGTTCGTAAGGGCTATTTTTTTAAATGCTAATTAAAACACATTTCGCTATATCTGACTGACAAAAGCACCAGAGGTCATTATCGTCTTGTATGGATACAGAGAAGATGTCTGGTGTATTGTATAAAAACTCACGATGCACCGGTTCACTGATGTATTGTTTCACCCCTGTCATGACAATCACAGCTCAGGATGTGACCAGTGAATTTGTACTAGGTAATGTTAATGTCACCGCTACAGTTGAGATGATGAGACTGTTTTACAGCAGGTCACCCAAACCACCAGTATCTGTTGTTTATGAACCTTTCAGTTTGAACTCTTTGTGTTCCTTGTCCATGGCTACAATTGGAGTACTGACTCATGTGCATGCTTTTTCTGTTTCACTCTCTGCAGCATAGTCTGACTCCCCAGTTGTGCTGACTTGTTGTGATTGTGCACGCCTGTATTCCATCTCTGTCCCCTCTCCCCCCTACCCTTCTTGTGGGGAGTCACATCAATGTTCCGATCCATGGTGTTTGGATTCAATGTTTGTAGGTATTGCCTCCATTTTGTGTCCAGTTCCTCAAAGCTATTTTAGCGCTATGACAGTTGTAAGTCTATGTAAAATATAGAAGTTTCGATCGATCACCTTAGCGCTAAGATCGTTTTGTGGAACGGGGCTAGGGATTCCTCCAGCTTGTGAGGATTCCTGTTGATGAAGGGGATTCCCTTTGGTGATGAAGGGAATTCCCTTTGCTGGTAGGGGTTCCCCTGTTTAGGAGGATTTCTTCTGATGAAGGAGATTCCCTTTGTTTGGAGGATTCCTGCTGATGAAGGGGATTCCCTTTGCTGGGAGGATTCCTGGTGATGGAGGGGATTCCCTTTGCTGGTAGGGATTCCTCTACTTTGGAGGATGTTCAGTAAGCCCCAATTTACACACACACAACCCATCTTCACACTGATTTCAATGTATAAAGACTGCTCAGGGTTCATTTCTGAAAAAAGTGTTTAGAATCGCAAACAAATGTTAGATTACAGAGCTATGTCCCCTGGCCTTGAGACCCATCCCAGCACCTCTGGGCAGTTGAATGATATTGGGTGAATGAAGATATGTGCCTGGAACCAGAAGCAGATCAATACCAGACCGAGTTGAACTTCTTTGATGATGATAGACACTGGTTTCTTTGTGTCAAGGGTCCCCATCCCTCGGCCCAAATACTCAATGGCCCAAATATGCCAACTAATTATGGCCCAAATACTCCAACTAATTATGCACCCATCTCAAAGTGTAGAAGTTGCTTAACCTGTTTGTAAATGTTTTGTTTTGGTGACTCAGAAGTCAAATGGTTAGTGTGTTTGCTCATCACAGTGAGGATCTTGGTTTGATTCCCATCATATCCACAACATGTGATTTCTTGGTGATATGGCTGAAAGATTGCTGACAGTGCCCCTGCTCACTGTGATGGTGTTGATATTGGGTAGTCCAGTGGTTAATGTGTTGCCTTGTCACATGTAACATCTGAGTTTGCCTCTATACGTGGGAAGGTGTTTGATGTGCCCTGCCACGATGCAGCTGGAAGATTGCTGTAGAGGTTCAAACCCAACCCTCACACACTCATGCCAATACTAAACTGCTATTTAACCCTATATGTGCTGATTAACCCTCTCTATTGCAGTATCTCATGCATGTCCGGCTCGACTACCGTATAGCCTGGATATTGTCTAAGTTCAAATCTCAAATACAGCCGCAGTTGAAATGTGAAAATCAGTCGAGTTCTAGCATATTTATAAGTATGTCATAACACTGTGCCCAGTAGCTGTTTGTTGTCAAGCTGATGAGATGTTGATGTGGGCGCTGCAGAATGCGAGGCACCAATGAAACATTGTTAAACATGGCACTTGACCTTCAACCCATAGACCAGGAAGTGATTCAAATGGTTGTCACAATCGGGTGGTGAACTTTTTTCATGTCATCCAAAACTGTAGGAAAAAGAGACATTTTCAAGTATTGTCAAAGTTAATTAAACAGCAATGTTCTTGTAAATTTGAGAGAATATTGTGATGTTCTTATAGATGGCCATCAACACCTCATCCATGTTGTGTTCCAAGTCGGTAGATAGACGACCCATGAAGATCCGGGGTAGAATAGGTAGATAGACGACCCATGAAGATCCGGGGTAGAATAGGTAGATAGACGACCCATGAAGATCCGGGGTAGAATAGGTAGATAGACGACCCATGAAGATCCGGGGTAGAATAGGTAGATAGTCGACCCATGAAGATCCGGGGTAGAATAGGTAGATAGACGACCCATGAAGATCCGGGGTAGAATAGGTAGATAGACGACCCATGAAGATCCGGGGTAGAATAGGTAGATAGACGACCCATGAAGATCCGGGGTAGAATAGGTAGATAGACGACCCATGAAGATCCGGGGTAGAATAGGTAGATAGACGACCCATGAAGATCCGGGGTAGAATAGGTAGATAGACGACCCATGAAGATCCGGGGTAGAATAGGTAGATAGACGACCCATGAAGATCCGGGGTAGAATAGGTAGATAGACGACCCATGAAGATCCGGGGTAGAATAGGTTTTCGGCAACCCATGCTTTCTGTAAAAAGCTACTATGCTTGTCATGAGAGGCAACTAACAGGATCGGGTGGTCAGGCTCGCTGACTTCTTGATGCATGTCATTGTATCCCAATTGCATACATCGATACTCATCATGTCAATCACTGGATTGTCTAGTCCAGACTTGATTATTTACAGACCGCTGGTATGTAGCTGGAATATTGCTGAATGTGGATTTAAACAACAAACATACAAAACAAAAGCGGTAGATAGACCGTGTCATGATGCCTGCTACTTTGTAGGTAGGGATGAATGAATCTTTCTGTGATTTCATGTTGTAGTGTTCCTGTTGAGTGTTGTTGGTATGACAAGTGAAGCATGTTTATTTTAATCCCATTTTATTTCATGAGTACATGAGATGAACTCATTGATGTAACTACTTCATCCCATTGCTTTTTCATACCTCATCATTTGCATGACATCTTTATCAACACCCCCTGCCATTGTGACTTAGTAAATGTTGTTGTACATTGACATCACCAGGAGGAATGGACTTTGTCTTAAGAGTAAAATAACAACACTTTATGTCAGAAAATGACAAACAATTTAAATTTTTCATTGACGTCTCTGAACAATAATAATTAAGTCGAACATGAAGTAAACATTAAATGTATTTGGGAATGTATAAGGTATGTACGTACATAGTGAGATGATACGACTTCATCAGGTAACATTGGAGAAAGAATCAAGATCATTAGTTGGCTGAAGTACTATGTGTGTTTTTGAAGGTACCCTCTGTGTGTCGTGTGTAATGTTTATCAGCTGACTGACAGTATTTGTACTTGATAACAGAGTTGGACCTAGAGAGCATTGCCAACAGCGCGGAGGACATCTTCGGTGGAAGGTAAGTGTTTGCCACCAAGGGAGGTATTGTCACACCCTACAGGGCAACAGGTGCGGTGGGGTGTCAAGTGGTTGAAGCGTTAGCTGTAAAACATAGCCTGTAAGGGAGCAATTACAAAAACCGACTATCAGCATTGCCACAAATATGGCTTTTATCGAGTCAAAGTATGGCAGTTAAGTTTGTTTCAAGGCGTCAGTACTGGTAATCTGACCGTTGTTTCTGTAAATAACTGTGAGTATTGCGTGATGTGCTCGCGGTGATCAGCTGATAATGTTTTTTGAGAGGGGGAAAACATTGTGTCATTGTAAAACTTGAGTTTATTAAATATGTAAGTAAATTTTGGAAGCAATGCGTTACAGCACTATAAGCGAGTTAACACTATATTGAGAGGGAATAGCCAGGGAACACTATCTCAGATTCTCAGTTCATTTTACTGGCTTTATTAGTTCGATTTTGGGCAAGTACATGTTAAAACAGGGCAAGTGAGACTGTTGATGCATGCCATTGCATCCTAATTGTGTAGATCGATGGTCATGAAATAGGTTTCTGGTGTGCCCAAGGGACGCAACTCTGCACGGCACCTTAGACAACTGGGTCACCCGTGCCCCAGATTATTTACAGACCATCATCATATTGATGGAATATTGTTATGTGTGGCATGAAGTCAGATTATGATCAGTGTTGGAGCTTGCACACAGCCTGCATCCCCTCAGCTTTTCATTCGTACATCAAGCTGTTGTGATGTTATTGAACTACTGTTCAAAGTGGCATGAAACACACTACCTCACTCACTCCGTGTCTGTTTCAGTGAGGACACAGCCGAGCTGGACCTGGACGGCCACAGCGGAAAGATGTTCCTCCGGGTGCTGCTCAACCTCGTCATGCACAACTACCCCTCCCTCGTCTCGGGCTCGCTACAACTGCTGTTCCGCCACTTCAGTCAGAGGCAGGAGGTGCTGCAGACATTCAAGCAGGTGAGATACACTGTGATAGTGAAATAGACTGAGATAGTGAGGTACACTGATAGAGAGACACACTGTGATAGTGAGATACACTGTGGTAGTGAGATACACTGTGATAGTGAGATACACTGTGATATAGAGATACACTGTGATAGTGAGATACACTGTGATAGTGAGATACACTGTGGTAGTGAGATACACTGTGGTAGTGAGATACACTGTGATAGTGAGATACACTGTGATATAGAGATACACTGTGGTAGTGAGATACACTGTGGTAGTGAGATACACTGTGAAAGTGAGATACACTGTGGTAGTGAGATACACTGTGGTAGTGACATACACTGTGATAGTGAGATACACTGTGATATAGAGATACACTGTGGTAGTGAGATACACTGTGGTAGTGAGATACACTGTGATAGTGAGATACACTGTGATATAGAGATACACTGTGATATAGAGATACACTGTGATAGTGAGATACACTGTGATAGTGAGATACACTATGATAGTGAGATAGATGAACTGTTCCCATCAGTCAGGTCCAACTAGGTCAGTGATCCAACCATGTGTCGGCCCGTTAAGTCAGTGATCCAACCATGTGTCGGCCCGTTAAGTCAGTGATCCAACCATGTGTCGGCCCGTTAAGTCAGTTGTCCATCCATGTGTTGGCCTGTTAAGTCAGTGATCCAACCATGTGTCGGCCCGTTAAGTCAGTGGTCCAACCATGTGTCGGCCCGTTAAGTCAGTGGTCCAAACATGTGTCGGCCCGTTAAGTCAGTGGTCCAAACATGTGTTGGCCCGTTAAGTCAGTGATCCAACCATGTGTTGGCCCGTTAAGTCAGTGGTCCAACCATGTGTCGGCCCGTTAAGTCAGTGGTCCAAACCATGTGTCGGCCTGTTAAGTCAGTGGTCCATCCATGTGTCGGCCCGTTAAGTCAGTGGTCCATCCATGTGTCGGCCTGTTAGGTCAGTGGTCCATCCATGTGTCGGCCTGTTAAGTCAGTGGTCCAACCATGTGTCTGCCCACTAATTCAAGGATCCAACATTGTGTTGGCCATCTGTTCCTTCAATCAAGTCCCACTGAGTCAGTGGTCCAATCTTGTTTTGTTCACAGGTGCAGCTGCTGGTTACCCCGAGCGACGTGGAGAACTACCGACAGATTAAGTCCGACCTGGATCAGCTGCGACTGATGGTGGAGAAGTCGGAGCTGTGGGTGTACAAGAGCAAGCCGGGCTCCGAAGGCAAGAAAAAGAAGAAGGATGGAGAGGTGAGCAGCTCCACAGCTTCAGGTGGACGCCAATATCAGCGGAAATGGTCCAGTACCAGTGAAAGGAATAATGGGTCATGTTTTAGTAATTGAAAGTCATTCTGTCAGGGGTAACAAGCGGCCTTAGGCTGTAGGTCTAAGAAACTAACCATTTCACATTCAAGGGGAAGCTTGGCATATTTTTAGGGATTAGTTGTTACAGAAAATACTGGAATTTTTTTTTTACACAGTATTTAAAAGCAGTACATTCTTGAGAAATTGTTTGATAGGCATTACTTAGAAGGATGACAAGGTAGACACAATTTTATGGATAACAACTTCTTTAATACTGTAAAAAGCAAAGTGTCATCAAGCAATAATCACTTATCATGTTTAATTGGCTTCATGTCCCATTGGCTTCCACCTATGTGTTCTCTGTCCATCGTGTTGTGACAGTATTATCACTTTGTTGTCAACACCTTACCTATGTTATCCCACTCATATCATGTTATTGTTGTTACTGTTAATCCTCGACTGTTGATCCTCCACCTACTATATATATTCTGTACTAAGTCCTTCATTCAGTCTTGCTTGACAATGGTAAAAGGATCTATACCGAAACATTGCTTTTTACAGTATTAAAGAAGTTGTTATCCATAAAATTGTGTCTACCTTCACATTCTGGAGGTCCTGAAAGAAGTGTGTTGTTGAAATGTAAAGTGTTCAACTTCCTGTTCTTACCGTGAGCGGTAGAAATTGGCACCAGTCCTATGGTCCTTGCCAAATTGCCCAATAGTTAAGGTATCATATGGACAAGTAGAAATTTGTCATTTTTAAGGGTTTGCTATATGTTGTAAGGACTAGTGGACTAAGAATGTCAGTTTCTATTGCTGCCCCTGCTGGATAATAAATGGTTGGCTGGAAGTCAACGCGACTGTTCACCCTAATTCTGATCATTTGCTGTCTGCAACCATACACGTGGGATCACTTGAACTGACACGCGACCCATGAAGATTCAGGGTAGAATAGGTCTTTAGCAGCTCATGCTTGCCGTAAAAGGCAACTATGCTTATCGTAAGAGGCAACAAACAGGATCGGGTGGTCAGGCTTGCTGACTTGGTTGATGCATGTCATCGTATCCCACTTGCTTGGATCGATGCTCATGATGTCAATCACTGGATTGTCTGGTCCAGACTGGATTATTAACAGACTGCCCTCATATAGCTGGATCATGCTGAGTGCGGCATTAAACAACAGCCCAAAAAAAGAAGTGAACTGGCACACTGTGATGTGACTGTGTCTTTGTGTTGCAGGGCGGGAAGGACAAGGGGGATGGTGACGGCAAGAAGAAGTCAAAGGCAGCGTCACAGTGGGTGAGTACCACATTCGGCCACCAGGGGGCCAGTTGTTGTCATATCTGAGTGCTATGTGGAAGGGACCTTCTGCTCTCCAGGCAGATGCTATGTCCACTGGCCAAAGAAGGCGTTCTAAGTGGATCTGAAGTTTATGTATCACTGTACAGTTACATCAAAGTACTTACCACAACGACTATTTTTGTTTTGGAAGCAGGCAATTTCTACTCTGGTAGACGTAATTTATGAAGACTCAAGGTAATGATGATAAATAAGCTAAGACATAGGCTTGGAGGGCCTGTGTCCCCACTGTAGTTACCTTGATTCTCTTGGCATCAACCTCTGGTTTGTCTGGTCCAGACTCTACTGTCCAGGGCCCACTTGCACAAAGCGATCTTAGCACTAAGATGATCGTAACTCCCATACTTTAACATAGGCTTACGATAGTCTAAGCGCTAAGATTGCTTTGTGCAAGTTGGCCCAGGTGGTCAGTATGGATGTTGTATTTTTGTTACCAGTACTGTCTCTCACTCGATTAATTCTATTTTAATTTGTGTCCTCAGACTACTGACCAGGGATCAGCGATTGACCTTGAACTTGGCCCACCGATTGATAACCTGGCCAACAAGAATTACAAGGCTATCAAAGCTGTAAGTTTAACTCACTCACTTGTGGATCTCTTTAACAGTCTTGTTGAGATAGCTTTAGCAATATTCCCACGATGCCAGTGTTACAAGACTGATTGCTAGGCTGACAAACCCTTGACTTCCAGCTGATGTCATCGTTGTAAGAGATGTGAAATAACACCAGGTTTTTTTTATTGTTTGGGGGTTTCCGGTAACTCTACAAAGTAAACATTCTTTTTGTTTATTTCTCTGTCAAGAGCAGTGTTATGTGTTCACACAAGATGTTAAACTACAAGACAATAGGTTAGGTGACATGCTTAACTGACAAATGGCATCAGCTTCACAGAAGTTTGTGAAGAATTTTTTTCCCTATAAGGCAACCAGGACAGCATTAGAAATTGGCGCGAGTCCTATAGTCCTTGCCAAACTTCCCAATAGTTAAAGTATCATAAGGACAAGTAGAAATTTGCCCTCTTGAGAATTTTGCTGTATGTTATCATTATTAGCACTGATGGACTTAAACTGTTAGTTTCTTTAGCTGCAGGATTGTCTTAGATAAGAATGCAGTGTTAGAAATTGGCCCTAGTCCTATAGTCCTTGCCAAACTGTCCAATAGAAATTTTGTAAATGATGTCTCTCGTGATGTATTTCCTTGTGAATGTCTGGTTATCAGCTCAATGTGGGGCCGTGGTTCGTGGACACGCAGCTGTACTGCCAAGTAAGGTTTGCCGTGGGATGAACACCACATGCTATCATCTCACAAACACTCTCTGCATCATGTTCACAAAGTCATCCTACGATGGTGCCGTGTTAGAAATGACTGGGATCCGGGGGTCCTTGAGATGTTCTTACAATATTTGAATCTTGAGACCCCTTAATGTTTGAGTTTTTCTATAAGGGTAATGACAAGGACCCCTTGACCCTCTCGTTGATTTCATACATTGCAGATGCCTGTTCAAAAAACTTTTCACTTTACTAGCACAACATCATGAACATTTTGTCCAGCAGATTTTGAACTGAACTATTATCAGCTGAGTTTATTGAACTGAAATAATTTTTGCAAAGTTGAGGCTTGGGATTAAAGTCACTGGCCAAAGGGGTATTCCTGACATCATCAAGTTAATCCAGGCCACACCACGTCCCCAGGACACCAGCTTGATGTAAAGGTCGGCTGAAATGGGAATTGGATGACCAGGCTTCGTGAATTTCATGAATCCGCCACCTTACCGTGTCAGTGTGGATTGCTGCTCATGATATCAACCCTTGCTTTGCCTGGCCACTGTGTATGGCTTGAATATTGCTGACCTCAGCATAAAACATGAAACAAACCAATCTTCAAGTTAATGCAGCCTGATACCTCTTATGCAGTCCACGCCCTGAATGTTGGTATCACACAAACTGTCCTTGAGGTGATAGAGGTGAAATGGGGTTTAACGTCACGTCCAAGATTATTGCACTTGCATAGTGACTTGCATGCATGTGTGAGTGTGTGTGGCTGCTTGTACTAGTCTGGTCAAATGCGGATTTTCTAGTGCTAGCCCACTGAGATACCATGCCGCAGTTTGACATGAATACATTACTCAGACACAGTATTCTGACTCCAAGCCAACCAGTCCTTGTTTTAGCCTCTTAATATCGAGTGCCAGGGAGGGTAACAAGAAGTACCATCTTTTGAGGTCTTATGGTATGATGCGTCAGGGGATCAAACCCCAGACCTTCCGCTTTCCAGGTGGACGCTCTACCACTAGGCCACATAGGCGGTCCTTTGGCAATTGGTATGATGTGAAGACAATGAGTAAAGGTTAAAAGACCCCCACCCCCAACAATTGACTCTTGGCAGTTGTCAAAGAATGGTATTGCTGATGTACCTCAGGGGTGGTGGGGTAGCCTAGTGGTTAAAGCGTTCGCTCGTCATACAGAGGACCCGGGTTCAATTCCCCACATGGGCAAAATGTGTGAAGCCCATTTCAGGAGTCCACCGCTGTTATGTTGCTGGTATATTGCTAAAAGCGGCCTAAAACTCCCTTCCATTAGGTATACATTAGCATGCACCTCATCCGGCGCTGTGGTAAACACAGCATCTCTACTATCCCTGGGACGTCACGCCGAAGACCCGGGTTCGATTCCCGACATGGGTACAATGTGTGAAGCCCATTTCTGGTGTCCCCCGCCGTGATATTGCTGGAATATTGCTAAAAGCGGCGTAAAACCAAACTCAATCAGTCAGTCAGTACTATCCCTGGGTTCCTTTACTTGTCTTTCAGTTTGTTTTCCCTGTATTCTACATTCCACATTTTGGTTTGATTTATTTTGTGTGAGTGTCTTTTGTTTTGTGTTTTGTGCATTTAGTTTTCACAATGTCATCCATACACCTTATGTTCAGAGCAAATGATTGGTACTAGTAGAGATTTTCATATGATTTGTCAGTTTACATTATTGACATCTAATTTCCATTTTGGATGTTTTTGTTTTCTTTTTATTCTCATCTCCATCTAGTCCTAAGTTTGCATCCACTTAAAAATATAATTGAAATCATTTCTATCTGTCCATTTGCCTGCCTGAAAGAGCCATTATAAGCTGCAAGTCTTGCTGTGTCGTAGATATCATATACTATGGATATAAATTGTATTATGTGAGTGTATGGCCATCCTTCTATCCTTCTGACAGCTGTGGATTTGGTTGTTTTGTGGGTGATAACCGGGGTAGAACAAGTCTTCAGCAACCCATGCTTGCCGTAAGAGGCGACTAACAATTGGTTGATCAGGCTCACTGACTTGGTTGATGCATGTCATTGTATCCCAAATGCGTGGACCCGAGTTTGTTGTGGCAACGAGCGAGGTTGGTACCTCTAAACCAAACCCAATATATAAGCAGTATAGTCTCTTGAGACATCCGGGAAGGTACCTGACTGGAGAGAGCGTATCCAATCCAGTGGGAGACTGTAGCTTACTTGGTTACTGGTGTCTGGGTTTAAACCCCACAGACCAACATCCTGCCTTATCTCACTGTATGTCTAATACCTTCAGAACAACCCTTGTGATTGACACAAAGAGTTGCTTGCAGTTTTCAGTACAGAACTCTCTGCATGTCACCACACAGACCAGTACTTTATTTTTTATCAAACTTTATTCCATGGTCTTATCACAGAAAACCTATTGATGTCCTTCTGGTATGGTATTTGAAATGTTGGTTGATGTTCTACAGTTTTGTATCCTGCACTTAAAAGCTAATTCTCATTCTGATATTGTTTGTGGTGTACAACACAGTATTTATGTTTGTATTAATGAACAAAAACAAATGACATCATACCACCTTATTGAAAAGTTTGTTTCAGGGCAAGTTCTGTTTTCAATTCGCTTCTTAAGATTCTGAAACATATTTTTTCCTACACTTTTTACATTTGTGAATGTGATCCTGACAGATGTAAAGCCTTTACACACTCATCAGTTCTTGTTATCAGTCAATTATCCTATTCCAGGAAGCATTATGGCACTAAAGGTCCCTCCATCCTGTCGTGGAGCCATAGCAACACTTCCATTCTGATCCTTGTACATTGATGATACCATGCTGTGTGGTGATTGTCAACATATATAACATGTATAACATTAGTAACTCATAGCAACACTTCCATTCTGATCCTTGTACATTGATAATACCATGCTGTGTGGTGATTGTCAACATGTATAACATGTATAAGCATTAGTAACTCATAGTAACCAACATATAAGTGTTGCAGAGGAGAATATAATGATGAACACAATGTTTTTGATCCAGGTTTGCATTAGACAATGCAACACCATGTCCCCAATCCCACTCAGCATATCATCCATATCAGCACTCTGTTCAGCCTTGCTGGTGTACTGTGCAACATATCAACACAATGTCCCCAATCCCACTCAGCATATCATCCATATCGGCACTCTGTTCAGCCTTGCTGGTGTACTGTGCAACATATCAACACAATGTCCCCAATCCCACTCAGCATATCATCCATATCAGCACTCTGTTCAGCCTTGCTGGTGTACTGTGCAACATATCAGCACAATGTCCCCAATCACACTATTCCATTATACATCACATGAACATATCTGCACTCTGTTCAGCCTTGCTGGTGTACTGTGCAACATATCAACACAATGTCCCCAATCCCACTATTACATCTATATACACCACATGAACATATCAGCACTCTGTTCAGCCTTGCTGGTGTACTGTGCAACATATCAACACAATTGTTCCCACACTATTGAATTATACAATGTTCCCTTAACACAATGTTCCTTAAACACAATGTTCCCAATCCTTCAGTTGCATTCTGGGACACATCAACATAGTGATCTCACTTTCCTAGTGAGTGTATTGCCTGGCTTGTGTTTCCAGGTGTTGCTACGACTCACCAGACTCTGCGTCCAGGACATCCCCGACTCCATCATCTCCAAAAAGCCACGCAAACATGAGCAACGTCTCCTGCGCAACATGGGCGCCCACTCGGTGGTCTTGGAGCTGTTGCAGATACCCTATGATAAAGTAGGTGGGGGTTGTAGGAGACACTGAGTGAGCTGCTAGTCTATATGGTCTATGATGCAGTGAGTGATCCAGTAATGATTTGTGTATTGTACAGTGAGCATGTACTTGAGTGCTGGTATGTACAAGAGTGCCTGTATGTACAAGAGTGCCTGTATGTACATGAGTGCCTGTATGTACATGAGTGCCTGTATGTACAAGAGTGCCTGTATGTACAAGAGTGCCTGTATGTACATGAGTGCCTGTATGTACATGAGTGCCTGTATGTACAAGAGTGCCTGTATGTACATGAGTGCCTGTATGTACATGAGTGCCTGTATGTACAAGAGTGCCTGTATGTACATGAGTGCCTGTATGTACATGAGTGCCTGTATGTACAAGAGTGCCTGTATGTACAAGAGTGCCTGTATGTACATGAGTGCCTGTATGTACATGAGTGCCTGTATGTACAAGAGTGCCTGTATGTACAAGAGTGCCTGTATGGACATGAGTGCCTGTATGTACATGAGTGCCTGTATGTACATGAGTGCCTGTATGTACTTGAGTGCCTGTATGTACATGAGTATCTGTATGTGCTTGAGTGCCTGTACACGTATGAGTGCCTGTATGTACATGAGTGCCTGTATGTACATGAGTACCTGTATGTACATGAGTGCCAGTATGTACATGAGTGCCTGTATGTACATGAGTGCCTGTACACGTATGAGTGCCAGTATGTATGAGTGCCAGTATGTACATGAGTGCCTGTATGTACATGAGTGCCAGTATGTACATGAGTGCCTGTATGTACATGAGTGCCTGTATGTACATGAGTACCTGTATGTACATGAGTGCCTGTATGTACATGAGTGCCAGTATGTACATGAGTGCCTGTATGTACATGAGTGCCAGTATGTACATGAGTGCCTGTATGTACATGAGTGCCAGTATGTACATGAGTGCCTGTATGTACATGAGTGCCAGTATGTACATGAGTGCCTGTATGTACATGAGTGCCTGTGTGTACATGAGTGCCAGTATGTACATGAGTGCCTGTATGTACATGAGTACCTGTATGTACATGAGTGCCTGTGTGTACATGAGTGCCTGTATGTACATGAGTGCCAGTATGTACATGAGTGCCTGTGTGTACATGAGTGCCTGTATGTACATGAGTACCTGTATGTACATGAGTACCTGTGTGTACATGAGTGCCTGTATGTACATGAGTGCCTGTATGTACATGAGTGCCTGTATGTACATGAGTACCTGTATGTACATGAGTACCTGTATGTACATGAGTACCTGTGTGTACATGAGTGCTTGTATGTACATGAGTACCTGTATGTACATGAGTACCTGTGTGTACATGAGTACCTGTATGTACATGAGTGCCTGTATGTACATGAGTGCCTGTATGTACATGAGTACCTGTATGTACATGAGTAACTGTATGTACATGAGTGCCTGTATGTACATGAGTGCCTGTATGTACATGAGTACCTGTATGTACATGAGTGCCTGTATGTACATGAGTACCTGTATGTACATGAGTGCCTGTATGTACATGAGTAACTGTATGTACATGAGTAACTGTATGTACATGAGTGCCTGTATGTACATGAGTAACTGTATGTACATGAGTGCCAGTATGTACATGAGTAACTGTATGTACATGAGTGCCTGTATGTACATGAGTGCCGGTATGTACATGAGTGCCTGTGTGTACATGAGTGCCTGTATGTACCTGTGTGTTACAGACGGAGGACATACGGATGCAGGAGATCATGAAGCTAGCCCACGAGTTCCTGCAGGCCTTCTGTCTCGGAAACCAGCCCAACCAGGGCCTGCTGTACCAGTCTCTGGACCTCTTCCTCACTCCAGGGGTGAGTCATCACACACACATCCACGCACACGTACATGCACACATGAGAACACACGTGTTCCTGTCTCTGGACCTCTTCCTCACTCCAGGGGTGAGTCATCACACACACATCCACACACTAGCACTTGCATATGCACATGCATTCACACATGCACACATGAGAACACACGTGGTGTTCCTGTCTCTGGACCTCTTCCTGACTCCAGGGTTGAGTTCGCCACTTGCACACATGCACATGCACACACACTACACAGACACACTCAAACATATTCCTTCCACAGATAAGACCACTGGAACCTGTACCTAGGCTGAGCCTAGTTTGAGTTAATCATGTCCACGGTTGTGTTATTGTCTAGCAGATATATACACCCATGTTACAGTTGCTGGAGGCGCAGACAACTCGCAGCATCTTTCTTGACAATGTCCACCTGTGCGATGAGATCAAGGATCGAGTTGTGCAGCACTTTGTGCGATGTATTGAGACCCACGGGCGCCATGTGCAGTACATCAAGTTCCTGCAGACGATCGTGAAGGCCGAGAACCAGTACATCCGGCGCTGCCAAGAGATGGTCATGGCTGAGGTGGGTCGAGGTTGGGGGTCTATGTTGGGGGTCCTTTTGGAGGGTCCTTTTTGGGGGTCCATTTTGACAGTGATAATGGCAGAATTGTGTGCCAACATGGCACAATTGTACTGCAAATTGGACCTGATGTCCTTGGTGTATGTTCATGTGCAGTCTCCTATAAGGTCGATGACTGTGCTATGGAAGAACACGTGTTGTCAGCTCCAATACCAGTAGAACTGTGTTGTCGTCCAGCACTGCTGAGTCTAGGTGTGGTTGTGTTGTGTGTGTTCACTGTGGAGGACAATATGCAGCTGTTGGAAGACCATAAACTAAAAGCATGTGGGGTAGCCTAGTGGTTAAAGTGGTCGCTCGTCATGCCGAAGACCCAGGTTTGATTCCCAACATGGGTACAATGTGTGAAGCCCATTTCTGGTGTCCTCTGCAGTGATATTGCTGGAATATTGCCAAAAGCGGCGTAAAACAATACTCACTCACTAAATAACATGATGAGGAAGGACATCTTTTTCGAGTTGCTGCTCGAGTTGCTGTTTCCACATATTTGTTTCCAGTTACTCTAAGAGATGAATATGTAATTTATTTTATTGTTTTTACACATGAAAAAAGTACCTAGGTTAATATGAGCTCCTGATGCTCTCTGTTCCCTCTACGCACTCTACAAAATGTATGCTCCTTACGCTCTCTATGGTCCTTATGCTACCTACGCTCTCGACGTACAATGTCTACATTCACAACTCTCTTTATGCTCTCTACATTGTCTGTGCTCTTGACACTGTCTATGCTCTCAACACTCTTTGCTCCCTAAGCTCTTCAATTTCACTATGCTATCTAAACTCAATGAAATCTCTACACTGTCTATGCTCTCTACACTCTCCACGCTCTCTCCAAGCCCTCCACACTCTCCACGCTGTCTCCAAGCCCTCCACACTCTCCACGCTCTCTCAAAGCTCTCCACACGCTCTCTCCAAGCGCTCTACACTGTCTATGCTCTGTCAAGCTCTCTACACTGTCTATGCTCTCTACACTCTCTATGCTCTCTCCAAGCTCTCTACACTGTCTATGCTCTCTACACTCTCTATGCTCTCTCCAAGCTCTCTACACTGTCTATGCTCTCTACACTCTCCACACTCTCTTCAAGCTCTCTACACTCTCTATGCTCTCTACACTCTCCACACTCTCTCCAAGCTCTCTACACTCTCTATACTCTCTCCAAGCCCTCTACACTGTCTATGCTCTCTACACTCTCCACGATCTCTCCAAGCTCTTTACACTCTCTATGCTCTCTACACTATTCCACAATGTTGCAGCTGGTGAATGTGGGAGAGGAGGTGCTCCTGTTCTACAATGATCGAGCCTCGTTTGAGGAGCTGATCCGCCTGATGCAGTCGGAGCGTGACCGTGCGGACGAGAACAGCCAGCTGATGTATCACATCAACCTTGTCCAGCTGCTGGCCCTGTGCACGGAGGGCAAGAACGTCTACACCGAGATCAAGTGCCACTCCCTCCTCCCCCTGGACGACATCGTCCGCGTCGTCACACAGCCCGATTGTATCCCAGAGGTATTCCTGTCTATCTTTCATTCGTCCCCTGGGGGGAGACCACATATTAATAGGTCCCCAGTAACCTAAGCTACCTGTTGTCTAAATTCCCAGTAACCTGAGCTACCTGGTGTCTACATTCCCAGTAACCTAAGCTCCCTGTTGTTTAAATTCCCAGTAACCTGAGCTACCTGTTGTCTAAATTCCCAGTTACCTGAGCTACCTGTTGTCTAAATTCCCAGTAACCTAAGCTACCGGTTGTCCAAATCCCCAGTAACCTGAGCTACCTGTTGTCTAAATTCCGAGTAATCTGAGCTATCTGTTGTCTAAATTCTCAGTAACCTAAGCTACCTGTTGTCAAAGTCTAAGATGTGTTCTGAACAAGAAACCTTTCAGCAAAGTAATAATTTCACCACTGCGAAACTTGGAACCATCAAGAATATGCGGAGTTACCTGTGACAGCCTCCTGCCTGTGTTGTAGGTGAAGGGTTAGTGTAAGAGTACATTGTGGTTACATACCCGTGAACAAATGATGATGAGTGTGACAGCCTCCTGCCTGTGTTGTAGGTGAAGGGTTAGTGTAAGAGTACATTGTGGTTACATACCCATGAACTACTGACGATGTGTGTGACGGCCTCCTGCCTGTGTTGTAGGTGAAGGGTTAGTATAAGAGTACATTGTGGTTACATACCCGTGAACTACTGACGATATGTGTGACGGCCTCCTGCTTGCGTTGTAGGTGAAGGGTTAGTGTAAGAGTACATTGTGGTTACATACCCGTGAACTACTGACGATGTGTGTGACAGCCTCCTGCCTGTGTTGTAGGTGAAGGGTTAGTGTAAGAGTACATTGTGGTTACATACCCATGAACTACTGACGATGTGTGTGACGGCCTCCTGCCTGTGTTATAGGTGAAGACGGCGTACATCAACTTCCTGAACCACTGCTACGTGGACACGGAGGTGGAGATGAAGGAGGTGTACAACAGCAAGCACATGTGGACGCTCTTCGAGAACTTCCTCATCGACATGGGCATCGTGAGTGGTCACCTGAGTACATCGTACCCATATTGTTTTCCCCTGCAACATGTTTTGCAGGGGGTATTAAAATGCCACTGTCCATCCATCTGTCTGTCCATTAAGGATGTTGATGAACTGTACCTTTTGATGATTTGGGATTTTAATTTTTTTTTAAAAATTGAGTTTCCATGGCAACAACTTAAATGACATCAACTGAAAATGGCAGCAGTGGTTGTTTCTTTGTTTCTTTATCAAACTTGGCACACAGATTGGTTTAAACAAAGAAAATATTTGTTTCCATGGCAACAAATTTCATATTCAGGGGATATTGATGACTTTCCTGGTGTGTAGCCCCATGGTTAGAGTGGCCGTGTCAAGCCAAAGATCAGGGTTCATTTCTCCCACATGTGTACAGTGTGTGAAGCCCGTTTTGGTTACCTTCACTGTGAAATGGCTGCTGTAATATTGGTGGAAATAACATTCAGTTGTCACAATACATTTAAATAGGAGCGTGCTGTGTTTTGTGTGTCTTAGAGCTTGGTCCATGTAGTGTGTAATGTTGCATGTTGCAGGTGTGTAACGCCACCACGGACAGGAAGCACGCGGACACGGTGTTGGAGAACTACGTGTGCCTCACCATCATGAGCATCATCACCATGTTTTTCAGCTCCCAGTTCTCTGACCAGAGCACCTCCGTCCAGGTACCAACATTACGCTGTTTGAATTACCTGACTACAGTCTCAACGTTTACCTGTCTACATTACCTGATACAAGACTCAACATTCACCTGTCTTAATTACCTGATTGCAATCTCAACATTTACCTGTCTAAGATACCTGATTATTTTCTCAACATTGACCTGTCTATGCTGATTAGCTAATAACTCTTTCAAAATTCACATGACTTGTCAAATTGTTCCATACTTAAATAAATATCTGGGAGTAGCGATCAGCTGTACCAAAGTTCTTTGCTTATGGTTAATATTAATTTAGATATATATGGTAAAGCTGCAACTGAAATAACAAGATATTGGAATGTTTTGTTTCGGATAAACCATTTATACTTTCAGATATAATTCTTCCGATTATTGCTTCAAAATTCTTTAAAGTTATATCTTTGGGTAGTTTTTAACTGAATCTGGTAAATTGGGAAAAACATGTGTACAGCTCATTGCTGTTTCCGGCTTAGTTTACGAGAAAATACATCAAGTAATCTTAATCTCTGCATATAAAACAATGCCTAGCAGAACAGCAAATACAATTTCAATGGTATATCGTCGTGTCTAGTGATGCTTTACCACAAATTTCAAATTTTTATTGACCATTTTTGTTATCCCCTGTTCCTTTACCTGAATTCTCTGAAGGGATATGATGTTATTTAATATTAGTTTTAAAAAAACAGCGGAAGACAATCAGATTTTTATTCCATACGTTAGGATTATGTGTGCGCTGGTGAAATGCTTCATTCCAGATTGGTTTATAGATGGGGTATGTAAATTAGCACAGATTTTGAAGGCTTTTACAGGGAGGGTCGCTATATCAACCTGTTAGCAACCCATTGGTCTAAATTACAAAGGAACCCTTTGGAATTTCGGGTTTGAAATAGCCCCTTAACAACATATGCTTGTCCTTATATAAGTGGTGACTAAATGGATCTGGTGGTCTGGGGACGTGGATGATTCAGGGTCATCATAACTGCATGAATCGTTGCTCAGGATATCATTTGCTTCGATTGTCTGGGCCAGACTTATTTACAGTCCGCCTTCATATAGCTGGGGTACTGCTGAGTGCTCTGTTAAACAAAAAGCAACAATACCCACAGGTAACGCTCTGGAAATTTGACTGTGTTACCAGGTAACAATACCTAACATAGCCTGTCTATAATACCAGGTACCAGTCACAACATTCACCTGTCTAAATCTCACCTGTATTACTGGGTAACATGTTTACATTTCACTCTGCCTGATACACCCTCCGTTAAGACTTACTATTGTACAGGGGTATGTTACAACAGGTTATCACTGTTCCTGTACAAAGTAGTACAGTGTAGTGTGTTGTTGTTGTTACAGACCAACCAGGCAGTGTTCGTGCGCCTGCTGCAGGGAGCGTTCCGTGTGTCTCACTGTAAGTGGCTGAGTGGGAGCCAGCGGTACCACGTGGAAACCTGCATCAAGACTCTCTCCGAGACAGGTGGGTTGGTCTGACTGATTGACTGTTGTCCAGATAAGCACAGGTGGAGAGGCATCTGTGTAGTGATGTGTATGATACATGTCATTGTGACATTAGTGGAGTCCTCCCAATATGAGACGCAATGACAGTGTTAGAAATTAACACTAGTCCTGTAGTCCTTGCCAAACTACCCAAAAGTTAAGGTATCATGAGGACTAGTAGAAATTTGCCAATTTTAAGGGTTTTGCTACGCTATCATTATAAGGACTAGTGAACTAAAATTGTTAGATTCTGACGCTGAATGACCCATATGATTCATGCAGAGAGAAGACATATTCTCTCTATTTAATTATAGTGGAACTATGGTGCAATATTATAGAATTTGATCTCCTTGAAACATTTCATTTTCTGCAAACATTTCATGTTTGTAAATGATATGGCTGTCTTCTGATACTGCAGCCAAGGGCCGTGGCATCGCGATCCCTGTGGACCTCGACAGCCAGGTGAACTCCCTCTTTGAGAAGACGAACATCGTGATGAAACACAGCAACAAGTGGCTCAGTGCCCGGGCCAATCGCCGCGAGTCCAACACCGACCAGTCCCGAGACTCACGCAACATCATCGAGGGCCTTCAGGTGGGTAGCAACACACTTACACTGACCTTCCTCTGTCCACCTCAGTGGTCTAGTGGATGGACTGTCTGCCTGGAGAGCAGAAGGTCAGTTAGATCCCCTTAACTGTAACAATTGTTTATATAAATTGTAATCTTGGCCTCCAATTCTGAAATGAAAGAGGGAGAGTACTGCAACATCAGTGGAATTATAACACTTATACAGCAAATTCAGAAAGATATTGTCTCTTTGAAAAAAAATCCTCAATGTAGTGAAAACTGTCATTAGAGGTCACAAGGGGTTATATCTCAGAATCAACCACACTTTCAGCCACAGATTGTATCATTGTGGAACATCCACCCCTCACAGTACAGGTGATACATGTGTTATACGACCCCTGAAGAATCGGGGTAGAATAGGTCTTCAGCATGCTTGCCATTAAAAGCGACTATGCTTGTTGCTTGTTTGGCGACTAACGGGATCGGGTGTTCAGACTGGCTGACTTGTTTAATGCATGTCATTGATCCCAATTGGGTGGATCAATGCTCATGATGTCAATCACTGGATTATTTACAGACCGCATTCATATAGCTGGAATATTGCTGAGTGTGGCGTTAAACAACTAACAAACAAGCAAGCAAACATGTGTTATACACTATCCATGTACTGTAGACCATCTAGCCTGACAGTACAGCTGATACATGTGTTATACACTATCCATGTACTGTAGACCATCTAGCCTGACAGTACTGCTGATACATGTGTTATACACTATCCATGTACTGTAGACCATCTAGCCTGACAGTACAGCTGATACATATGTTATACACTATCCATGTACTGTAGACCATCTAGCCTGACAGTACAGCTGATACATGTGTTATACACTATCCATGTACTGTAGACCATCTAGCCTGACAGTACAGCTGATACATGTGTTATACACTATCCATGTACTGTAGACCATCTAGCCTGACAGTACAGCTGATACATATGTTATACACTATCCATGTACTGTAGACCATCTAGCCTGACAGTACAGCTGATACATGTGTTATAAACTATCCATGTACTGTAGACCATCTAGCCTGACAGTACAGCTGATACATGTGTTATACACTATCCATGTACTGTAGACCATCTAGCCTGACAGTACAGCTGATACATATGTTATACACTATCCATGTACTGTAGACCATCTAGCCTGACAGTACAGCTGATACATGTGTTATACACTATCCATGTACTGTAGACCATCTAGCCTGACAGTACAGCTGATACATGTGTTATACACTATCCATGTACTGTAGACCATCTAGCCTGACAGTACAGCTGATACATATGTTATACACTATCCATGTACTGTAGACCATCTAGCCTGACAGTACAGCTGATACATGTGTTATACACTATCCATGTACTGTAGACCATCTAGCCTGACAGTACAGCTGATACATGTGTTATACACTATCCATGTACTGTAGACCATCTAGCCTGACAGTACAGCTGATACATGTGTTATACACTATCCATGTACTGTAGACCATCTAGCCTGACAGTACAGCTGATACATGTGTTATACACTATCCATGTACTATAGACCATCTAGCCTGACAGTACAGCTGATACATGTGTTATACACTATCCATGTACTATAGACCAGGGGCGGTTGGGTAGCCTATTGGTTAAAGCGTTCGCCCAGGTTCGATTCCCGACATGGGTACAATGTGTGAAGCCCATTTCTGGTGTCCCCCGCCGTGATATTGCTTGAATATTGCTAAAAGCGGTGTAAAACCATACTCACTCACTCACTCACTCACTCACTATAGACCATCTAGCCTGACAGTACAGCTGATACATGTGTTATACACTGTTTGTTTTTCAGAATGCTGATATAGGCTGGGAGATAATCGAGGTTATCACTACAAAGTTTATTACTTTGCCAAACTGTGTGATAGAAACTTAGTTCTCATTATCTTTTTGTTTTTTGTCATTCCAACACTTAATACACATCCTACTCAAGCCAGGTCTATGTGCTCCATGTTGATCCATACGCTCCCTTTGAGATACTGCTGGTAAAAGCCTTTGCAATACCCAGCATAGATTATATACCTCTAAAATATGCTGACCAGCCATAATTCTTAGTTTCAAACAATGGAACTATGAAAGCAAAAGATTTTCCCATTAGTCAACTCATGGCTATATTCAACTTTCCCTGGTGAGCAAATGTCTCACAATTGTCAAAGGCACTGCAGTGCAATGTGCAGAGTTGCATCCCTTGGCCCTGCCAGGATCTACTGGTCATGGTTCCCAGCTTCATTTATTTGTCCTTGGTTTTCCGTTTGTGGGTGATCAGCGTTGTGGTAAAGACGTCTAAGACGTCTCACATTAGGGCGCTACTGCACTGTTGAGCTGACATGCCATGATATTGAGGGAGTTGCTCTTCTACCCTCGGGTACATGGTCATGTGATTGCCGAAGACCCAGGTTCAATTCCCCACTAGGGTACAATATGTCAAGCCCATTGCTGGTGTCTCCCCTATGAGATGGCTGGAATATTGCTGAGAGTATCATAAAATCCCAACTCACTCACTCAGTCTTTGGAGCAAACTCTGAATTAGTCAGAGATTTGTCTGTGGCCGCCTCCCAAGGCACTGTGAGCTGCATGAACATATGGACAGGTCCCCCCTTTCAGTCGTAGTCTACTGACCATTTAGTGAATAATTACAGAATGTTTCTACATACATCATTAAAACTACTTACCATTTGCTTTTCTTACTGACTGACAGTGAATAATGATGTGAATGATTGTTTTTGCCTCCTTAACATCACATGCTGTAAATCATGAAATTAATGCCAACATGAAAAATGTGCATGTAAATTGATCAAGTGACACATATTTACCTGGATGTATTGGTGTATATTGTCATGAAAAGTTCACTGCACGTGGGCGGAAACAATGACAAACATCACAAAGCTCATAGTAAACAATGTAATTAAGTCTAGACTTAGACAGTGCTTCTTACCAAGTTCCGCAGTTTGGCCAGTTTGATCAAGCAGTTACGACAGTTGCCAACCATGTATGATGGCATCTTTATTCTTGGTAACCTGTCAAATAATCTTATAATTACAAGCACAACGCTGCTCCCATTGTTATTTGCAATTTGCTGCTTTTGATTTCAAGGAAGTCATATCAGATGTCAAGCAGTTAAAGTTCAATTGTGAAGACTGCTATCCTGTATACTACCTCATGGAATTCCATGCCTACAGTCTTACTGTTATCGTTTGCTGAGTAGTTTTTATAGTTTCTACTCGCATTAGATTCATGATGCATTAAAGGCTAGTAGAAATTCCTGCAGGCTAGTAGAAATTCCTGCAGATGAGTAGAAATTCCTGCAGGCTAGGAGAAATTTCCAAATTTCCCCATTGTTTTAACATTTTAAGCTTTTGAGCTTATTTCTAACACTGAATGTTTAGGGCAGTGGTTGACACTCACTATAATTTGGTGACGTAATATTTTCAAGATTTACAGTTTAAATTTCCTTCATTTTGTAAGCATGTATGCTGAACTGTGAAAGTGGTTTCCGTAAAAGCCACACTATCCACGTCTGAAAGAAACTTTTTTCAATTTTCCCAGAAACAAATAAGAATCATAAGCATTTCTATAATAGTAACATCACAACCTTATATTAAAAAATATTCTGTTATTCTGTCCAGATATGAGTAATAAATTAATATTAGTTTGAACTCTATCAATATTTGGTGAAAATTTTAAATGTGGTTGTCATAGTGACAGTTGTCTTTTCTATTTTCTCAGGAGATAGTTTCCACACTGGAAGACCAGTTACGTCCCTTGGTTCAAGCAGAGTTATCTGTCCTTGTTGACGTGCTACATCGCCCTGAGCAGCTTTTCCCCCCTGGCACTGAGGCCAGGAAGAGATGCGAGAGTGGCGGCTTCATCTCCAGGTAGGCTATGCAGCAGCTTTAGACAGGATGTGTACAGTGTAAGATTCCATCTTGGGATTCTGAGCTGGAACAGAACCTTAAGTGCACAATGCTTTGTGTCTCTCACATGGGATTCTGAAGCCTATTGTGTTCCCAGTACCTCATGCTAGTCTTCCCGTAGTGATTCCAGGGCAGAATAGGTCCCCAATACCTCATGCTTGTCTCCCCGTAGTGATTCCAGGGCAGAATGGGCTCCCAGTACCTCATGCATGTCTCCCCATAGTGATTCCAGGGCAGAATAGGTCCCCAGTACCTCATGCATGTCTCCCTGTGGTGATTCCAGGGCAGAATGGGCTCCCTGTACCCCATGCTTGTCTCCCTGTGGTGATTCCTGGGCAGAATAGATCCCCAATACCTCATGCTTGTCTCCCCGTACTGATTCCAGGGCAGAATAGGTCCCCAGTACCTCATGCTTGTCTGCCCGTAGTGATTCCGGGCTAGAATGATGTCCCCAGTAAACCCATGCTTGTCTCCCCATAGTGATTCCAGGGCAGAATAGGTCCCCAGTACTTCATGCTTGTCTGCCCGTAGTGATTCCGGGCTAGAATGAGGTCCCCAGTAAACCCATGCTTGTCTCCCCATAGTGATTCCAGGGCAGAATAGGTCCCCAGTACTTCATGCTTGTCTGCCCGTAGTGATTCCGGGCTAGAATGATGTCCCCAGTAAACCCATGCTTGTCTGCCCATAGTGATTCCAGGGCAGAATAGGTCCCCAGTACTTCATGCTTGTCTGCCTGTAGTGATTCCGGGCTAGAATGAGGTCCCCAGTAAACCCATGCTTATCTGCCCAATAAGATTCCAGGGCAGAATCAGGTCTCCAGTACCTCAAGCATGTCTCTGCTTGGAGATGTCAGTCAGAGATGTTGTAGTCGATCAGAGAATGACAGCGCCCTCTACTGGTGTATTTCAGGCTGATCACGCACACAGAGAAGCTGCTGGAGGAGAGGGAGGAGAAGTTGTGCATCAAGGTGCTGCAGACGCTCAAGGAGATGATGACGATCGACATTGAGTACGGAGACAAGGTCAGTACAGCTGCTGCAGGATAACGTGACCCTATACAGGGACAGTTTCAATGAGTCTGTTGCTGAGATTGAATATTACTGCTTTTGCTCACAGGCGATTGGTTGTTTCAGAATTGGCAGCATTTGATTGGCGGAGTTCGCCTCACCATAAATGTTTTGTATTACATCACAATGTTAAGTTAATTTTTTCACGATTTTAGTTTCACAGAAGGTAAATGTTACACTGATCTTGATATGTATGTGATAAGGAATTTCACGACAATGTAGCTGTTTTTTTATTGTGTTAGGCAGTTAACACCCAACACTGTGAATGAATGTATTATTACTATCTGTTTGTGAATGTGTTTCTTACTGGCACACACATTATTGTCCACCAAATATGTGACCAAAGGTCAAGGTCAGTAACAGGGTCAGAAAGAGGCTAGTGTGAGTGTGAGTGTGTGTACAGGGCAGCCTGCTCCAGGGAGTAGTAACCCATGCTGGTCTTCATAAGGAGACATGACTTGACAGAAGTGTGGTACTGTAGTGGACAGCCACATAATGTGGAGAGGAGAGGAGTAGATTTGGCAGCCATGTTCTTCTTCATATACTTCTCAATACAAGTATCGATCACAATCGCACACTAAGTAAAAAGTATCAATAAATGTTACACCAAATACTAATTACAAGTGAAAATGAGTAGTGAAAACGTACATATTTTCATCCATTGCGCCATACTTGACACTGCCAACTGTAATTTGTTAGTGTGCCAGGTATTTGGCCATCCTGTCTATGAAAAAGATGCCCTATGCACCACTGATAAGAGCATATGCAAGTATCATGATACGTATCAGATTGTGAGCAAGGTATCGTGATACGTATCGGATCGTACAGTTGCTGCATCGTTCCAGCCCTAGTAAATTCCCAGATGTGAGCAGTTCGTAAAATATAGTCTGAATGTTCCTGAATGGCATACTAATGGGATAGTGTTATTCATGCGATAAACTTGAATTCAAGGTATGATAAATATGCAAATGAGGTCACGTAGCAGGGATAACTGTTAGCTCGGTACATTAAGGAAATGCCTATTGCTTGATATGCTAGTGTATAACAATTCCAATTTAATATTTCCTAATGTGGGAGTGCTTCCAACAACAATCATGGCAGCAAAACATTTCACACACTATATAATAAATCCAGCAGTTTACTCATTGTATTCATACTCATTTATTCATCACCTACAATTACTTTTGTGAATGAAAATAGGTCTTAAACTTCTGATTATTTTGTGATAAAGAAAATAACAAGTGTCCTTGTATCCATATTGTAAATATTATTTATGAGGAATGGAAGCTATGCATTACAGCTGCAGAAGCATACTCGGCAAAACATGTGTGTCTCAATTTATTGGCAACTTAGAAACCTGAGCTATGACTGAAGCTAGATTTTCATCTACAATTTGTACTTATGCAACAAGGTGGACTTGAAGACGATGAATAAATCTGAGTTGGACGACCATCGAAGGGTAAGAAAGGCGACCATGTTGTGTACACTCTCCGTGGAGTGTTGTGACTCCTTTCTAGCCAGCCTCTCACACACTTGCTGGTTCATCTAGATTGTAGTCCTTGTTTCCGATTTGTAGTTCGTTGTAACCTGCATGGAGTTCAGTGCTTGATTGAGTCCCAGTTTATCAGTTTGAGGTAGAGATAAGTTTGACAATTCACTTGTAAGGCAATTCACTCTTGCCTCATGACCCGTGAAGATCCGGGGTAGAATAGGTCTTAAGCAACCTATGCTTGTCGTAAGAGGCGACTAATGGGGTCGGGTGGTCAGGCTCACTGATTTGCATGTCATCGTATCCCAATTGCGTGGATCGATGTTTATCATGTCAATCACTGGACTGTCTGGTCCAGGCTCGTCATATTGCTGAGTGCGGCATTAAACACTTGTTCACTTATAAATTCACTTGTCAATTCACTTGTAAGCCAATGCACTTATAATACAATTCACTCTTAAAAAGTTCACATATATAACAATTCACTCCAAAGACATACAATTCACTATCAGTTGGCAGACATTTCAGTGCATGCAGCTTACAAATTCTTCATGATAATGGAGCAGTAGGTTGGTCCAGCGGATAGAGCCATCAGGTTTGATTCCCTCCAGATCCACTGTGTGTGTAGCAGTCCTACCACATGTTGTGTGAACTCTATCTCTCTGGAGACTTAAGACGTTCAGTTCAAATCATTATGTTAAACATATACCTCATCAAAACAAAATTTACAGATAAAAGTATTAATCTCGGGCTAATCCAACTTTAAGCCAAGGTAACAAGACTTAAACCTTACAGCAAGCGGATACATGTGTCATCTGAGAACTGTTTAACGTGTGTGGTAGTTCATGTTGTGATCTTTATTGCTCCATACTCGAGTTTGAATGTGATTTAACAGTCAGTGTTGTAATGTGTCCTCCTGCTTGTCATCTGTCGGAGGATGGAAATCTGTAAGGAGCAGAGAGCTCCGCATTAGACTGTCAAGGAAAGACATCTTTTTTCATTCTGTCTCTACCAAGATTCACCAGGGAGAACATATCAGGCTTGTGGTTTCACCAAAGTGGTTAAGGTCCATGACCTGCCTAACTCTGGGATTTCCTCCACATCCAGCTGATACGCTCTGATATAACTGAAGCAGGGGAACAGTTCAACAGTTTCATGACAAATCTTAAGTTTTCGTATGTAAGGGTTAATGCCCCTGCAAGTTTTCCATCTAACAAAAGCAACTTACCTGATTTCCAATGTCTTTTTATGTAGTAACTAAACCAAACACAAACATATTTCACCAATCCTATTTTACGCTGACATCGTTATCACTATCACTAACTCGGGCGGCAGGCAGTTGGATTAGCATATGCTATTTGGAGAAATATTTTCAGAAATATACTTGTTATTCTTCATGACTGTATGCTTTTGAGAATAGCAAGGAATTCAACATTTTCAGAATTAACCTTTTATTTGAGGGTTGGGGGGCATGCCTAAACTTAAGGAATTAAGGTTTTTATCCTACATTGAACTGGTCCCTTAGAAATTGTGTAAAACTTACACCATAATTCAGTGTTTCGGCTGTTGCTGTGGAGACTATATATACTCACCGCCAAAACAAACACGAACCATAGAGATGTTTCCAAAGTGTACCAATTAGTGACAAAACTAACAATTAGTCAAGTGTTGCCAAAGAGTGTCTTTGTTCTTATTATGATATGCTGCAAGTGATTTCCAAATCCTGCACCAGACAAATGGTGCTTCTCAAGTCATGGATCTGTGACCTCACACGTGATGCGTTCGTGAGCGTCGGTTCACACGTCAAAGCAATCTAATATATCTTGAATACGAGTAATGCTTCATATGTTAACCAACACGTACATGGTAATCGTGTTTCTTCTGTCGGTGAGCGTACGTACATTAACATCTGTCTTGTTAGTATTGGCTGAATGAGGAGGCTGTCCCTACAGGCTTATTTACGTTGTCATGGCGATAGGGTTCAAGCAGTTGCAGGACATATGGAAAGTCAATTTGCTTGCTTTTGTTATTTATTCTAAATTTTTCAGTTTAACATACTTTGCCATAATTAACAGCTACATACTTGCTATTGACTCACTTCACCCATGGGGCCCAGTGGTCTAACTTGCTGTGCAGAATTACCTCCCTTACCCGCAGGATCCACAAGCCGGGGTTTGAATCCTACGTTTACCCTGATTTTGATCTTTGGTTAGTCAGCACCATGCCTGTGGGTTTCAGAGTGGAAGTCATTGACAACATCTCGCCACAATAAAGCTGCAAGATTGCTATGTGGCGTTAAGCAATAATTACTCACTCATTGACATCGGGTCACTGGCTCTATGCCCACTAAGCTGACACACTGGTATAACTGAAATACATTTCAAAGCAGTGTTGAACCCAACTCACTCACTCACCTAACATGTGCTCCACTGCACTAGCCCAGTAACATGGCTACTGCTTGTAGATATCTGCTGAAGAGAAGTTCAGCAGACAAAATAAAACAAAAAGCATGTAAACTTTTTCTTTTTATTTGGCACCTAAACACATGCATTATTTTTCAGTCTTGCAACTAGGAAATAGCTTCTCTTTTTTTGTCATTTTTAGCAACATTTAATTGTTACTTTTAGCGGAGGAGGTAAGTTTGACAGATGTTGACAATCACTGTAATTGTTGAGGAGAAGCTTTTCTCTATGCAGTTAATGCACACTTTTTGTGCAATGAATTGACTGGTGCAAGCTTTTAGCAAATACAACAACATATTCAGACTACCTTGAGTGGAATATTCTCTGAGACACTAAGTAGCTCTACATTATGAAAATGTTTGTCAGTTTTGTTCTATTCCCTTAGACACTGAGAGGCTTTGCTTCATAAAAATGTTTCTGTTTTTGTTTTACTCTGCGTGAATTATTCTCTATGACACCAGTATATAGCTCTATATAAAAAAAGCAAATTCTCAAAAAGATGTAATTTATGACCATTAAAGATTTGTGCCTGAAGAGTTTAAAGTATTTTATCTTGAGTTCCTGTTCAAAGAAATTGGATGTTGTTATTCAGGGTGAGGCCCTTCGTCAGAGTCTGTTGACCCGGTATTATGGTCGGGCACACCCGCGGAACCGGCGAGACAGCGTCATGGCCAACTCCATTGGTGGAAGACAGGCTGTCAACCCAGGGTCTGTCATCCTCAGTAGAGCAGAGATGTCGCTCCACGATGTACAGGTGAGTAACACTTCTCACTTCGACAGAGATGTCGCTCCACGATGTACAGGTGAGTAGCACTTCTTACTTCAACAGAGGCAACGCTATACAGCGTATAGGTAGGTAGAGTTTTCCAGTATTTAGCAATATCCTGGATGTAGGGACCAGTCATTGTGCAACATTTGGGCACAATGCAGTCATTATGTTCAACATTACTTCAACAGTTATCATCAACACAAATGACATGCCGCCATGTTGGTTACACTCAGGGGAGATAATCAGTGCTAACTGCACCATAACCCATTAATTATTGTGTATTGGTTTGTGATAGATAATTCAGTTGTGCCTTATAATTTTCCTCCCATGTTAAGTGTTTGCCTTAACCTACTCACCATTCTTTTCCCTGTGGGGATTCTGGGTTAGGTTTGGTTGATTGTGTGTCATCGTACCCCAACAATGTTTATCATTGCCATAATATCAATCAGTGGACTGTGTGGTTCAGACTCGATTATTTGCAGGCTGTTGTCATATAGCTGGAATAATTCTGGTGTGTGGCGTTAAACAACAAGCAAACATCTTTCCTCTCCTCACCTCTTTTGGGGATGTTCAATGCCTGGCACAGCCTCTGCATGTTTAAAACTGTGTGGTGTTCCAGGCTGATCCATGCATTGTACGGTTGGGTAGCCTAGTGGTTAAAGCGTTCGCTCATCACACCAAAGACTCCGAAATGGGTACAATGTGTGAACCCATTTCTGGCATCCCCCGCCATGATATTGCTAGAATATTGCTAAAAGCAGCATAAAACCATGCTCACTCAATCACTCACTCAATCACTCACTCACTCACTCACTTGCTGTGTACAGTGCCACCTGGATCGTGAGGGCGCGTCCGACTTGGTTGTGGACATCATCATCCGGAACACCAGCAACAGGATCTTCCTGGAGACGGTGGAGCTGGGCATCGCCCTACTGGAGGGAGGGAACATAGTCATACAGGTAGGCAGTCATACAGGTAGGCTGTCATACAGATAGCCGGAGATATATTATCATACAGGTAGGCTGTCATACAGGTAGCCAGAGATAGATTATCATACAGGTAGGCTGTCATACAGGTAGCCAGAGATAGATTATCATACAGGTAGGCTGTCATACAGGTAGCCAGAGATAGATTATCATACAGGTAGGCAGTCATACAGGTAGCCGGAGATAGATTATCATACAGGTAGGCTGTCATACAGGTAGCCAGAGATAGATTATCATACAGGTAGGCTGTCATACAGGTAGCCAGAGATAGATTATCATACAGGTAGGCAGTCATGTAGGGAGTATGGAGATGGATTGTCATACAGGAGTTCTACTGGTAGATTAGGTTGGAGGTCATGAGAAGAAAGATCCATGCTATGAACTAAATGTTGATCAAACTTCCAACAGAATAGTATTTTATCTTTTAGTGGCTTTTATAAGTTAAATCAGGAAAGACAATTTAAATATGGACTTTAACTTTTACGATGTTTCAGTACAGATGCTTGTACCTTCATTGTTGTTGCAAGTAATCGGCAAGTGGTAGGAATTAGTCCAACGGAGTTGTTGATGAAAGCACCAGCAAAACTTTCTCATCATAAGCCTGTCTTCATTGAGTTGCTTATTGTCAACATGGTTTTAAATAGTTTGGGAATATCATAGACTCAATTGAGCTTGAATGTTGGAAGTTGTCCAATACATCGATACCACCTTAATGTGCTCCAGGTCTATGAGAGTAGCTCAGTGGCTGGTACACTCCTTCTTCTGACAATAGATCAGAGTTTGATGTCACATATTCGTCCTGATAGTGTCTCTACAACTGTCAGCACTCTTCCTGCATCACCTCAGGCTCTCCTCCCATTCCCAATAGCATTTTCCATTTTTTTAGGTTAAATATCCAATTGTAGTGACTTAGTCTCAAACCAAAGTGAAATATTATGGGGGAGAAAAAGCGAAAAATGTAACTGGACTTAGTGTGAATGACGTGTAGATCTGACTAAGTTACTTCAGGGCTGACGTCATTGAATATGTCGGCCATCAACATACATTGCATTGAACATGATGTTGAAAGAATTAAAACTAGGTAATTTTCATAAGTATTTATGTGTTCAAAGTTGGGACTGACAAAAATTGGACTGGTATTTTTAAGAGTTTAAAAAGCCAGCGGGAACACTGTGTTTCAGCGATCACTGATGAGCCGGCTGCGGACGGACAAGAACACAGAGAAGTTCTTCAAGGTGTTCCATGACCGCATGAAGGAGGCGGAGCAGGAGATCCGGAACACTGTCACCGTCAACACGGGCGACACGGACAGGAACCTCTTCGGGGGAGAGAAAGGACAGGGCAAAGGTGGGAAAGGTAATATTTATTTACCCGGGGGTGTCCAGATTGTTGCCACATCGGTCACTGTGCATGTCATGGTCTCAAGCATGTCAGTGTCAACTGTTAAAGCATGTTTATTCTGTTGTTTTAGTAGTACCGTATATCGCCATGTATAAGGCAAGTTTTTTTTACCTAAAATTAGGGGGCTTTCAGGGAGGAGGGTCACCTAATACACAGGGGAGAAGAGTTTTACCATAATCGTAATACCACATCGCTTTATAGATGGCGATTTACGGTATGTTATTATCAAAACACTATAAGGCCAACTTTTTCTGTTATGTGAATCATGGATTTATCTTGGTGCAGCCTGAGTTGTCTCCCCTGCAGCTGAAAACATGATGGATGTTGCAGTGATCAAACTGTTTCTTTTATTGACTTTACAATTTGTGTCTCTAACGTTTATGTCCAGCCTTGACAATGCAACAGTTGCAGATTACTCGGACAGTGTGTTATTCCCCTCAAGATGAAAGAGAACTTTGTTAACGATAAGTCAAAAACAGTATAAAAAGATATGTCTTAACCTCTCTTCCAAGTCAGTCCCGGTAAATCAGTGATCTATGTCATTATGAAAATTTTGGCCTCAATGTTTTGGAAATTTCTGTAAATTGTATGGTTTGATTTATTTTGAAACTTTGGCTGATGTGCACACATGCTTAAATGTTTATGTTGTTTGTGTTTTTGTGTGCTATTTAGAAGAGTTTTATGGTAAATGAATGTGACGTAAAATGACTAAATGCTGTGTTTTTTCATTGCATGAATCTTTATGTTGTTATGAAGTGCATATCATATTGAGGTAGAATAGAGAACATTTGCATGTGTAACTAGTAGAAGAAATCACTCTAGATTCTTATTCAGTAAGAATAGAACCCAGACCACCTGAACCCACACCTGTCCACACCTGTCCCGTCCAGCCACGCTAGTCACTCCTTAGTGTCCGTCCACTAATTCCTATAGTAGAAAGGTAACCTGTAACATATAGATATTGTTTAGTGGGTAGCATGACACACCCAGCTCTGTGTACAGAGTTCCCCCCCTTAGCTGTCCAATCATGGGTTTGCACCCAGGACTCCACCTGATAATGATTCTAGCATCCATGTCCATGGGTTTCCAGGACCTGAATCACTTTGATGCTCCTTCCCAGACAAAGCTGTCACAGGTTTTTTTACTATAATATTGTTCGAAGAGGCCTTAAACCCAACTCACACACTAGCATTACAGTGAGCCGCACAGGTGGCCCGGGCAGCAGGTCATTGCAGATCTCTCTGCAAAGTTATGTGCCTCACTGTAAGGATCTGCTGGTCTGGGTTTGAATCCAAGATTTCAACATATGATCAATGCCCTGTAGCTCTATATTGTTCTTCTAAAAATGTCTAAGACCTGCATCCCTTTGGATTTTCCCTCATGTTAAGTTCACAGCTGAAATACTGCTCAAAGCAGTGTAAGGACCAACCCCCTCACTGCCAGATGAACTGTATTTGTTACTGAGAAAAGAATGTTCACAATTTATATGTTTCCTCGACTATTTCGAGGTGTCTCCTTTATCCTTGCAATAAGTGTGGATAACTTATTCTCTCTTGGAAACTTGAGAAAGTAACATACTTCTTGTTGACGGGTTGCTGGGCTGTGGATAAATAACACTTATGCGGCTGGGTTATAGAGAAATGTACTCAAGTGGTTTTAGCAGCAATTACTAACTAAAGGAGGTTAAAAATAGGATCTTTTAGTCCAGAGAAACATGTTACAAACCTTCCAGTAGGCTTTAAGGAACATTTGAATCCTAAACCAAGATCACAGAAATATGATTTAGTTAAGGAAAATCCCTACTATCTCTGAACCAATGAGTTGTCTCCCCTATACAGGTGTATTTCCCAGCTTCCATCTTGCCAAGGGAACAGTTGACGCCCACTGTAGACAGCATATCAGAGTTATCTCCCCTACATAGGTGTATTTCCCCGCCTCCATCTTGCCAAAGGAACAGTTGACTCCCACTGTAGACAGCATATCAGAGTTATCTCCCCTACATAGGTGTATTTCCCCGCCTCCATCTTGCCAAAGGAACAGTTGACTCCCACTGTAGACAGCATATCAGAGTTATCTCCCCTACATAGGTGTATTTCCCCGCCTCCATCTTGCCAAGGGAACAGATGACTCCCACTGTAGACAGCATATCAGAGTTATCTCCCCTACATAGATGTATTACCCCGCCTCCATCTTGCCAAGGGAACAGATGACTCCCACTGTAGACAGCATATCAGAGTTATCTCCCCTACATAGGTGTATTTCCCCGCCTCCATCTTGCCAAGGGAACAGATGACTCCCACTGTAGACAGCATATCAGAGTTATCTCCCCTACATAGATGTATTACCCCGCCTCCATCTTGCCAAGGGAACAGATGACTCCCACTGTACAAAGGATACCTGAGTTATCTCCCCTAGATCCGTGTATTCCCTCCTCCATCTTGACAAGGGAAAATATGACTGCCACACAGCGTACCCAACATCTGCAAAATTGGATGCTGGCAGGGCCTTGTGGGGCTGCACTCTCATCACTGCCTGCTGTGTTGTGGCTGAAATAGCTGACAATGTAACTCTGTTACTTTAACTGACCGACTGACAGAGCATTTGACGGTGGTGCCCCATGTAATGACTGTGAGGAGCACATGTGATGGTCCTGTACTTGCTCCCCAGATGGCTACACGATGACACTCACTCTCGAACACTATGAACAAATGAGTCTGAGTGGAGGTAAGCTTCTTCCAGATACCCACACTCTAGCCTGGGACTACTCTGCCCTACTGACCACACACAGTCTACACTGACAGTTCTCACATCCATTGCTAGAGTTGTTAAAAGGCTGAATATTGTATCTCTGCATAGAGACGTTTTTAGTTTTTCAGGACATGAAGCATGTCCAGTGAAGAAATTAATTTTAGGCTAAAACCTTAGGCAAAATTATTTTTCAAATATTGTCTAGAACAAAAGAAAATTATTTTTGTTAACACTCCCAAGCCCTTACTTCTCAGCTGTTCAGACCATGTACCGATCTTGTGACTTTGTTGCTATGGACAAAGCACACTGCATACGTCACAAGTCAGTATCGTAGCAAAATTGGCATCAAAGTATATATGTATATACGGTACCTTATGTCCCAGGAATAAGCCAGAGACAGGCGCCTGAAGGATAGTGAATCATCATGAAATTCAATACAGTAATATCGTTTCAAAGGCAATCATAGCCTCACAGAGGCAGGCACCAGGAACTAAAGTCTTTGTCTCCCGTTTTCTGTGGAATAGCTATTAATGTAACATTCCTACATTTTGGGAGAAAACTGCTGGTCCTGACAACTTTCCACTTGTCTCTACCTTGCAGGTTAGAGAACTTTAGTGATTTTGTCTAATCTATATGTAAAAACATTGGGGTTACAAGAATTGTAGCCCTGCTACCAAAGTGATGTCAAAATATGGCAGACATGACAATATGCTGTGATTGCTTCGTGAAATGACCCAGGATAGACTCTACAGGAAGATTTCAGACAGGAATGGGATGAGAATGTGTACATAGCACCTGGTGTCCGTCAGTACCGTCTCGGTAGACTATGTGTGGTCGGTGAGGGTCAACCCTAGACTTGCACCTTCTTGTCGCCCCTTTAGCTTGACTCATGGCTACTAGACTACTAACAACAGAGGCTTCTCTGTGTTACCTCTATGGGCAGATTTTTGTCTTTCAGGTTTTCAACACCAATACAGTTTTTCTCATGCATCTCCAATGTAGAATACATTAGTTCAGTTGCACGTGTTATACCCTGGGATGTATTTATCTTGAGGCTGCATTGAGGTATATACATGTACTGTAAGCTCCTGTTATCACATGGCTTGGTGCTAGATGTTCAGTAAAACATACAAAACTCCTGTTATCTAACAGCAAAAGTCATCTTCCTCAGGCAAGGACGTTAACTGACAATAAAAGTCCAGTTTCCACCCTTGCTGAACTAGGCTGGCATTTCCCATAAGACCCGTTTTGTTACAATATAGATCTTGATTATCCCTCAGGTCATCTTGACTGGGCCCCGCCATTTTCTTTGAAGCAAAGTGATATGATCGATGGAATCTGTTTGGTCAATAGGAAAGACATGGAAGGGATATTACTCGTAAATAGCCATTGGTGGCGCTACAATCACGCCTGGGAATTCCAGCTTAGTTCGGCAAGGGTGGAAACTGGACTTTTAGTTTTACAGTCAGTTAACTACCTTGCCTTGGGAAGATGAGCAAAAGTCTGCTACATAGATACGTCAGGACTAAAGTGAAGTATATAGAGTATGGTAAAGTTGGATGTATCGATGTACGGAAAACTCTTGTTATCTCATGGCTTAGTTGGAGTATGACTGACCACATCAATTGCATTTTCCTGCTATCAAACTTTCTGATCCTTATTTTATAACATTCAGTATATTGAGTTGAAAGAAACAGGAAGTTATAGTACAGTGCTTGCTGTGTGTTGAGTATCATGCACCTTGTATTAACTTGGATGTACAATTGTATAGGAAACACTCATGAATGCATTTCATTACCAAGTTTTGACTTTCCGACAGTGTAATGTCTTCCTCTGTGGATGGTTTGGTGATTGGATGGGATTTCTTTATCCTCCCTGTTAATTTCCTGTCTTGGTTCTCTGGGAATTGAAAGTGTATACTACTCAAAAGAAATTAAGGACCACCCTATTCTTTCATATTACTACAGTTAATCGGTCATGCCATGAGTCATCAAGCATAGTAATATAAAAGAATCGGTTTTTCCTTAACTTCTTTTTATGGTATATTAAGAACTGTATCTCTTGATAGGTCGATATACACAGTAGAGGTCAGCTGTGATGTCAGAGGTGTGTCAGTATATGGACTTGTCATTGCAAGACATGATCAAGATGTCTTACTCCAGTAATTACACTACATCGCACTAATCTATTCATTATTAACATTTTAACATTATCTCAGCTGAAGTTACTCAACTCTTAACATTGTACTATGCTAATCAAGACCTATCATACAGAATGAGCTAAACCATTAAGCTGCTCTGATTGGTTGCAGCTAAGTGATATATCTCCCATACTGACATCAGCTGTCTGCCAGAAGTAACACTTGCTGCATGCAATACACTGAACATAGGAACTACAGGTTTAGTCACTGTGTTATACACAGATGAACATACTGGGAGAAGATTGTATTTGATACTTCAAACTGAGTTGGGACTTCTCTCATTATGGGACCTATCGGTGCGGATGGCCCAGTTGTTGAAGGTGCAGAAAATTGCTGTGCAGAGTTGTGCCCTTTGGGCGTGCAAGAAACCTATCATTATGAGATCAAACCCTGGTTCAAACCTATAATTTTTCTAGGTTTGTCAGTACTATATCTGTGCTGGTGGTTTTCGTCAATGGGGTAAATGTCTAAGACCTGCATCACTTCGTGCTTTCCTGCGACATTAAGCTAACATGCCGTGATATAAGTGGAATACTGTTAAAAGCTGCATTAAACCCAACTCACTAACTTACTCTCGTAATAAGTTATAGCAATAGTAAATGTTTATAAGGTAAGTTGATGTGAAATGGGTTTAACGATGCGTTCAAGATTATTGTATTTATAGAGAGACGTTCATTCCGGACTAATGCCAATTGTATAGTACTAGCCCACTGAGATACCATGCAACATGTAACATTAATACCCAGCTCAGACACAGTATACTGACACGCCAAGCTAACCAGTCCTTGTTTTACCCCCTTAATGCAGAGTGCCAGGCAGGGTAACAACAAGTACCATCTTTTCATGTCTTTTGGTATGCCTGAGCCAGGGATCAAACCCCCAACCTTCCTCTTACCCTGACAGTATTGGGACACTTCTCTATGTGTGTTTGTTGTTAAACAATGAACTCAGCAGTACTTCAGTTATATAATGGCGGCCTGTTAATGAAAGAGTCTCGACCAGAGCCCCGTTCCACAAAGCGATTGTAGTGCAACGACTGTCGCAAATCTATGTTAAAGTATGGGAGTTACGATCGTCTTGGCACTACGATCGCTTTGTGAAATAGGCTCCAGACTATCCAGTGATTGATACTGTGAGTAAAACAGTGTCTCTATGATCACAGAAAGACTTCACGTAGGCCATAGTTAACATCAACATGGAGATAGGTGTCTAGCACTGCACAACTAATTATACAAGCTTTCACGTATATTCACAAACCTTTTTTTTTACCAACCTTTAATTCTTTGGTCGATACAGTTAAGAATTACTATCTGTCATTCAGTTAAATGCTATTGTCAATGTAAATAACAACAAGAATATATGAGCCATTATGATACATGTAATGTGAATGTATGTTTCCTTGATGGCAAGATGCATGTAAGCTTCAGAGGTATCGTGGTAAATCTGCCTGAATGATTTCAAGTGTTTGACAGTAGTGTAGCACCAGACTGTCGGCCAGGGGCTGTAGCTGTGTATCTTTGTTTAGGCAAATCAACCGAAACCTCGGTGAATGATGTTTTCCGGCATGAGTTGGACGACGCTGCCAAGCAGACCAACCATGCCTTGTCCTCTGTCCGCCAACTCCATGGGGTCCGCACCGACCATGATGGGGCAGAGGAAACGCGGACCGTTCATCACGACGACGTAGAGAAAGTCTCTAAGGACAAAGATGAGAAGAAGATGTCGCCGCAGATCAAAATGATGCAGCCAATACTGAGGTTCCTGCAGCTGCTGTGTGAGAACCACAACAGAGAACTACAGGTGAGATCTACAGGTGTGACAGATCTCAGGTGTGATCTACAGGTGTGACGGATCTCAGGTTTGACAGGTCTCCGGTGTAACAGGTCTCAGGTGAGACATCAATCTTTGGTAAGACATTGCAACAGAAAACTCAGGTGAGACATTAGGTAAGAGAACTTAGGTAAGACATTGCAACAGAAAACTCAGGTGTGACAGATGTCAGGTGAGACATGTAAGAAATCTTTGGTAAGACATTGCAAAAGAAAACTCAGGTGAGACATTATGTAAGAGAACTTAGGTAAGACATTGCAACAGAAAACTCAGATGTCAGGTGAGACAAACCAGAACAACAGGTGAGAAATAAATCTGAGATGAGGAAATCTCACGTAACTACTATTACAGACACAACAGGGGATACATTACGACAGAAAGGTATCAGTGAGACAGTACACACCTTGCAGTGGTAGTTGAGAAATATACTCACCGCCAAAAGAAACATGAACCATAGAAACATATAGAGAAGTATGTACGTTAAGAAGAGACGTTTCCAATGTGTACCTGCTCAAAACAAATGGTGCATCTCGAATCATGGTACTATGACGTCACATGTGATGCGTTCATAAACGTCGGTTCACACAACATACCAGTATGTTTGCTTGTGCATTGAACCAATCTAATGTCTTGAATATGAGTAATTCTTCACTTTTTAACCAACATGTTTGGTATTTGTGTTTCTTTTGGCGTCATGTTGTAAGGTGTGTGAGCTGACCTGGCTGCCTCGTTGTGTTGTAGAACTACCTGCGCTTCCAGCACAACATCAAGTCCACCTACAACCTGGTGTGCGAGACGCTGCAGTTCCTCGACTGCATCTGCGGAAGCACCACCGGGGGCCTCGGCCTCCTCGGCCTCTACATCAACGAAAACAACGTGGTCCTCATCAACCAAGCCCTCAGCAGCCTGACTGAGTACTGTCAGGGGCCCTGCCATGAGAACCAGGTGGGAGACATTCTCAGCACATGCACTCCAGTTAACCTTGGTCCTGACAGAAATGTCAGGGCCTCTGCCATAAAGACAAAAATACAAGTCACTTTTTAAGATAAACAAATTGTGCCTTTTGTAAAGTTTTCTAGTGTATAATACACACCCACCTGTATTGAGTGAATTTTTTTCGTAAACTTAATCTTTTTGAGGGGGAATGGATAGGAATGTCATTCTTTTGCTTCAGGTGAAGTCTTTGCTTTTCTAAGGTGGAAGAGTTTATGCATGGTATTAATATCCCTGCATATTGAGCATTGTGCATTCAGTTACTGTCTTGGCTCCCCGGGGTGTGTGCAGTTTTAGTATTATGACATTTAGAAATCTGCAGAACATTTCATAGTTACTCCTTGGTGTTTCAATGTTAATGTCATTATAAGACAAGATCTAGGTTGAACAATATTATTTGCATTTAGATTAGACTCAGGTTGAAAAAGGTTGTCAAAACCATTTTTGTTTGCACACTTTATATCAACCTAACAGATAATGATGATCTAAATTACACACAGTCAATGCCTCAGTTCCACACATGGCTCTAATGACACTATCCAGTCCAAGACTTAATGTACAGACAGTGGAGTCCCCCTTTAACACTTGCCAAATTCATGTTTCAGAATGCTATAGCTATGCATGAAAGTAACGGCATTGACATCATCATCGCTCTCCTGCTTAACGACATCAACCCGCTGGGAAAACATCGCATGGACCTAGTACTGGAGTTGAAGGTGGGCGTGGCACTTCCTCACCAATATCAGAGGAAACTGAATGGTGATAATAGAGATACATGTTATTCCCTAATGCATAGAGTTATAGAAAATCAGACTGAAGTAGTCAAGGAAAACTGTAAATGATGATATTTGTTCTAAACTGTTTATCTATTTGAGAAACCCTGGTCTGTTTCTGGGTTCTGTGTTTGTACTGTGAGGTGCAAGTGGCCAACTAGTAAGTCCATCCCTTGGACTTTTTGTCTAAATTTTGCTGACACATTGTTATGTCAACTAATACTGTTCAAAGCAGCTTTAACTTGCTCACTGTTTCTGAACAATTCCTTTATCTTCTTCTGCCCAGAACAACGCCTCCAAGCTGCTGCTGGCCGTGATGGAGAGTCGACATGACAGTGAGAACGCCGAGAGGATCCTCTACAACATGAGTCCTAAACAGCTGGTAGGTACACCCTATATTACCCCACATAGCTGGTAGGTACACCCTGTATCACCCTAAACAGCTGGTAGGTACATCCTATATCACCCCACACAGCTGGTAGGTACATCCTATATCACCCCACATAGCTGGTAGGTACACCCTGTATCACCCTAAACAGCTGGTAGGTACATCCTATATCACCCCACACAGCTGGTAGGTACATCCTATATCACCCTAAACAGCTGGTAGGTACACCCTATATCACCCCTCACAGCTGGTAGGTACACCCTGTATCACCCCTCACAGCTAGTAGGTACACCCTGTATCACCCCACACAGCTGGTAGGTACATCCTACATCACTCCACACAGCTGGTAGGTACACCCTGTATCACCCCACACAGCTGGTAGGTACACCCTATATCACCCCTCACAGCTGGTAGGTAGATCCTATATCACCCCTCACAGCTGGTAGGTACACCCTGTATCACCCCACACAGCTGGTAGGTACACCCTATATCACCCCACACAGCTGGTAGGTACATCCTACATCACTCCACACAGCTGGTAGGTACACCCTGTATCACCCCACACAGCTGGTAGGTACACCCTGTATCACCCCACACAGCTGGTAGGTACACCCTATATCACCCCACACAGCTGGTAGGTACATCCTACATCACTCCACACAGCTAGTAGGTACACCCTGTATCACCCCACACAGCTGGTAGGTACATCCTACATCACTCCACACAGCTGGTAGGTACACCCTGTATCACCCCACACAGCTGGTAGGTACATCCTACATCACTCCACACAGCTGGTAGGTACACCCTTTATCACCCCACACAGCTGGTAGGTACACCCTGTATCACCCGAAACAGCTGGTAGGTACATCCTACATCACTCCACACAGCTGGTAGGTACATCCTGTATCACCCCACACAGCTGGTAGGTACATCCTGTATCACTCCACACAGCTGGTAGGTACACCCTATATCACCCTAAACTGCTGGTAGGTACACCCTATATCACCCCTCACAGCTGGTAGGTACACCCTGTATCACCCCTCACAGCTGGTAGGTACACCCTATATCACCCCTCACAGCTGGTAGGTACATCCTATATCACCCCACACAGCTGGTAGGTACACCCTGTATCACCCTAAACAGCTAGTAGGTACACCCTATATCACCCCACACAGCTGGTAGGTACACCCTATATCACCCCTCACAGCTGGTAGGTACACCCTGTATCACCCCTCACAGCTGGTAGGTACACCCTATATCACCCCTCACAGCTGGTAGGTACACCCTGTATCACCCCTCACAGCTGGTAGGTACACCCTATATCACCCCTCACAGCTGGTAGGTACACCCTGTATCACCCCTCACAGCTGGTAGGTACACCCTATATCACCCCTCACAGCTGGTAGGTACACCCTATATCACCCCTCACAGCTGGTAGGTACACCCTGTATCACCCCTCACAGCTGGTAGGTACACCCTATATCACCCCACACAGCTGGTAGGTACACCCTGTATCACCCCACATAGCTGGTAGGTACATCCTATAGCACCCCTCACAGCTGGTAGGTACACCCTATATCACCCCACACAGCTGGTAGGTACACCCTGTATCACCCCTCACAGCTGGTAGGTACACCCTGTATCACCCCTCACAGCTGGTAGGTACACCCTATATCACCCCACACAGCTGGTAGGTACATCCTATATCACCCCACACAGCTGGTAGGTACACCCTATATCACCCCACACAGCTGGTAGGTACACCCTGTATCACCCCTCACAGCTGGTAGGTACACCCTATATCACCCCACACAGCTGGTAGGTACATCCTATATCACCCCACACAGCTGGTAGGTACACCCTATATCACCCCTCACAGCTGGTAGGTACACCCTGTATCACCCCTCACAGCTGGTAGGTACACCCTATATCACCCCACACAGCTGGTAGGTACATCCTATATCACCCCACACAGCTGGTAGGTACACCCTATATCACCCCACACAGCTGGTAGGTACACCCTGTATCACCCCTCACAGCTGGTAGGTACACCCTGTATCACCCCTCACAGCTGGTAGGTACACCCTATATCACCCCTCACAGCTGTTAGGTACACCCTATATCACCCCACACAGCTGGTAGGTACACCCTATATCACCCCTCACAGCTGGTAGGTACACCCTATAGCACCCCTCACAGCTGTTAGGTACTCCCTATATCACCCCACACAGCTGGTAGGTACACCCTATATCACCCCTCACAGCTGGTAGGTACACCCTATATCACCCCTCACAGCTGGTAGGTACATCCTATATCACCCCACACAGCTGGTAGGTACATCCTATATCACCCCACACAACTGGTAGGTACACCCTGTATCACCCCTCACAGCTGTTAGGTACTCCCTATATCGCCCCACACAGCTGGTAGGTAGATCCTATATCACCCTACACAGCTGGTAGGTACATCCTGTATCACCCCACACAGCTGTTAGGTACTCCCTATATCGCCCCACACAGCTGGTAGGTAGATCCTATATCACCCTACACAGCTGGTAGGTACATCCTATATCACCCCACACAGCACATACACCTAAGCCTCTTTAACATTAAATGTCTATGTATGCGTAATGCTGCTGTATATAGCCTATGAGATATACAGTTGTCAGTTTGTTTTATGTTTTATTCTTGCCTCAACAAATTGAAAAAACTTAGAATATATGGATTTAAGAACTGTTTTGAATCATATTAATAATATTTGTTATTAACACACGTTATTTCAGTTTCAACTGAATGCCATACATTTTAATTGTCTTTTATCTTTATTTTCCATGAACAAACTGAAGTCTATGAAATAACATCTTATGTCTCATCTCAACAGTTCATGCCCGTTCCTTTATAAGGTTTGAGTCCCGGAAATGAAATTGGTTCCTACCGAATTCACAGACTTCCGTTTGAGACTCTATTGAATGATTTACATGGAATGGCCGATGTGCACTGCATTATGATGTCACTCATTTATTATCTTTTGTTGAAAACACAATATATCTCTTTTTTATTTTGTGCAAATTGATACACCTTATCATTTATCCCTATGCTATGAATATCTATATCTTCCAGCTGTATTTTATAAGTGGTGTATAATACTGATATGTAATGCTTGGTATTGCCATCAAAACCCAGGCCAGATGATTGGTTAGGTTTATGACACAAGAGCTTTAAACTCCTCATGGTGACAGTACTGGTATCCACTGTGCTGAACATGAAGTGAGATATTATCTCAGAATAATGAGAGTAACCATTAACTGTTGGATTCATGTACGTCTTCAAATTTGGGGTAACAGAGACACAACTGATGTTTGTAGGGCTTGAATGACAGTTCACTTGGCCTGGATTTTGAAGGTTCCCATTAATAACATATATTATTTGCAGCAATTATTTGTTGGTTTCCCTAAATAGTTACAATCTGTAGTTGCTGCAGTAGCCTGCCTTGAGTATTTCATGGCCTGCTGGGTCACGTCATGTAGCATCTTCCTGCCACTGACTAAGTAGCCAGTAGTAATCCTATGTAACATAACTCAGTAATGACCTATGGTATGTTCCCTTCTCTAAAGTGATACCCATGGAGATCCGGAGTAGAATAGGTTTTCAGCAACCCATGCTTGCCGTACAAGGTGACTATGCTTGTCTTAAGAGGCGACCAACGGGATTGGGTGGACTGGCTCCCTGACTTGGTTGATGTATGTCATCGTATCTCAATTGCGTGGATCGATGCTCATGATATCAATCACTGGATTGTCCGGTCCAGACTGGGAAAATATTTTAACATGCAGTCATCTCTGGATCAGTGATGACAAGGAACTTCATAAATTTCATGTGATATAATCAGTAACAAACATTCCCAGCATTCTCTGTAACAAGAGAGAATGGTTCACTTGAATGGTTGTGTCCCTGAATTGTGCCAGGATTCGCTGGTTTGGGTTCATAGACCTGGATCACTAAGCTCCAACATGCTGTTGACATGCTGTCATATATATATGCTCACTGCCGAAAGGAATGCGAACCAGACAAATGGTGCATCTGGAGTCGTGGATCTGTGACGTCTGTGACGTCACATGTGATACATTCATGAGCATCTGTTCACACAACATACCAGTATGTTTGTTTGTGCATCAAACCTATCTAATATCTCTATGAATATGAGTAGGTCTTCATATGTAAAACAAGATGTATGGTATTTGCGTTTCTCTTGGTGGTGAGTATATAACTGAAATATTGTTCATAGCTGCATTAAACCTAACTGACTCACTCACTCACTCACTGAGTGTAACAAAACAAAGCCCTAAACGTACAGTTTCCGGTTGTTGAGACTGACTGATGTTATTGTCCTGATTTCCACAGGTGGACGCCATGAAACAAGTGTTTAGACAGGCAGTCTATGACGGCAACATTTTATTGTCTAAGGTCTCTCGTGTGATGATCAGAGCCTGTTTGTATTGAGGGCCTGGCTTGCTTGTTGTGTTTTCACTTCCAGTTATTTTCAGTTAGATTTCTATTGTTTTTCTGGTGTAGATAGATTGTCAAACAAGTCATTGTGGCTTGACAAAGATGGAGTGTGTTTTCAAGTGTAGTTAGATTGTCAAACAAGCCACTCTGGCTTCACAAAGGTGGGGTGTGTTTTCGGGTGTAGATAGATTGTCAAACAAGCCACTGTGGCTTGACAAAGGTGGGTTTGTTTTTTGGTGTAGATAGATTGTCAAACAAATTGTTGCTTGACAAAGGTGGGGTATGTTTTCCAGTGTAGATAGAGTGTCAAACAAGCCACTGTGGCTTGACAAAGGTGGGTTTGTTTTTTGGTGTAGATAGAGTGTCAAACAAGCCACTGGGGCTTGACAAAGGTGGAGGGTGTTTTCTGGTGTAGATAGAGTGTCAAACAAGCCACTGTGGCTTGACAAAGGTGGGGTGTGTTTTCTGGTGTAGATAGATAGTCTTTACAGTGATGGGTATGTTTGATGTGAGAGATGATGTGTATATAGGAATTTGTGTGTATGAACTTGGTAAACAGGGGTAGGCCAAAGTAGAGTTATTTAGGGACGGTGGTCGAGTTCGGAAGAGGAGAAGGGGTTTATTTGGTGCGGGAACTTTGATTTAGGTGACTGGGAGGATGGGTGTTATCTGTGGCTGGTGATTATACTGTGTGTTTGATCACTTCCTAAGTAGTCTCACTGTTTCACTGCTTGAGTTTTTCGTAAGCATGTTTGTGAAGTGGGCGGAGCTTTCAGTAAAGCAGCAGTTGAAATTGGTCATCTGCTATGAAACAAAATGTTGGATTATTTTCTGATGGCATCTTCTGAGTGCAAGAGTTTCAAATTTAAATTAAATATTGCTTTGGCTTTAGATGACTGACTGAAATCTCTCCCCCCACTCAACAGGGATTCCAGAAGAATATAGTCCCCATGAATGGTTATCCTGTTTAATGAAGTGAGATTCGACTAGATATATCGTTGTGCTTTGTTGGTGCTGACAGCTGCACTGGGTGTTCAGCCCTATGGACAAAGTGTCTGGCAGTATGGTGTTCCTGATTCATGGAGACTCGGACACTAATTGATGCTGCCTTTGAACAGCGGTGTCTCCGATTGTGCTGCGATCTGACCTATGACCTCTGGCTGATGGTTCCTTGATCTGACTGACGGTGCCTCTGACAAATGGTGCCTCGGCCAACGATGCCAATATCCCATGGTGCCTTTGAACAATGGTGTCGCTGGTGTCTCAGAGCAGTTTATCTCAGACCGATAGGGTCTTTGGCCGATGGTGCCACAATCTGTAAGATAGTGTCTCAGACCAATTTGCCTCAAGCTGCTAGTGTCAGACTGATAGTGCCTATGGTCAATGTGGTCTTAGACCGATGGTGTCTTAGACACTGGTCTCTCAGACCAATGGTGCCACAATCTGACAGATTGTGTCTGGCCGATGGTATCTCTGATCAATGCTGCCTGTGAACAATGGTACAATGAACCACTGTACAATAGTGTTTCTGATGGATGAAGCTAATGTGTGATGTGCCACTAGACAACATGATGTCTGCTGTAGTTTGACAAATGACCACCCAACCCAAATTTATTGGTAGGCTTTCATTCTAGAGTTTATTAGTGTTTCTTTTATTTTCACACTTGAGGTACCACCTAGAAATAGTTTTGTATCTTTTGTATCGATTTTTATATATATATATGATTTCTGTATTATCTAAGACCATGTGCGGCGTTTTGGTTTATGTCATTTGTTTGGTCTGTATTTGACTTTGTTATTCGCAACTCATCTCTCTTTTTTATTTTACTCCTTGCTTATTTGGTGCATGGAAGGTGTTGGCTCTCCAAATACATCATGGATGTACTGGTAGCACGTCAAATACATCATGGATGTACTGGTAGCACTTCAAATACATCATGGATGTACTGGTAGCACTCCAAATACATCATGGATGTACTGGTAGCACTTGCAGGAAGGTTAATAATAAAGGCAGTACTGACTGAGAGTGTGCAACTGCAAGATAACACTCGAGCCTCACTAACTGAAAATGTATCACTTACTTAGAAGTAAATGTATTGGCATTCTGGCCCCAGCACCCTGCTTGTTCTGTTAACAAAGTTTAACTGTAATATATTCCAGCTATTTTATGAAGAGTGTCTGTTTATAAATGTCAGTCCGAAGTTGTGTGATGGCAAGGATGTAACGTCTTGTAACGGCTCCTGCTATTATTAAGTGTGATACACAGGTTGATGATGTTTGTTATGGAGAAATGAAGTAGCATTTCCTTTAATCAACTGATATTAGTACTATTGAATTGCTGATGTGTGGGTGCCTGGTCCGAACTTTCCCTCACTTGACATCCCCTGTTTGGATGCTCTCAGTGCATGTACTCCAGTGTTGTCTATCTTGGCTTTAGTGACAACAGACAGTGGCATGGTGTGATATAGTCTATATACTTCATGTTGTCATGGTGACAAATGTGGAATAACTGAGATTCATGGCATGTAGTATGTAGTATACTACTAGAATCATATTAAAATTCTTAATGGAAATAATGAAGACAGTATTTCTAATATTTACAATTCATCTGTATGTCGATGTTTAGAGAACTATGATGAATTTCTCAACACCTCATGACAAAGATTGTACATAGTACTTATTTAACTTATTTTATGCACACTTTGTGCACTAGAATAAAATCCTGCCTTGCAGAGTATGAGACTTCTGTTTATTATGCACTATATCTCACAGATTCTGTTGTTATTGCACAGAATTTGTTAATGTTTTTATCACATTGAAATATTTGGATGAGAGCATCATGATTCATGACTAGGGCGGAGGATGTTTTGTCAGGGCTTGTGATGCTGTGTTGTGTGTTGTGCAGGTCGATGTTGCGAAGCAGGCGTTTCACCGAGAGGACACTGTAGAGGACGATGAGAAGGAGGATGAGGAGAGGGATGCGTCCCCCAAAGCTGTCGGACACAACATCTTTATCCTCGCTCACCAGGTTCGGTATTTAACTAACACAAGTGCTGCTGTCTACTTTAGCCTGTATGGAGTCTGGGTTCTAATGGAGGGGTTGTGGGATAGCCTACTGGTTAAAGCATTGGCTCGTCACACCAAAGATTTAGGTTTGATTCCCACATGGGTACAATATGTGCAGCCCATTTCTGGTGTCCCTTGCCGTGATATTGCTGGAATAATGCTAAAAGCAGCGTAAAACCATACTCACTCACAATTGCTCACAATATCAAACACTGGTTTGTCTCGTCCAAATTTTATTATTTACAGGCAGATGTCATGTTTGGTATGTTGCTGACTTTGACTTCACTCAACAAAAAAAGCCAAACTTTACAATTGTAGAAACTAACACTATCCTTATGATGCCTTAACTATTGTGCAATTCTTCAAGGACCAGAGGACAAGTGCCAATTTCTAACACTGCTTTACAATTGCATTACCAAAGATCTTAAATCACTGGCTGGTCATAAACCAATAGGTCTTATACAATAGTGTAACATGTTTTATGTGTTTCACGCAGAAGTTTTTGGTTGATGATAACAAATCTTCAGTCACTGGGATAATCAAGGCTGTATTTGCACACAGAGCAAGGTTATTTTACATCGTGTGTTTAAGTATGTCCCCTGGAGAATGCGTCAGATTTCTTCCAGGACACAGCCATCACGGACTATGCCGTCGCCTCATATTCACAAATAACACATGACAATATATGATGCTTAACAGGTTTTAAGGAAGCTAGGGTCAACTGTATTTAAATTATTTATGTCAAATATCATTCCAACATGTTGAGAAGTCTCGGTTCCGGGGATCAACGTGAATCTATCTCTTTCCTTCAGTTGTCTCAGCACAACAAGGAGTTGGCAGAACTCCTGAAGCCGAGCGGGACGGATCTGTACGGGGACCAGGCTCTCAAGTTCTACGCCAGGCACACGGCTCAGATAGAGGTGAGTTCTACGCCAGGCACACGGTTCAGAGAGAGGTGAGTTCTTCACCAGGCAGACAGCTAAGATAGAGATGACTTCTACGCCAGGCACACGGTTCAGAGTGAGGTGAGTTCTACACCAGGCAGACAGCTCAGATAGAGGTGAGTTCTACGCCAGGCACACGGTTCAGAGAGAGGTGAGTTCTACACCAGGCAGACAGCTCAGATAGAGATGACTTCTACGCCAGGCACACGGTTCAGAGTGAGGTGAGTTCTACACCAGGCAGACAGCTCAGATAGAGGTGAGTTCTACGCCAGGCACACGGTTCAGAGAGAGGTGAGTTCTACACCAGGCAGACAGCTCAGATAGAGGTGAGTTCTACGCCAGGCACACGGTTCAGAGAGAGGTGAGTTCTACACCAGGCAGACAGCTCAGATAGAGGTGAGTTCTTCGCCAGGCACATAGATGGAGTACAGATGGTTTATGGTGATGAGCACACTTGTGTCCCTCTCTCAAGGATCAACTTGTTGTAGGTTTGATCCCAGCTTTACTTTATTCTTGGTCAACATCAATGTTTGTATGTTTCACCAAACACCTGGGGAAACAGGTGGTTGGGGACACCTTGCTGTGTGGAGTTGAGTTCCTTTAACTAACCAGGATCCAGTGATCATGTGTTCAAATCCCTGATTCCCCCTGATTATGATATTGGTTTGTCTGCACCAATCCAAGATCTTTATTTTTATTGGTTCACTAAAGTGGTATACATCTAAGACCTACATCACATCAGGTTTTACTCCCACATGAAGCTGACATTCCATGAATTAACTGAAATACTGTTCAAAGCAACATTAAGTCCAAGTCAATCACGAAACAGTTAAGATTCAGGTCTTCAGCAACCCATGCTTTCTGTAAAGGCAACTATGCTTGTCATGAGAGGTGACTAACTGGATCGGGTGGTAATGCTCACTGACTTTGTTGATGCATGTTGATCATTGTATCCCAGTTGCATAGATTAATGCTTATGATGTCATTCACTGGATTATCTGGTCCAGAATTGATTATGTACAGACCGTCATCATATAGCTGGAATATTGCTGAGTGCCAACAAGAAACAAAACAAAACAAAACAGGACTGTTAACTATCGTTGTCAACATGTGAGTCGATTTTTGATTTATAAAATACTTTAAGTTAATGTAACACTTATGATACTTGTTATATTTATTGTTAGAGACATGACTGATGAAGACATACAGTTCATGCAATACACAAATAGGGTGGATTAGCTTGGATCAGCGAGCAGACACCTATGTTCATCATGTGACTGTTGAGTCAAGTTGTAAGTGTTGTGAAGAATTGTTCACTCTGTACGTGTGTGACAGATCGTGCGTCAGGACCGGACGATGGAACGGATCGTGTTCCCCATCCCGGAGATCTGTGAGTACTTAACAGAGGAGACAAAGGTGAAGGTCTTCAACACGACAGAGAGAGACGAGCAGGGCAGCAAGGTGGCCGACTTCTTCGCCGCACATGAAGATCTTTTTGCCGAAATGAAGTGGCAGAAAATGTTGCGGGGTGAGTAGCTCATTTGAAAGTACTTGTATAAGTTCAATGTAAAGATTTCATGCTGATGTATGATTGTTTTTGTCTGTTGCATCATTTTTCACTTAGATTAAGTTAACATGACTTCTTTGTGATTTAAACATGATGATGAAACACTGAATTCTCCCTGGGGAGAATAGGTTCCCAGCAACATAGGTTGTTGTATAGTCTGGAAGGTAATATAAGGTACCAACGTTTACTACAATATCTGAAAAACTATCGGACCTACTCCAGTCAAAGTTGGTATGAGATTATTAAACAGTCATACATAACTGAATATTACATTTAAAGACAATGGGTGGATGAATAAAAAATCTGTCTATTTAGCTATCACTATATTTCATCAACAACCAGACCTGTTCGTCACGGGTGGAACAAGCATTCATTGTAACAGCCATCTGCATAATGCTACCCCTGCATCACAGGGCCATATGACACAGTTGAACCAATCAACAATGAATGCTCGTTCCACCCGTGACAAACAGGGCTGGTTGTTGGTGAAATATAGTGATAGCTAAATAGACAGATTTTTTATTCATCCACCGATTGTCTTTAAATGTAATATCCAGTTATGTATGACTGTTTAATAATCTCATACCAACTTTGACTGGAGTAGGTCCAATAGTTTTTCAGACATTGCAGTATACGTCGGTACCTTAAATTTCCTTCCAGACTATAAGAGGCAACTTGTGGATTGAGTGGTCAGGCTCGTTGACTTGGTTAATTGCGTGTCAACGTACAACAATGAAAGGATTGTTGCGCATGATATCAATCACGGGTTTGTCTGGTTCAGGCTCAATTATTTACAGATTACTGTCATGTGGCCGGAATATTGCTGAGTGCAAATTACAGCAACAAACAAACAAATATAAGTAGGTTTAGCATTCTGTTAAAAAAATCTCAGCCAGATTCACCCTGGAATCTTTTTCTTGATCTGCACGTGACTGCATGTCCCCCAGCCACCGCACCCCTCCCATCTCTTTCCCCCAGTCTGTGTGCATGCTCCTCAGTAGCAGACAAACCCATGAAGATCCGGGTTAGAATATGTCCTCAGCAACCCATGCCTGCTGTAAAAGGCGACTATGCTGGTCATTAGAGTAAACTAACAGGATTGGGTGGTCAGACTCTCTGACTTTGTTGATGCATGTCATCGTTTCCTTATTGTCTGCATCGTTGCTCATGATATCAATCACTGGATCGTCTGGTCCAGACTTGATCATTTACGGACTACCGTCATATTGCTGGAATATTGCTGAGTGCGGCTTTAACCAACAAACCCCCCGCCCCCCCCCCCCCCTCCCAAAAAAGTGTAGCTGACATTACGATTACCGTATTTGACGTAATATATGACGGCGATATTTGTTAATTTATTGGCAAGTGAACAATCACAATTTGGCACACCTTCCGACTGATCAATGTACACAAGACTTATTTATTTCGTGTATAAATCGCACTCGTGTGTAATATGCACCCTTAATTATGGGCAATTAAATTCTGGAAAATATATCTGTCGTTCATAATACGCACAGACTTTTCTTTTGTATCATTTCAGGCTGTCAGCATAAACCACGAAATTTACGATCTTTCAACTCTGTTGTTTTCTCACTAAAATTATATTCTAATAAGAGCCCCCTTTTTCTAATTTTGAGAGCGCCCTGGGCGCTTATTACGTCGAATATGGTAGCTTGAAAACTGCTGATGCTGCATAATGCAGTTGATACATGTTCAGTAGTAGAGTCCAGACTACAACGCTTTTTTGAATTTTGACCTCTCTGATTCTTTATTGTTTTATTCCTCATTTGTATCATCCTGTCATTTTCATAGGGGTAACTGGTAAGCATGGAGAATGCAGGCCGTCAGAAATTAATGTTTGGTTTCTCTGGCAAATTACGTCTGAATTCATGACATTTTGTGTCCAATGGGTCTTTAGAGACAGTTTTGTTATGCAAACTTAATGCTGAACATGTTTGAGAAACCAAACATCATTTCTGTTTTAGCCTATGTAGATGTTAATTACTGACATTTTAGATGTAGTTTAATAATTAACAAAGCTATTTAGTTATCAAATACTCAGTATCATGAAGAAGTGATTTTTCATTGTCTATAGAAAGATTAAACCCTCAAAACTGAGGGGTTGACTTATTACCAATAATCACACTCTGTTGACTACCATATATATATCTGGGTATTAGTAGACCAGGGGTATTGGCCAATCCCCCAACACAAATTACAAACCGTTATTTAAGTATCATCCACTGTTTAGCAACAGACAGTTTATGTTTAATTGTCCAAGGAAAGATTACACCCTCAAAACTGAGAACATATCTCGAGGAAGGTATGGAAAAGAATGGTATTTCCTTCGTGTTTATGAAGCATAATATCATATAATAGGAATGAAACTATATGTATTAATCTTGCTAATGGCTCCACCATTTGTAGTTCCAATATATGATATTTACAATACAGGAGCACACTCAGCTGATATTCCCTATTTATCTAGCATGCCCCACTCCTGCCATCTCTAACACAGGTTATCTACATCTTGTAACAACATTCTCACCCTATTACCACTGCACTTTAATATTACTTGTTTGCACATCATTATTCTAATGTCCTATCTCAGTTCAGTTCTGACAAAATTTGAAATGATAGAATACATTGCCATACTAAAGTTAAAAACATTTTTTTAAATATAATGCAATTTGACTCAACCGAACATGTTTGAAATGTTTATATGGCATTTTATGTGACAGTGGATGGGAGTTATCCCAGTCTGGGCACTAGGATGAATGGTGGACTAGAGACCTGTTCTGTCATCTTAGCGCTAAGACTCGTAACTTCCATACTATAACATAGTCGTATAATAGCGCTAAGACTCGTAACTCCCATACTATAACATAGACATATGACAGCGCTAAGACTCGTAACTCCCATACTATTACAAAGATGTATGACTATGACAGGGCTAAGACTCGTAACTCCCATACTGTAACATAGACGTATGACAGCGCTAAGACTCGTAACTCCCATACTATAACAAAGATGTATGACAGCGCTAAGACTCGTAACTCCCATACTATAACATAGACATATGACAGCGCTAAGACTCGTAACTCCCATACTATTACAAAGATGTATGACTATGACAGGGCTAAGACTCGTAACTCCCATACTGTAACATAGACGTATGACAGCGTTAAGACTCGTAACTCCCATACTATAACAAAGATGTATGACAGCGCTAAGACTCGTAACTCCCATACTATAACATAGACATATGACAGCGCTAAGACTCGTAACTCCCATACTATTACAAAGATGTATGACTATGACAGGGCTAAGACTCGTAACTCCCATACTGTAACATAGACGTATGACAGCGCTAAGACTCGTAACTCCCATACTATAACAAAGATGTTTGACAGCGCTAAGACTCGTAACTCCCATACTATAACAAAGATGTTTGACAGCGCTAAGACTTGTAACTCCCATACTATAACATAGACGTATGACAGCGCTAAGACTTGTAACTCCAATACTATACCAAAGATGTTTGACAGCGCTAAGATTGCATTGTAGAATGGGCCATGGCGCTGAGCCCTTACCTCCCTTTACCGATACAGTGTTGCTTACCTCACTTTACTGTCCCAGTGTTGAGTGTGTGCCGTGTTTGGTTCCAGCCAACCCACTCCTGTTCTGGTTCAGCAGCCATATGCTTCTCTGGGGCTCCATCTCCTTCAACTTCGCCGTCATCATCAATCTCATGGTGGCCGTCTTCTACCCCTTCAGCGACTCCAGGAAAGGTAGGTGGTCACTCCTGTCACATATACGGACAAATGTGTGGGATAGTTTAGGAGACACATCCTCATCACAAGATCATGTTCTCCTCTTCCACAGCAAAAAAAAAGTGTAGGTTTTCCGGAAATCTTCCAGATACCTTCCATTTTTAATCCGGCACGGATACCTTGCGTAAACCTTACAAAAACATTTGAGGGGTGCATTTTGTTAAATTCAGTGTGAAACACATAAAAAAAATATTTGAAACTTAAGGTATCGGAAGGTTTCAGGATGGTTTCCGGGAAACGGACACCTACACCTTTTTAGCTGCGTTCAACTCCTCATAGGCTGACTGTCCTCATTTCATGGGTACAATGTGTAAAGCCCATTTCTGGTGTCCCCCACCGCGATGTTGCTGGAATATTAATAAAAATCGGCGTAAAATCATACTCACTCACTCAAATAGAGGAAGGCATAGGTGGCTCCGAGCTGTGAGCACTGTACAGAGTTGCATCCCTTTGCCATACTATGAGTTGCTAATTGTTGGTTTCAATCCCAGATTGACCAAGATTATGACCCTCAGTCTTTCAGCTCATTGTACTCATTCATAAACCCATAAAGACCTGTTTCACTTCAGGCTTTCTTGCCTCATTAAGCTGACATGCATACAAAGCAGCATAAAACCAAGAATGGAACAAGCACGCTGAGTTGATGTGTAAGGGGACTCTGAGGACAAATTGGATTTAAAGTCTTTCTGTTACTATGTGTTGATGCTATTCGGTCTTGAAAACATTTCAGTGCACACCGTGCTGCAAACTAGCCTGGGCCCACGTGCACAAAGCGATCTTAGTGCTACGACCATCATAAGCCTATGTTAAAGTATAGGAGTTACGATCATCTTAGCGCTGTGACTATCGTAAGCCTATGTTAAAGTAGATCATCTTAGCGCTAAGGTCTTTTTGTGCATGTTGACCCACGTCCGTTTGCACCACTGGTTAAACCCAACTCACTAACTCACTCTCCTACCTTTCAGAACTGGATCCACGTCTGTCAGGGCTGGTATGGACAGCCATGTTGGTGTCTCTAGCCATCGTGATCACAATACCCCGACCTGCTGGTATACGCACGCTCATCGTCTCCACAATACTTCGCCTCATCTTTTCAGTAGGCCTCGGACCCACACTGTGGCTGCTAGGGGGCCTCAATGTGAGTCCTTCGAACATTCCCTCCCTACTCCTTAACTAAATGTCTGCACGTGTAAGTGTGTTGTATACTCAACGCCAAAAGAAACGGGAACCATAGAAACATATAGAGAAGTAGTATGTTAAGAGGAGATGTTCCAATATGTACCAATTAATGATAAAACCAACAGTCAGTCAAGTGTCACCATAGTGTCTTTATTCTTATCACGATATGCTGCACATGATTTCCAAACTTTACACGCGTATCCTGCACCAGACAAATGGTGCATCTGGAGTCATGGATCTGTGATGTCACATGTGATGTGTTCATGAGCATCGGTTCACACAACATACCAGTATGTTTGTTTGTGCATCAAACCTATCTAATATCTCTTGAATATGAGTAAATCTTCATATATTAGCCTACATTTATGGTATTCGCATTTCTTGTGGCGGGTGGACATTGAAGAGGCTGCCCTCATGTCTGGCATGAACAGCCAGCATGTCCTTCAATACTGACTCTTGTATTCTATGCTGCAGGTAATCAACAAATTCATCTTCCTGATCAGCTTGATGGGCAACCGAGGAACATTCTCCAAGCCCATCAATGTGATTCTGACAGACTTTGAGTTCATCTACCATGTCATCTACTTGCTGCTTTCAGTGCTGGGGTTGTGTGTGCATGAGTTCTTCTACAGTCTGCTGGTGAGTGCCACACCGGAAACTCTCTCCAACAAACTGCTATTTAACAGAACAAAAGATGTGTGAATTGAGACATTTGCTCTCATAATTTTACACAATCTTAAGTTTTTTTGTGTCTTCAAATTTTTACAAGATGACTGATTGCATGGTATACTGGTTCTGCTATGGAATGTTATGTGAGGCAAGGACAAGCATTTTTGAAGAGCTGTATACAGTGTTCCCTCGCTATTGCGCCCTTCAACATAGCACTAATTCTGTTAATGTGTGCGGTGACACATGCCTCCCAAATTTTTTTAATGAACTCAAGTTTTAAACTGACACAATATTTTTTCACCATCACCCAAAAGCATTACCAGCTAATCACAGCGAGCACGTAACACTGGAAATACCAGTCAACAAATCCGACTTATTATTTGTTTTATCGTTTACATTAATTTCGGAGAAATCGTGTGTGAATCGATTGTCGGCTCTCCGCTCTTGGACGTGGTGTATATATGTTATATCTTCCTGCCCACAGCTCCTGGACGTGGTGTATATATGTTATATCTTCCTGCCGAAACTCCTGGACGTGGTGTATATATGTTATATCTTCCTGCCCACAGCTCCTGGACGTGGTGTATATATGTTATATCTTCCTGCCCACAGCTCTTGGACGTGGTGTATATATGTTATATCTTCCTGCCCACAGCTCCTGGACGTGGTGTATATATGTTATATCTTCCTGCCCACAGCTCCTGGACGTGGTGTATATATGTTATATCTTCCTGCCCACAGCTCCTGGACGTGGTGTATATATGTTATATCTTCCTGCCCACAGCTCTTGGACGTGGTGTATATATGTTATATCTTCCTGCCCAAACTCTTGGACGTGGTGTATATATGTTATATCTTCCTGCCAACAGCTCCTGGACGTGGTTTATCGAGAGGAAACACTGCTGAATGTTATTAAGTCTGTCACACGCAACGGTCGCTCCATCGTGTTAACTGCAGTGCTGGCCGTCATCCTCATCTACCTCTTCTCCATCATCGCTTTCATCTTCTTCCGTGATGACTTCCTGATGGAGGTGGACCCCCTGACAGCTGATGACAGTCCCCAACTAGAGGGTAGCCATTGTAGTCACATATACACCCTTTCAGGAAACAGTGAAAATCACATGTATTCTTATCGCTGACTTGGTTGATGCATGTCATCATATCCCAAATGCGTGGATCGATGTTCATTATGTCAATCACTGGATTCTCTGGTCCAGACTCGACTATTTACAGACTGCCGTCATGTAGCTGGAATATAGCTGAGTGCGGCCTTAAACAAACAAACAAGGTTGGCAGCAACCGATGCTAGAGACCCAGGATTGGGTGGACAGACCATCATATGATCAGTGCTCATGCTGTCAACCACTGGTTTGCCTGGTCCAGACTTGATTTTATCCATGCATCAATGTAGCTGACAACACTGCTGACAACAATCACTGACACACGTGTCCACCAACTCCTGATGAGTCTGTGTTGGTGGAGTGACACACTGAATCATTCTGGGACTATAGTCTCAGTTAGAAGTCTGTGGTTTGGTTCTCTTAATTCAGATATTGCCTGCTCTGAAGGTTTGTATGAATTTACCTGGCTACAATTAACAGTGCTTTACATAGGTCCATTGCTTTATCACTATTTCTCTTAGGTACAGGTTAGTGTTGCTGTTTTGAGACTGATTAGTGTTGTCCATAAGGAAATCAGCAGTTGATAATAGGATCCTTATGAATGAAACATTTTCTAACCTTTTTCACAAACACCGAGAATCAAGTAACATGTCCCATTTTCTTGCTTTCACCTCATGTTGTTTTGTTGTAGATGTTAACGCCACAGTGCCTGAAAGTACTTGTTCTGCAGGCGACAAAAACTGCACGCCCACTGGGTCGATTGTCAGCCAGTTGATCCAGGCAGGAAAAGGTGAGACCTGGTTTATCTCTTGAGGGGCGACTGCCTCCGTGGCCTAGTTGATAGAGCATCTACCCAGAGAGTGGAAGGTCAAAGGTCAGGGGTTCGTTCCCAAGCCATGTCATACAAAAAACGTAGAATGATGGTACTTGTGGTTTCCCTGCATGGCATTAATGGGATGAAACCAAGGACTGGTCGGCTCTGTATGCTGTGTCTGAGTGGGGTATCCATGTTAAACTGCGGCATGGTATCTCATTGGGCTTGCACTATAAAACTGACATCAGTCCGGACTAGTACAAGCAGAGACACGATGCTATGTAAGTGCAATAATCTTAATCTGACCTCACCATCTCTTGGGGGAGGTCTGGTAGCCTAGTGATTAAAGCGTTCACTCGTCATGCCGAAGACCTGGGTTCGATTCCCGACATAGGTTCAATGTGTGAAGCCCATTACTGGTGTATTGATGTCCCTCTCTAAGATGTAGCAAGCACACTCACTGTCTAACTGTGCATGGACAGATACACTGAGTGGAGCCGGGGCCAGCGACATGGAGGAAGAAGGCAAGCAGCGGACGTGCGACACCCTCATCATGTGCATCGTCACCTCTCTCAACGAGGGGCTGAGGAACGGCGGCGGCATTGGAGACGTCCTCCGTAAACCCAGCAGCAAGGTACGTACGGAGGAACACAGCAAGTGCTGTCTTATTCTGAACGTCCTGGACAGAGTCTTATTCTAAACATACTGGTCAGATTTGTAAAGTTTCAAGTTATATTGGCACTGACATCATAGAGGCTCCAGGCCCACTGCCTGTCCTAGCACATTACCTCACCTCACCTCACCTCACCTCACCTCACCTCACCTCACCTCACCTCACCTCACCTGTTCAACTTACTCATAACGTTCATATTCTTGATTCCTCAAACAAAACAATATATGCACGTAAAGAAACATGTACACCATAAATGAAATGCCAAAACTTGATATCCACTGAATTCTGTCTGAAATCTCTCTGTCCTCAGGAGCCTCTGTTCGTGGCGAGAATCGTCTACGACTTGCTGTTCTTCTTCATCGTTATCATCATCGTCCTCAACCTCATCTTTGGTGTCATCATTGACACCTTTGCCGATCTCAGAAGTGAAAAGCAGACAAAAGAGGAGGTCATCAAAAACACCTGTTTCATTTGTGGTATGTTCCTGTTCCTGTTCCTGTTCCTGTTCTTGTCATCCAGCCAACGGCCTCTGCTGATGGCAAACTGGGGATGTGTCATGTTTCTCAACTAAGCACCTTCTCTGTGTATATAAATTTTCTCTTAAACATTCTTTCAATGAGAAATTCAAAATCGCTATAATTTGAAAATGTTGAAAAATCTACCAGTAATGACTAATTTGTGATCATCATTTATGAATGACAGTTTGAAAATATCTAAGTAAAGTTCAAAGGAATTCTTTACCATATTACATATTAAGATTTAACTATATTTCTATATTTTACACAAAAACATTATTGCCAATTTAGAATTAATGGCACATTAAGGCCTTGAAATGTCTAGAGAAGCTCCTGACTTTGGTTGCCATCCATTCAGTATCTATCAACTCTGTAATACTTTGGACTCATCTGTATATGGGGGAGGTTGTCAAAGTGTACAAGTAGCATTTGTGATGCTGTTGACTGCCTCTGTGGTCTAGTGGTAGAGCGTTTGCACAGAGAGTGGAGGTCTGAGGAGATCCCTGGCCGCGTCATACCAAAAGACGTTAAAAGTTGGTACTTACTGTTACCCTGCCTGGCGCTCAGCAGTAAGGGGCTTAAACAAGGACTGGGCGTCTTGGAGTCAGTATACTGTGTCTGTGTTGGGCATTCATTTTAAAACTGTTGCATGGTATCTCAGTGGGTAGCTCTATAAGATCGGCATTAGTCCAGACAAGTACAAGCAGCCACACACACATGTGTGCATACATGTCGCTATTTAAGTGCAATAATCTTGGACACACTGTTAAACTCTATTTCATGATCACCTCACCATGTGACTCACCTGTATATGGGGAGGTTGTCACAGTGTACAAGTACTATTTCATGATGCTGTTTTTATTAAGGACTTGAGAGAGGTGAATTTGACAATCGGTCCACATCGTTTGAGGAACACATTCGATCTGAGCACAACATGTGGCACTACCTGTTCTTCATCGTGCTGGTGAAGGTGAAGGACCCCACGGAGTTCACGGGGCCGGAGAGTTACGTCTACGACATGATCAAGGTGAGCTACAGCAGCACAAGGGGGGCGTGACAGGATGTGAGACAGTGAGGGCATGGGTGAGTGAGTGAGTGAGTGAGGTGTTTGTTTGTTGCACTCGGCAATATTACAGCTATATGACGGAGTCTGGACCAGACAATCAAGTGATTGATGTCATGAGCATCGATTCACGTAATTTGGATACGATGACATGCATCAACCAAGTCAGCGAGTCTGACAACCCGATGCCGCTAGTCACCACTTACAAGCATAGTCGCCTCAGTTAATAGGTGAGTGAGTGTGTATATGGGGAGTGAGTGAGGTGATTGTGTGATTTAATGGGGGAGTGAGTGGGGTGATTGTGTGAGTTAATGGGTGAGTGAGTGGGGTGATTGTGTGAGTTAATGGGTGAGTGAGTGAGGTGATTGTGTGAGTTAATGGGGGAGTGAGTGAGGTGACTGTTAGTTAATGGGGGAGTGAGTGAGGTGATTGTGTGAGTTAATGGGGGAGTGAGTGAGGTGACTGTTAGTTAATGGGGGAGTGAGTGAGGTGATTGTGTGAGTTAATGGGGGAGTGAGTGAGGTGACTGTTAGTTAATGGGGGAGTGAGTGAGGTGATTGTGTGAGTTAATGGGGGAGTGAGTGAGGTGACTGTTAGTTAATGGGGGAGTGAGTGAGGTGATTGTGTGAGTTAATGGGGTGAGAGTGAGGTGACTGTGTGAGTTAATGGGGGAGTGAGTGAGGTGACTGTTAGTTAATGGGGGAGTGAGTGAGGTGATTGTGTGAGTTAATGGGGGAGTGAGTGAGGTGACTGTTAGTTAATGGGGGAGTGAGTGAGGTGACTGTTAGTTAATAGGTGAGTGAGTGAGGTGATTGTGTGAGTTAATGGGGGAGTGAGTGAGGTGACTGTTAGTTAATGGGGGAGTGAGTGAGGTGACTGTTAGTTAATAGGTGAGTGAGTGAGGTGATTGTGTGAGTTAATGGGGGAGTGAGTGAGGTGACTGTGTGAGTTAATGGGGGAGTGAGTGGGGTGACTGTGTGAGTTAATGGGGGAGTGAGTGAGGTGACTGTTAGTTAATGGGGGAGTGAGGGAGGTGCTTGTGTGAGTTAATGGGGGAGTGAGTGAGGTGATTGTGTGAGTTAATGGGGGAGTGAGTGAGGTGATTGTGTTAATTAATGGGGGAGTGAGCGAGGTGACTGTTAGTTAATGGGGGAGTGAGGGAGGTGATTGTGTGAGTTAATGGGGTGAGAGTGAGGTGACTGTGTGAGTTAATGGGGGAGTGAGTGAGGTGACTGTTAGTTAATGGGGGAGTGAGGGAGGTGCTTGTGTGAGTTAATGGGGGAGTGAGGGAGGTGATTGTGTGAGTTAATGGGGGAGTGAGTGAGGTGATTGTGTGAGTTAATGGGGGAGTGAGTGAGGTGACTGTTAGTTAATGGGGGAGTGAGTGAGGTGATTGTGTGAGTTAATGGGGGAGTGAGTGAGGTGACTGTTAGTTAATGGGGGAGTGAGTGAGGTGATTGTGTGAGTTAATGGGGTGAGAGTGAGGTGACTGTGTGAGTTAATGGGGGATTGAGTGAGGTGACTGTTAGTTAATGGGGGAGTGAGTGAGGTGATTGTGTGAGTTAATGGGGGAGTGAGTGAGGTGACTGTTAGTTAATGGGGGAGTGAGGGAGGTGATTGTGTGAGTTAATGGGGTGAGAGTGAGGTGCTTGTGTGAGTTAATGGGGGAGTGAGTGAGGTGACTGTTAGTTAATGGGGGAGTGAGTGAGGGAGATAGGTGTGAGACATAGTCTGTAGTCAGTAAGTTAGTGTTACTTTTGAGTGATTTGTCAGGTGTCTCTTTGTCAAATCAATTCTGTAGTGTAAGCATATGTCACATTGAGTAGCTGGAATTATTGCTTGTTATTAGAGGCACATGACCAGGCTGAGGTGAGCTGTGTTGTAAATGTCAGTGTGATGTATGGTGGCAGGACAAAAACCTTGACTGGTTCCCAAGGATGCGGGCGATGTCGCTGACAGCAGATGACAGTGAGGGCGAACAGAACGATCTGCGCAATCTGCAGGTGCAACTGGACTTCACAAACAAGCTGGTCCAGGTCCTCTCTCACCAGCTGTCGGAACTCAAGGATCAGGTAGCTACATCTCTCCCTCTCTCTTTCTTCTCCCCTCTCCCTCCCTCTCTCCATCTGGGACTCAGAGAATGTTATCCCAGATATAACATTTGTTACATTTGACCACTTTCTAAAAGGCATTGTGTGTTCATAGCTTTCGACCATGGGAGCGCTGCCAATTTACACTTGTCAGAGGGGTACACAAAGTACGTAATCTAGACTACCAGTTGTTGGACTTTCATTTTTTGTGGAATCCTCAGTGGCTGAGTGGGTTAGATCGCTGACTTTGTGTGCTGGCAATCAGGCACTTCACTCTGGCAGTGTGGGTTCGAATCCCGGACGGGACTCAACCCCCCAAAAGTACGAGAATCTGTACTTTACTCAGAAAGTGTTATCCCGGATAAATAACATTTGTTACATTTGACCACTAATGGCACTTTCTAAAAGGCATTGTGTGTTCATAAAAATGTTAGTTTCTACCATTGCTGAAGATCGTTGGTTCCATGGTCCTGGCAATTAGCATTAACGGGATAAAACAAGAACTGGTCAAAGTCGGTATACTTTCTCTGCACAGTGATTAAAATAATTTTAAAACCCACCAAGACGGGCAGGTGACCCACAAGAGTTGCCTGCCTAATTCAAAGTTACCTGCCTGCATTCAGACACGAATTTTGAAAATTCTCAAAAAAAGAAAAACGCTTCTTGATTCATTTGAAATAATGTAAACAGTTACGTGAGAATGTACGAGCAGTTATTATTAAAATGAACACGTAAGTAAGTAGTTTTAAAACTATCTGCCAGAGTGTTGGGCAGATGGAGGAAAATTCTCTCTCTTACTCTCTTACTCTCTATACTCTCTCTACTCTCTTTCTTTCTCTCTTTCTCTCTCTCTCTCTCTCTCTCTTACTCTCTATATTCTCTCTACTCTCTCGCTCCACAGTAAACAATCTTGATTCATCTAGTTCTCCTGTTTGTGTTTTAGATGACAGAACAACGGAAACAGAAACAGAGGATGGGTCTGCTCCAACACAACCCTGTGTCCTACGTCAACTAGGACCATAGACCAGCACCTTCCTTTCTTCATCACATCACCTACCCCGGGCAGCTCCAACAGGAGGATGACTGATGTCCTCGATGTCAATTGGGACCTGTAGACCAGCACCTTCCTTTATTCATGACATCACCTGCCCTGGGCAGCCTGGATAGGAGGATGACTGATGTCCTCGATGTCTTCATCACATCACCTGCCCCGGGCAGCCTCAGACCTCATTGTTCCAATGTATTACAACATGGTCACACTAATGGAGGGAGTGAGACTGTCCTAGTGCTGTGGTTGGTTCAAGCATTCAGTCACATCTGTAATGGAGTATGTTCTATCCTGCTGTTGCTGCAGCTAGTGCTCAGTTAGTCTTGACTATCCATTCAGATTTAGGAAAGTGTGTATGGAGATGATGCCAAGGTAGCAGTGTTGGATTCAGTTGGACGAGGCACCCCATGTAGTTAGTGTCAGGGCTCACAGATTATCTTCCACTCTGACAACCTGGACACCAACCAGGGATCCCATCAAACAGCCATCCACGTCCCTTGTCCATTGACTTCTCCGGAGAAGCTCACTCCCACGTCTGTGCATGTATGTAGGTGATAACGGCCAGATGGGCGTCATTGTCCCAACCATTCACTGCAATGGATGTCATCCAATTTCTTCACAGTTTGTGCACATATTTTTCTATCAAAATCAGAGTGTTTCTTCAATGAAGAATGCATTTTCCCAGACTATCTTAAAAGAACTTTTATATGAAAATTAAGACATTAGACGTAGTATGTTACCACGGTAACTGATGTGAAACGCCAGTGAGTGATATATGTATATGTGTGTGTGGTGCTGTACAGAAAGGCTGAGCCATGAACACAACAGTTGAACAATTTTACAAATATATTTTATCATGGTCACAAATTACGATCCCGTGATAACATTATCATCAGATAATGCTGTTGGTGTTGTAGATATGTCGTGTAAGAGGGAGACTAGCCCTGCTCACATGGCAGATGCAGTGTAGTTTACCGTAATCTCTCTGGTAGAAGACAGGGGTGGAATTAGTCATCAAAGAGTGACACAAATATTATTTTCTGAACATGTTGTATTGTTTGTACTCGTCATTCCTCTTCAGAACAGAAGTGGGTAAAAGAGGCATGGACGCAAATTAAGAATAAAAGTCAGGGGATGTTAAAATTGCTATATTTGGTGGGTGGCATGTTGTTACGAAATATGATCACAGAAAGACTCACAGATTTCAGGGCCACGTTTCTGCCACAGTAATGGCCGCCCCTTGTTACAACAGGTCGAAAGTCTACAGGAAACATGTTTTTTTTCCCAATTTGTGTTTCTTACCTGTGTCTAGAGAATGTTTAATATGTCCATAGATGTCCGCATTCTACAGATCTTGTAGAGACCACGCTATCACCCTACATGACGAGTCTTCAACGAGTCTTCACCGAATCTTCACCGAATCTTCACCGAATCTTTTCCAAGGCCAATTAATGTTTCACTTCCCCCAGTCTTCAAGTTTTTCTTTCATGTTTAAATGTTTCTTTGAATGCAAGAGTGGCGACCTGGTATATGTACATATGTAACCATGGTAACTGAGAATTAGTTTCCAAAGATGTATATGCAACTTTCCATGTTTGAATGTCCTTGTGTTAGTGATGAGAGTCTGGGGATTACCTTTGTCTGAAGCGAGACAGTTGATTCATAGACCTGCCCTACACTTGTTCCTGTCAAAATTCTGACTGAAATGCTCTCTTTTTGACCCCTTGTTCCTCCTTATTTATGTATCAATTCTTATTTAAAATGTGAATACCATTTTAAGAAAAAGAAACAAATCTAACAGACATATCATGTGTAAAAACTCTGTTCAATTAGCCAGTCAGTGATGTCAGGGCCAGTCAGTGATGTCAGGGCCAGGCAGTGATGTCAGGGCCAGGCAGTGATGTCAGGGCCAGTCCATGTCAGGGCCAGTCAGTGATGTCAGGGCCAGTCAGTGATGTCAGGGCCAGGCAGTGATGTCAGGGCCAGGCAGTGATGTCAGTGATGTCAGGGCCAGGCAGTGATGTCAGGGCCAGGCTGTGATGTCAGTGATGTCAGGGCCAGGCAGTGATGTCAGGGCCAGGCAGTGATGTCAGGGCCAGGCAGTGATGTCAGGGCCAGGCAGTGATGTCAGGGCCAGTCCATGTCAGGGCAAGGCAGTGATGTCAGGGCCAGTCAGTGATGTCAGGGCCAGGCAGTGATGTCAGGGCCAGTAAGTGATGTCAGGGCCAGGCAGTGATGTGTTTAGATTTATTGGGTGTTTTGGTGCTAAGAAGTTGCAAGATCCACAATACAAAACGATGTTCATCATAAAGAAAACATCTCTTGTAGATATTTGTAGAATAGTTTCTTTGCATATATTTTCCTATAATGAAATATCGATCTGGACTCAAACATGATAAAATTGTATAGAGAGTAAACTAATAAGCAGAATTTAATATATTGATTTTGTTGATTGGTGTAAAGAAATGGATACAAAGTATATATCAGCTGTTCTTTCTCCTTCAAAGTCTATGTTTTGAAAGAAGAGCTACACTAACACATCCCTACACAGTTCCCATTTGCAGTAGGTCAGAGTTGAATGTTATCCAAATGTCTGAGACAGCAGACTTTTACATAACTGTATGGTTTGATTGTCCAAACACAGGAATGATAGTCCAGCACGGAGCGGAAGAAGTCTGTGAGTTTAAGACTTGCCTGTTCTGGTGAATCCTTCAGATCATGCTGCATCTAGTAGAACAGTATAATGATATTCTCTTCACAAGAGTAGACCTGTGAAGACCAGGGGTAGAATCGGTCTTCAGCAGCCAATGCTTGCCATAAAAGGCGACTATGCTTGTTATAAGAGGTGACAAATGGGATCAGGTGGTCAGGCTAGCTGACTTTGTTGATGCATGTCATTGTATCCCTATTGCTAAGATCAATGCTCATGATATCAATCACTGGATTGTCTGGTCAACACTTGATTATTTACAGACCGCTGTCATATAGCTGGAATATTGCTGAGTGCGGAGTAAAACAAACAAACAGTACATGAGAAGTTCCTTTAATGTGCTGGGTCATTATTATGTCTAACAGTGTTGTACAGGTGGGATTTGACACCAAATCTGATCTGGCGGACTTGTTTGAGCCCAACAACACAACCAGGTTCTCTCTAGGGCCAGGTGAACAGGCTTGGTTGTCGGGGAGTATTTCCTGAGCAACATTCTATAACAGAAATATTTGAATAATGGTAATGTGAAAATGTCCCATTAATGAAGTGTTAAAACTGACAGTCACAGAGGTTAAACTGCTTGTTTATGGGGCTACAAGAACTCATATTTGATGTTTCTAAATATTCAATCATTAGATAACAGCTATCTTCCTTGTGTAATGCATTTCCTAGTTCAGAATATGCACTTTTGTATGCACTATTTTAATACACAATACAAATGCACACTTATAACATATCTATGCCAAACAGTCAAAATGCATTTATGTAGCAAGTTTTTAGAAAACAGTCACCATAGTGATTGAGCATTTGCTTGCAGGCTTTATGGAATACTCTTCCGCTAGCGCTGACAGTTCTAGACAAGGACTTCTGAATTTAGGGAGCGACAATTTGACCTTTAGGGAAGGGAGATAATTCAGTCTGGAAGAACTCACAAAATTTGGCCCAAAATGAATTGGATAAAAAACTGAAAAAATAAACACTGTGTTATGTGAAAATTATATGTTTCTCTGCGAAAAAAGAGCCCAGCCCCATAAAGGAATTACCGGTAATGGTTAGCCCTTCAGTTTTCACTGTCATTCAGATTGCCACTAACATTTCAGTGTAAGTCCCCTCGGGTATTTACTTGCAAGAGTTGGGCCAATGTCAATGATAAAATATCAGCTAGTCAGCATTTTAATAAGTTTTTAACAATATCACCCTTAGTAAGGATTGATTTTATCCTTTTAAAACTGAAGTCTTTTCATCATTGAACCCCCATCATGTAGTGTCTCAGGACTGTTTTACCCCACAGGAATGCTGGCTGTGGTCCCAAGGTGTCCTGTTTTATTGAATCATTGTGTTGACATTCCATGGTTTGAGGCAACGAGTTCGCTGTTCTGTTACCAGTTGTGAATTTACAATCCTGTGTGTATAAATGTTTACCTTTAGATATATTTCTTAAAACGTTAATACTTATTCAAACTTAACCACATTTCTACATTACTTAGAACATATCTCAGATTTCGAGAAGAGGCCTTCACTACATAATTAAAAATCTAGTTGTATTATCAATGTATTGAATGTTACAATTTATAGTACAATGCAATCATTTCATTCCCTCATACAACAGATTCCATATATTCCTAATACTTAAAGGATTTCGCTGTACTTACTCTGATTTACCCACCCTCGGATGCCATTGTCATAATTTCCAGATTTTATTGTGGGACTAACGTCCGTATTGATGTCATTATTGGCAGAGACCCTATGCTGAGGGTCTCTGTACATGGTCTCTGTTATTGGATATAGATCTGTGAGGGAGTTATGCAATACAGTATGTTGAACCTTCTGCTGCAGGCAACATCCAATGACAGCCCTCTCCTCGTGCTCTTCAAGTCAATAACCCAAGCCAAAATACAGTAATAAATATTTAAACTTTTTATATGATATAAACTTTTGTCTTTGTTATTTTGTATGGGTGTATTTTATAACATGCATGGGTAAGATGAGAATGGATGTTGAAAAATAAGTTTGAGTTGTGAGTGAGTGAGTATGTTTTAACATCTCTTTTGGAAATGTGCCCACAATAACACGGCAGGAGACACCAGATGTGGGTCTCACACTCGAACCTGACAACAAATGTCTCGTGTGACATTTTGCCTCTTGAATTAGCCTGGATGTTGACCACTTTCAAACGATCAACACTGGCCTGTCAACTGTCACCCTAGAAAGGTATACCATCATCTAGACTCCTGCCAGCAGGGCCCTGTTCCACAAAGAAATCTTAGCGCTAAGACTGCCATAAGTCTATGTTAAAGTATGGGAGTTACGATTGTCTTAGTGCTACGATCGCTTTGTGGAACGGGACTAAGGTGTGTAGACTGTGATCGGTGAGGACAACATGGACAGGCATTGCAGAATTTTGCATGTTGCTGTCTGGCCACTGGGCCCAATAAGCACTGCTCAGAGGGGTTTCCATGACAACCAGATCAAAGAGTACCAGTTGTGCATGTCATCGATCCCAATTGCGTAGATCCATACTCATGATGTCAATCACTGGATTGTGTGGTCCAGACTTGACTATTTACAGACCGCTGTCATATAGCTGGAATATTGCTGTGTGTTAAACAACAAACAAATGTACATCACATGATCAGTGGTGCTCCAATGTCAACAAGCAAGAACAGGATACTTCTATGGAATAATTTAATGTGCACTTCTGACATCCTACTTCCTGCTGAGGTATTCCAGAACCCAACGAACCACGGTCTGCACATCAACAACAAACAGTGGTAAGATGTACATTGTACTCCAGCCTAGGCTGAATAAATAAACTGCCATTTTTCAGTGACTCAAACATAAGTTTCTCTAAAAATGTTTGTAACTGTGTAAATTCATCTGTACATTCATTAGACAACCCACAGTCCAGTGTCACAGTGTTTGCTTGTTTCACACTTCTGGGTTCTATTCCATATATCCTCCAGTTAACAACCAAACAGCGCAATAATTGAAATAAAAAATAAAAACCAGCAATTATGTACGGAAACTATACAGTATTAATTGTGATGACTGGTCTGTTTTCATGGTTGGTTTTAGAAAGTAATTAATAACGACACCATCACCAGAATGACTGCGGCTATGTCATGGCGACCTGGACCAAGGTAAGAGCTGACCTCTTAGGGTGGGGCTCATTAAAATCTACTTTCAGACATCAAGGCTTCATCTATCACCACCGAGTCCCTGGTTGACTGGTTGAGTTTTGTAATACACATATTGCAAGAGTATGCCTCCCTACTTCAGCTATAATGTTTGGACCTGCAGTTTTTTGTACTGGCCCTTAAAGCTCTCAGTTTACACTGCTGTGTTTCAGACATTGTCCCCAGTAACCAATTCTTGTAGGAGGGGACTAAATGGCTTGCCTGTTGTCATACACTGATGGTGTCAGACATTGCTCCTAATATCAACCACTGGTTTGTTTATTATTTACAGCCGTGATATAAGTGGAATATTGCCTACTGCAGCATGACTGGTAAATAATTAGCAAATAAAACAAGTCATATTTAAACATGAGAAAGACTATAGTGGGCTCCTAAAACAAAACTGTGATTTTTATTATATGGCTGTTAACATGTATATTTTGCATCTAAAAAATTGTCACGCTAAAACAACTCACAAAAACAGACCAGTTGGACATCTCTACAAGAACAAGATGGTCGTCCAACACTGACCAAGCATGATAACAAACAGGACACAGACTCAACTTCCATGTGATCACAACCGCCAGAATGAGAACCAGTTACAAAGGGAGACAACTCTCGCCCTGCAAACTGAACATCTGCAAACATGAAATACATCATAAATAATGCCACATAAATATACAAAATCTCTCAGTAGCTTTACACAGTAAATACCTCAAATCATGAGCTTGCAGCTGTACATAGAATAACTTACTCTCTATCTGTCCTAAAGTCAGTATCCTATATATCTCCAGGGCTCTCATATCGGTAAACTTTTTCTAACTCGTGGATCCATTCCCATGGTTCTCACGATCTCTAACGGACCAATCAGAATGCGAGTTACAAACCAGCCTCAATGTTTGGATGGCGACATCAACAACATGGTAGCCAGTCCCATTCATTAAAATAGAATTTGCAAAAAATTCAACATTGAAAAACAGACTGAAATAAAAAAAAAGCCCTAAAAATCTTTTTGATGGACAGGATGTCTTCATGTCCATCAAAATTGGCGGTGGGTTTGGCTTCTTGGTAATATGAGTTACCTTCCTTACCCTTTCGTCGACATTTGATTGGTCAGTAAATGTTACTGAAAATCCAGGTGGTTAGTTTGAGATTGTGACAACCCCATGAATGAAACCCGGGGTTAGTGCAGGTTTTCCTAGATGCCACCCTGGAGATAGAGAGGATTTGAAATCTGAAATATCTACTTGAAGTTCGAGAAGTCTTAGTAATGAAAATCAGCTGTGTTATTACAGGCTGCAAGTTCATGTGCTCAAATACAAATTCAATGATAACACTTTCATCTTCCCCCAAGAGCAAACATTTTTTGAATGGACATTTTCTCAGGTACCTAGCTACCGATGATAATTAGTTGTTTACATTTACTGAACAAACTGCTCGAGAAAGGGAAATATCTGAATGATGGATAAATTTACAAACCAAGGACTAAACAATCCCTTCACGTATGGGCATGTAAACAATGGTTGTCATAGCAACACAGTCTCCATGGTTACAGCAGCTTTTAATACCTGAGAGTAACTTGGCAACAGAAGAGAACTGTTCCTATGGAAGATAGTACCCACTTGAGAATAAGTGCTGAGACGTGAACAGTGATCCCCAGTTGTGAATGGTTAAAAAGATCTATTACAAAATGAGTCCTACAAATTAAAAATATCAATAAGTTGGTGACATCTTATGTAATATTGACTATTGACTGCTCCTGAATTGAATGTGCACTTATTGATTGATCTGCATTATGGAGATTAAGAAAAACATGTGATCAGACACAATCAGTTGTCAGGTACAATGTCTTCTGTGAGTGTCATGTAACAGACACAGTCAGTTGTCAGGTACAATGTCTTCTGTGAGTGTCATGTAACAGACACAGTCAGTTGTCAGGTACAATGTCTTCTGTGAGTGTCATGTAACAGACACAGTCAGTTGTCAGATACAATGTCTTCTGTGAGTAACATGTGATCAGACACAATCAGTTGTCAGGTACAATGTCTTCTGTGAGTGTCATGTAACAGACACAATCAGTTGTCAGGTACAATGTCTTCTGTGAGTGTCATGTAACAGACACAGTCAGTTGTCAGGTACAATGTCTTCTGTGAGTGTCATGTAACAGACACAGTCAGTTGTCAGGTACAATGTCTTCTGTGAGTGTCATGTAACAGACACAGTCAGTTGTCAGATACAATGTCTTCTGTGAGTGTCATGTAACAGACACAGTCAGTTGTCAGGTACAATGTCTTCTGTGAGTGTCATGTAACAGACACAATCAGTTGTCAGGTACAATGTCTTCTGTGAGTGTCATGTAACAGACACAATCAGTTGTCAGGTACAATGTCTTCTGTGAGTGTCATGTAACAGACACAATCAGTTGTCAGGTACAATGTCTTCTGTGAGTGTCATGTAACAGACACAATCAGTTGTTGGTAAACATCATAGAAAACATCATAGAAATCAACTTGACTAATCATTAAGTAATGTCGTGTCATGGCTGAGTTGATTTAAATGAATGCACATCACTTGAAGACTTTGGCTGCTGACAATGCTTTCCTGATAAATAAACTGCTGTGTCTGCTGATGGAGACACTGTCAGCCCTATACCTCATACATGGGTACAGATGGGCGTGCACGTTCATTCTGGAACAAACCCAGTGCTCTGCTGACCCGTCCCCCTTTCACCAACTGTGCTACATGAGACCAGAGACAGGCATCACCTGCTGGGTCAGGGGACAATCACTCTATATTCTCTGTGGGGAGGGGCACCTGGTATTTTTTATTAAAAATAATGTGTTTCTGATAACCTTGGAAGAAATAGTCTCTCCTCAAGTTTGCTGTGAAATAATGTGTTTGAGGAAAAAGATATTCTTTGACTCCTCGTTTCAGTATGTCTTGAACAATGGCTGAAATAATATTCTGTCAAACAAAGATTTTTAAAATGTCATTTTTTCATGACCCTCCCCAAATATGTGTTTTATTTTTTGGTGTCATTTTCTGATTGGTTCGTCATGTATAACACTGGTCGACAGGGTGACGAGTCTGAGGAATGCACCCCCATAATTCACACTCTACAGGGCCCCGTTCCACGCAGCGATCATAGCTCTAAGGTGATCATAACTTCCATACTTTAAACAGACTTACGACAATCGTAGCGCTAAGATTGCTTTGTGGAATATGGGTCCCTGCTGCCTGGCCTGGTATCATCGACCAATGCCTTGTCATGGGAGATAACTCTTCCTGGCATGTGTCTATGTAATACAAGCAGGATTCACCTCGCCCTAAAAGTGCCACCATTATCTACCAGAAGCTACAACCTGCTACAACACAAACTAGTGAACCTTTTGCTGTGGGAAACGTTTCTTATTCATCACACTGTGAAGAAGTAGGCATGTCTGGCAGGCAGATGAACAGGTGCTCCATGAAACAAACAACTTAATCAAATTCATGATGAGTTAATTAACAAGTTTCAACCTTGACTAAACTTGCACGGATTCCATTATAACATTATGTCTCAGTATCCCTTGTTGCTTGGGGTTTTATGTCAATAGATCAGTGTATGTTCAAAATGTGAAGATGTTTAATTCAAGATCGGTACCTGAAAACAGCTAAATTGATTCAATGATTTCTCATTAACAGAACATACCTCATACTTGTACATTAGACATACACCAAATTGTCACATATTCATGATAAGGGCATATTCGCAACACCTTGCAGCCCTGAACATGGATAAACATCTAGTTCACTACAAAGTCATTCATACCAGAGCAATCGTGTACCCAATCACCTCAAGTATTGAACTCCAGGATAGTCAAAGTTCAAGACTATCATCACGTCTTCCTGACCAGGACCTAGTTTTTAACAAAACAGTCATGCCCTTAAAGAAGATAAGTGTCAATACGTCATTCATTCCATAGGTTCTATCACATCACCTTAAATAGTTCTTTAATGATTGTTGCCGACGAAGTCCTGAATAAAACTTGCCGTATCGGGCCTGCCACACAAGTATGACAAACCACAGTGATATGACGAACCCTAGCAGACACAGCCCTCCCACGATGAGGAGGTACAGTCTCACTTCCTCCTGGATGATACGACAGTCCTCCACCTCGAAATATTCAAACACTCGGGACTCAAAGTCAGCTGTCATGGAACACAAGCAGTTGTTGTCGGAGCGGCGACATGAGGCGTAGGTGAAGATGCGGCTGAGGTGGATGACGGGGAAGGTGGTGGCGATGATGCAGAGGAAGGTGGCCAGCACGGAGAAAAAGAGACACACAGCCTGCAACAGAACATGGAGTTTAACAGAAGAAGGAAGAGCAGCCCCAGGCAGACAAGTCAGTCCTGTTGTTAGGTGAGGTGAAATGGGGTTTAACGTCCCGTCCAAGATGAGTGCACTTACATAGCGACGTGTGTGGCTGCTTGTGTGTGTGTGTGTGTGGCTGCTTGTACTGGTCCAGACTGATGCCAATTTGATAGTGCTAGCCCACTGAGATACTATGTCGCAGTTTAACATGAATACCCCACTCAGACACAGTATACTGACAGTATACCTGACCAGTACTTGTTTTAGCCCCTTAATGCCGAGCGCTAGACAGGGTAACAACAAGTACCATCTTTTAACATGTTTTGGTGTGATGTGGCTGGTGATCGACTCCTGGACCTTCAGGTCTCTCGGCGGATGCACTGCTACTAGACCACAGAGGCGGTCTGGTCCTGTTATTAAATGAGTTGAGTGATGTATTTCAATCATATATATATGTCACCTTCATGTGAGAGAAAATTACAAAGGTTGTTGATGGTTCATTTATCGCTTTGGGAAACCCACAAGAACTGGTGCTGGGAAACCCACAAGAACTGGTGCTGGGAAACCAAACTAGTGAGACAGTGAGTTTGGTGAACCCCACTTTGAACAGTATTTCAGTTATATCACGGCGTGTCAGCTTAATGTGGGTGGAAAGCCCGAAGTGATGCAGGTCTCAGACGTTTACCACTTCAGTGACACTGGCTACGGTGCTGACAAACCTAGCAACATAATAAGAGCGAACCAGGATTCAAGCCCACAATCATAGGTTTCTACAATCATAGGTTTCTGGCGTGCCCAAGGGATGCAACTCTGCACAGAGAATTGGGCGCCTTAGACGACTAGGCCACCCGCGCCCCCCACAAAACAAATTTAAGGGACAAAACTCTTCACAGACAGTTATGGTTATATTACATTACTGAGCTAACAATGGACTCTACTCTTGATAAGTGAGTGAGTATCATTTTACGCCGCTTTCAGCAATATTCCAGCAATTTCACAGTGGTGGACACCAGAAAAGGCCCCCACATTGTACCCATAGAGAATTGAACCCAGACCTTCGGTGCACTGAGCAGTGGTTTAACCACCAGGCTAAGCTACTCCACCTCCCCTCTTGATGACCTATATAAGGCCATCACAAACTTCATAACAAGAGTCATCAGGAGTTGTCATACCCTCCGTCTGATTCAATTCAGGAATGGAGTTTGGCTACTTATACCCCACTTTTGATTCATTGCCACTGGATACATTCAGTTCAGTGAAGAAAATATTAATGCTGTTCAGTATTTTTCAAAATCATCAAAAGGCTGATCTGTAATAGCAAATTTCATCCAGAAATATTCAACGTTTTTGGACTTCTGCTCTGGAAACAGGCACTACTCTTATCTTCAGTATAAGTCTAACTTGCCATCATGAAGGAAAAAAATAAAAATCCCAAATCATGAAAAGGCACCAGTGCACAATGAGACTGATCTACATAGCAAGTTTCCACAAGAAATATTTAAATGTTTTGGAGCCTGCTCCGGAAATGGAAAACAACTTGTTTTCATCATGAAAAATCATGAAAAGAAAACAAAAGAAAACAAAGAACAATCCCAAAGCATCAACAGGGACCAATTTCCATCTCGACTGATCTACGTAGCAAGTTTCAACAAGAAATATTTAACAGTTTTGAAGTTCTGCTCTGGAATTGGAAAACGGATGGCTGACGGATGGACGGACATGCTGATCATAATATCCTCCTCCCCCTTTTCAAACTGGGGGCATAATTATATATCACAAAATATCGCACACAATTAACTATAATTATATGATATGATATCTCTACTTTACTGCTGATATTTCTATACTCGTGTAGGTAGGGTATCCCTCTGACAGGCAGGGGGGGACGGGGGACCCAGTCGTCTAAGGAGCATTAATTCACTGTGCATGTGGGTTTGAATCCCGGTTTTTCCCTGATTATGTTTCTAGGTTTGTCAGCACCATACCCGTGCTTGTGAGTTTCACCAAAGTGGTAAACGTCTGAGACCTGCATCACTTTGGGCTTTCCTCCCACCTTAAGCTGACATGCCGCTATCCTGGAATACTGTTAAAAGTGGTGTTAACCCCAACTCACTCACTCACTCTGAGAGTCAGCCCACAAAACACCCCAACACCTACCTTGGTGACAAATGCTTTCCTCGTCCCTGAGAATGATGTGAAGTTTGTGGCACAGTAGTATATCCCTGACACTCCCGCAATGCACAGCTGTAACAGAATAGCACAATGTGTCAGAGAAGGTGAATAGCTGTAACAATGTGTCAGGGATGGTAAATAGCTGTAACAATGTGTCAGAGATGGTGAATAGCTGTAACAATGTGTCAGAGATGGTGAATAGCTGTAACAATGTGTCAGAGATGGTAAATAGCTGTAACAATGTGTCAGGGATGGTAAATAGCTGTCACAATGTGTCAGAGATGGTAAATAGCTGTAACAATGTGTCAGAGATGGTAAATAGCTGTCACAATGTGTCAGAGATGGTGAATAGCTGTAACAATGTGTCAGAGATGGTGAATAGCTGTAACAATGTGTCAGAGATGGTAAATAGCTGTCACAATGTGTCAGAGATGGTGAATAGCTGTAACAATGTGTCAGAGATGGTGAATAGCTGTAACAATGTGTCAGAGATGGTAAATAGCTGTAACAATGTGTCAGAGATGGTAAATAGCTGTAACAATGTGTCAGGGATGGTAAATAGCTGTCACAATGTGTCAGAGATGGTAAATAGCTGTAACAATGTGTCAGAGATGGTAAATAGCTGTAACAGTAAACTCCTTCAAACCTTGGTTAATATATGTACCGGTTGTGGATGAAAGTCTTCCACAGTTTTCAAGTTGTGCTCTGGAAATGACACCTACCCTCCACTTTTGAGGCTAAGTTCAAAGTGTTTCCATGGAAATCGAGAAAAATAAAAATGCAAAAAGTCCTAAAATAGCAAAAGACACCACCTCAGGTCAGGATCTGTTTGACATATTTGCCAAGTTTTGTTGAAATATTGAACGGTTTTCGAGTTATGCTCCAGAAACGAAATGATTACAGAGGGACGGATAGAAAGACGATGCGTCGACTATATCCCACCACATCAGGGGGACAAACAAAAACACAATGTACTTCTGAATAGATGTAACTGTATATAACATAACTGATAGTCTGAAGTCAACGAACAGCTGAATAGATGTAACTGTATATAACATAACTGATAGTCTGAAGTCAACAAACAGCTGAATAGATGTAACTGTATATAACATAACTGATAGTCTGAAGTCAACAAACAGCTGAATAGATGTAACTGTATATAACATAACTGATAGTCTGAAGTCAACGAACAGCTGAATAGATGTAACTGTATATAACATAACTGATAGTCTGAAGTCAACGAACAGCTGAATAGATGTAACTGTATATAACATAACTGATAGTCTGAAGTCAACGAACAGCTGAATAGATGTAACTGTATATAACATAACTGATAGTCTGAAGTCAACGAACAGCTGAATAGATGTAACTGTATATAACATAACTGATAGTCTGAAGTCAACAAACAGCTGAATAGATGTAACTGTATATAACATAACTGATAGTCTGAAGTCAACGAACAGCTGAATAGATGTAACTGTATATTACATAACTGATAGTCTGAAGTCAACGAACAGCTGAATAGATGTAACTGTATATAACATAACTGATAGTCTGAAGTCAACAAACAGCTGAATAGATGTAACTGTATATAACATAACTGATAGTCTGAAGTCAACGAACAGCTGAATAGATGTAACTGTATATAACATAACTGATAGTCTGAAGTCAACGAACAGCTGAATAGATGTAACTGTATATAACATAACTGATAGTCTGAAGTCAACGAACAGCTGAATAGATGTAACTGTTTATAACATAACTGATAGTCTGATGTCAACAAACAGCTGAATAGATGTAACCGTATATAACATAACTGATAGTCTGAAGTCAACGAACAGCTGAATAGATGTAACCGTATATAACATAACTGATAGTCTGAAGTCAACGAACAGCTGAATAGATGTAACTGTTTATAACATAACTGATAGTCTGATGTCAACAAACAGCTGAATAGATGTAACTGTATATAACATAACTGATAGTCTGAAGTCAACAAACAGCTGAATAGATGTAACCGTATATAACATAACTGATAGTCTGATGTCAACAAACAGCTGAATAGATGTAACCGTATATAACATAACTGATAGTCTGATGTCAACAAACAGCTGAATAGATGTAACTGTATATAACATAACTAATATTCTGAAGTCAACAAAGAGCTGAATAGATGTAACCGTATATAACATAACTGATAGTCTGATGTCAACAAACAGCTGAATAGATGTAACCGTATATAACATAACTGATAGTCTGATGTCAACAAACAGCTGAATAGATGTAACCGTATATAACATAACTAATATTCTGAAGTCAACAAACAGCTGAATAGATGTAACCGTATATAACATAACTGATAGTCTGATGTCAACAAACAGCTGAATAGATGTAACCGTATATAACAGAACTGATAGTCTGATGTCAACAAACAGCTGAATAGATGTAACCGTATATAACATAACTGATAGTCTGATGTCAACAAACAGCTGAATAGATGTAACCGTATATAACATAACTGATAGTCTGAAGTCAACAAACAGCTGAATAGATGTAACTGTATATAACATAACTGATAGTCTGAAGTCAACAAACAGCTGAATAGATGTAACCGTATATAACATAACTGATAGTCTGATGTCAACAAACAGCTGAATAGATGTAACCATATATAACATAACTGATAGTCTGATGTCAACAAACAGCTGAATAGATGTAACCGTATATAACATAACTGATAGTCTGATGTCAACAAACAGCTGAATAGATGTAACCGTATATAACATAACTGATAGTCTGATGTCAACAAACAGCTGAATAGATGTAACCGTATATAACATAACTGATAGTCTGATGTCAACAAACAGCTGAATAGATGTAACCGTATATAACATAACTGATAGTCTGATGTCAACAAACAGCTGAATAGATGTAACCGTATATAACATAACTGATAGTCTGATGTCAACAAACAGCTGAATAGATGTAACCGTATATAACATAACTGATAGTCTGATGTCAACAAACAGCTGAATAGATGTAACCGTATATAACATAACTGATAGTCTGATGTCAACAAACAGCTGAATAGATGTAACCGTATATAACATAACTGATAGTCTGATGTCAACAAACAGCTGAATAGATGTAACCGTATATAACATAACTGATAGTCTGATGTCAACAAACAGCTGAATAGATGTAACTGTATATAACATAACTGATAGTCTGAAGTCAACAAACAGCTGAATAGATGTAACCCTATATAACATAACTGATAGTCTGATGTCAACAAACAGCTGAATAGATGTAACCGTATATAACATAACTGATAGTCTGATGTCAACAAACAGCTGAATAGATGTAACCGTATATAACATAACTGATAGTCTGATGTCAACAAACAGCTGAATAGATGTAACTGTATATAACATAACTGATAGTCTGATGTCAACAAACAGCTGAATAGATGTAACCGTATATAACATAACTGATAGTCTGATGTCAACAAACAGCTGAATAGATGTAACCGTATATAACATAACTGATAGTCTGAAGTCAACAAACAGCTGAATAGATGTAACCGTATATAACATAACTGATAGTCTGATGTCAACAAACAGCTGAATAGATGTAACCGTATATAACATAACTGATAGTCTGATGTCAACAAACAGCTGAATAGATGTAACTGTATATAACATAACTGATAGTCTGAAGTCAACAAACAGCTGAATAGATGTAACTGTATATAACATAACTGATAGTCTGAAGTCAACAAACAGCTGAATAGATGTAACTGTATATAACATAACTGATAGTCTGATGTCAACAAACAGCTGAATAGATGTAACTGTATATAACATAACTGATAGTCTGAAGTCAACGAACAGCTGAATAGATGTAACTGTATATAACATAACTGATAGTCTGAAGTCAACGAACAGCTGAATAGATGTAACTGTATATAACATAACTGATAGTCTGAAGTCAACGAACAGCTGAATAGATGTAACTGTATATAACATAACTAATATTCTGAAGTCAACGAACAGCTGAATAGATGTAACTGTATATTACATAACTGATAGTCTGAAGTCAACGAACAGCTGAATAGATGTAACTGTATATAACATAACTGATAGTCTGAAGTCAACGAACAGCTGAATAGATGTAACTGTATATAACATAACTGATAGTCTGAAGTCAAAGAACAGCTGAATAGATGTAACTGTATATAACATAACTAATATTCTGAAGTCAACCAACAGCTGAATAGATGTAACTGTATATAACATAACTGATAGTCTGAAGTCAACGAACAGCTGAATAGATGTAACCGTATATATAATAACTCATAGTCTGAAGTCAACGATGCATTATTGTGACAGGATCCATGGTAGTCATGGCAACAGTGAAGTTAAACAATTCTTGAATTCCATGCACCTGTTTGGTTGAACTTTTTTGTTTTGTTTCTGGAAAGTTTAGATGAAATTGGAATAACATAGTCTTCTTCCACAAAACACGGAATCTCCCTCCACAAAACATGTAGTTTCCCTCAACAAAACAGTCTGCTCCACAAAACACGGAATCTCCCTCCACAAAGCGTGGAGTTTCCCTCAACAAAACAGTCTGCTCCACAAAACATAGTGTCTCCCTCCACAAAATGTGTAGTTTCCATCAGCAAAACATTCTGCTCCACAAAACATAGTGTCTCCCTCCACAAAATGTGTAGTTTCCATCAGCAAAACATTCTGCTCCACAAAACACGGAATCTCCCTCTACAAAACATGGAGCTTCCCTCAACAAAACATTCTGCTCCACAAAACAGTGCCTCCCTCTCAACAAATCACAGGCTCCCTGACTACTGCCATTGAACAGTTATTACACATGCTATTGGATAATGGACTTCACTCTCTATATTTCAATATGTGTATGTAATATTGTGTACAAAACCAAATGTTTAAAATGAATTAACATGACATTATAAAATGACTAGGAAATATATACTTTCAGGTGTATAGAGTTCCTATCTGTCTATGACAGGATAATGATTCCTTGCTATAACTGATCCCCTGCCTGCTTTCGGAGCACCCTGTACCCTGCCTAAGTATTTACACCAGACCTCATCAGGAAATTATACAGACATACAGGCATACATCACAAATTTCAACTCTTTAAGCTGTTTAGAGTAGAGCGTTGAGAATAGAAATTTCATACTATAATTAACACAAATGTTTTAAAAACTAGTAACTGATTCCGTTATGTTTAGGAGTATTCTGACATTCAGTGCAAACTGGATGACCTAGCAGCGGAACTGGTTAATTCACCTTCATCTTCGACTCACTTGAACCTCTCCACAGCGGGCTGCATTGTCAGATGATTTTCAAACAGTCTTACGTTCATTTTCAAATCCCTGGACTTCCTAATCATGTACACGGGGAAAAGTAATGACCTGTTGCCATGGCTACCTGTTTATTTAACAACAATTAGGTACTTGTCAGACAATGTGGACGAGGATGACATCTGCATGTGCAGGTAGTCAGGTAGATGATGTCGGTGAACCGAGTGAATATTTACAGGTTATTATATGGCTGTTTCTATATCATACCCCATATCAACCCGAGACCCCCATATCAGCCCGAGACCCCCATATCAGCCCGAGACCCCCATATCAGCCCGAGACCCCCATATCAGCAAGAGAAGGCAAAACATTTTCACCTTGTTTGGAAATCGTTGTCATGGGAAAGCTAGCTTAGCAGTTTACGCACTAAAGGACGTAACTCTAATTTCTTAGCACCCAGGCTGGTATCGATCGCCCATTCAAATGCATTGACATGTCAGACCGACAGGGATGTAAAACAGGTCTGGTTATTACACCCCGGGTGATGTGACCGTCTACAATATACCTCATATCATTGATAGGTACCCGGTAAATGATAAAGGTTGTTAAACCAGCTTGGCATGTAGGACAGTGGTGGACAGCAGGACATGGACGTCCCAGAGGCTCAATTCTGTATCTCTACCCTTCTGTATGTCCGTAAACTACCTTGTGTGAATGGTGTTTAACACTGAACCCGTGAAGATCCGGAGTAGAACAGGTCTTCAGCAACCCATGCTTGCCGTAAAAGGCAACTATGCTTTGTCGTAAGAGGCGACTAACGGGATGGGATGGTCAGACTCGCTGACTTGGTTGATGCATGTCATCGTATCCCTATAGCGTAGATCGATGTTCATGATGTCAATCACTGGATTGTCTGGTCCAGACTTGATTATATACAGACTGCAGTCATATAGCTGGAATATTGCTGAGTGCAGCCATAAACAACAAATAAACAAACAAATCAATATCAGTATTGAAAACTCATCAATGCATTCAAGAGTATTATTTTGCCAGTGAATGAGTGAGTGAATTGGATTTTATGAAACTTCAACCAGTATTTCAGTTACATCACTGCCTGGGAGAAACACTAGCATGTGGGCCAGGGATTTATACCAACTGCCACAATATGTATATTAAGTATTAGGGCTGGGACGAGTCCCCATTTACTACCCAGGTGCCCACCCCCTTATTACCCAACCCTACCCTGGTACCCACTGCAGTAGGTCTCAAGAGATAGGTGCAAGATGTCTGATTGGGAATAGTTTGACCGTAGCCCTGGACAAAATGTATTAAGATACACATATAAAACGATCTGGTCATGCATACACGGAAGTTGACTGAAGTTTTATCTTTATTCAAACATGAACGTCAGAAGAACGGGTGCATGGTCAGAAAGATGCGAACATCAGTGACTTGTAGTGTAACCATATACATTTGTAGATCATTTTTCTCATTAAACAATATATCACATGACTAACCAAGGGTCCGGGTAGTCCTGTGGGTAGCCGGGTCCTTCTCAGGACCCACCCGACCTGTGTACCCGACTTACCGGTACCAGCCCTATTAAGTATGTAAGGCTTACTGAAACAGGCCATACAAAGGCTCATATTTCCCAAACAGACTATACTATTTTTGTACATCAATAACTTCTGTCATGAGTTGAGTATTCATTCCTCAACATCTTGGTAATAATAACAGTAATTGGCAAAAAAAGAAAATGTCAGCAATGTAATAAATTCAGTCATTTAAAACTGAACATATCTCCAGGTTACCGGCAACCCTGAAAGCCGCTATCCTGTCTGTGCCTGTTAGAAAATCAAACGTTTTTTCAAGATAACATCACATAAATAAGTACACGTTGCCTGATAACCCAGTTCTGAAATAGCTTTTTTAAAATTGTGTTACCAGGAAACGAACACAGTCTCAAATTAACCGCACTTGGAACAGGAAGTGACTTTTAAAGAAGAAATCAACAGTAGTATCTACAGTAGCAATTTCCTCTTTTTCAATCTTGTGCAAAACAATACAAGTGTAAGAACGGACACTGCAGGTCATAAACTACCAGATTATCTGCCATGGCCACCTCACGACACACGCCCAACGCAAATTTAAATTTTTAAAAATTCTGAAAAAAAATACTTGGATTTTTTTTTTAAATTGGATAAATGTATTGATTAATTTGATTGAGATCTTGTCTCCTGTTTTAACATGAAGCTGGCCATTTCCTCAATTTCGATTTCTACGTAAAGTAAGAAGTGCCTCCATAAATTATTTTAACAACTAACTGTTTGGTTGGCATTCTAGAAGTTGGTGAGTAAATAAGAAAACACAGCGTTATGGATAACAGCTTGTGGTTTATTGGCTATAAGCTTGGTAACGGTGTAAGGATCTGCATCGAAATGTCACTATATGCAATAAACCAGGAGTTATGATCCATGGAGTGGTATGTTTTCCTATTTTCACAACTGTTTTATTCAGCATGTAACAAATATGTAAGAAAAGAAAATAGTTCCCAGCAAAAACACATGACTTTTCTTGATCATTTGTTGGAACATATTCTTACATGTAAAATCACAAAGTACAAACAGTATGATTACTACAAAATATGGCTGCCTGCCTATATTTCCAATCTACAGGTTAAATTCGAGTTTAACTTGTGAGAATCTTGAGACACTGCTTGTGTGATCAGGAGATTAACAATAGGCTGTTTATATTTCACATATTTCCACACCACTCAGGGGCATGCTCAAAGCGCTATTATTACCCTGTTCACTGGATCAGTGTGCACTCAAGAATCATTCTCAGCTCCCTGGGGAGTATACAACCTAAGGGGCCAGTTAGGCCCTAGAAGGTTAACAATTACATTGCCATTTCATCCTACCGGGTACCAATTCACTGCTGGGTGAACATAAACACATTTTGAACAAAGTCACTGTGTTACATGTGTTTCAGTGTGGGACAGGACCGAAGCCCTGGAACCTCAGCAGCAAAGCTGCCGAAATGTGGCTGCCCATCCAAGGGCTCTCTGCGACTGACGCTGCCTAACTTCTCCTGATCTGTGACCTGTGCACAAGTCCACATGCCGCCACTGGTCCTGACTGAATGATTAACTGTTAAACTGAAATACTTGACATTGGCGTCTTGACTTGGAAACACTTGCTTGGACTGCCAGCTGACACAAGGCTACTCCCCACTGAAGTGACCCCTGTAAGGCAACTTATATACTGCGTGTAACACGTACTGTATGTTGACAGTGGCAGGTACATTGTGAGAGGACCGTATGTTGACCGTGGCAGGTACATTGTGAGAGGATCGTATGTTGACAGTGGCAGGTACATTGTGAGAGGACCGTATGTTGACAGTAGCAGGTACATTGTGAGGGGATCGTATGTTGACAGTGGCAGGTACATTGTGAGAGGAGGCATCACCTGCTACTGTAGGATGACTGTATATCTATAACAACACCCAGTCAGTGTATCCCACTTCAGTGAGTGGTGTATAAATATGTTATACATCATCAGCCTCATAAAACATTGATAACTCTTCCATCATATCAAGCAGTGAGAATTGATATTCTAATCTTGTTTTAGTGGGCGAGCCACAACACCAGTGTATAGGGTTACCTCCCCTGGGGGCCCCTGGTGTTGACTCTGTGTATACCTAACAGACATATTCCCCCCCCCCCCCGGCTTCCCACAGCGACATCGTGTTTAATATGATCATAATCCGCAACCACCTGGCAGCAAACAAAAATCATCACAGGCTGAAGATTCATGCTCTGACATGAAGGCTCCTACAACATCTAATGATCGGTCGGTGAAGGTGCAAGTCACACTGTATTTGTACAAAGTCCAGAAATATTCCATGGTGATTAAGAGTGACTTAGTGAGTGAATTGTGTTTATTGCCAATGGGGTTGTGTCTCATCACTGGTTGTGTTTGGGGAGCTTGAGGCCCAGGTACTGAGGCTGCAGGTTCGGATGTAGCTAGTGCTAATGGTTCTTGTCCGGGGTTAAAGCGTGCTGTTCCACACACTGATCACATTCTCAGGGCACCTGCTGCACTTTGCTCTCTGTTCTGTGGGTGTAAACACACCTTGAGTTGCTGTGTGCCACGCCCACCAACCCTGTATCAACCTTTACTCATGCCCCCATGGCTTTTTTCATGTTTGTGAAACAGTTCTGATCCCTATTTTCCACATCATGAACAAGTTTCATGTATTGTTTCTTCTTTACTACATCATGGTGCCTACAGCCAACAGTACTACAGCCAACAGTACTACAGCCAACAGTAGTACAGCCAACAGTACTACAGCCAACAGTAGTACAGCCAACAGTAGTACAGCCAACAGTACTACAGCCAACAGTAGTACAGCCAACAGTAGTACAGCCAACAGTACTACAGCCAACAGTAGTACAGCCAACAGTACTACAGCCAACAGTAGTACAGCCAACAGTAGTACAGCCAACAGTACTACAGCCAACAGTAGTACAGCCAACAGTAGTACAGCCAACAGTACTACAGCCAACAGTAGTACAGCCAACAGTACTACAGCCAACAGTAGTACAGCCAACAGTAGTACAGCCAACAGTAGTACAGCCAACAGTAGTACAGCCAACAGTACTACAGCCAACAGTAGTACAGCCAACAGTAGTACAGCCAACAGTAGTACAGCCAACAGTAGTACAGCCAACAGTACTACAGCCAACAGTAGTACAGCCAACAGTAGTACAGCCAACAGTACTACAGCCAACAGTAGTACAGCCAACAGTAGTACAGCCAACAGTAGTACAGCCAACAGTACTACAGCCAACAGTAGTACAGCCAACAGTAGTACAGCCAACAGTAGTACAGCCAACAGTAGTACAGCCAACAGTACTACAGCCAACAGTAGTACAGCCAACAGTAGTACAGCCAACAGTACTACAGCCAACAGTAGTACAGCCAACAGTACTACAGCCAACAGTAGTACAGCCAACAGTAGTACAGCCAACAGTAGTACAGCCAACAGTAGTACAGCCAACAGTACTACAGCCAACAGTAGTACAGCCAACAGTAGTACAGCCAACAGTACTACAGCCAACAGTACTACAGCCAACAGTAGTACAGCCAACAGTACTACAGCCAACAGTAGTACAGCCAACAGTACTACAGCCAACAGTAGTACAGCCAACAGTAGTACAGCCAACAGTACTACAGCCAACAGTAGTACAGCCAACAGTAGTACAGCCAACAGTACTACAGCCAACAGTAGTACAGCCAACAGTAGTACAGCCAACAGTACTACAGCCAACAGTAGTACAGCCAACAGTAGTACAGCCAACAGTACTACAGCCAACAGTAGTACAGCCAACAGTACTACAGCCAACAGTAGTACAGCCAACAGTAGTACAGCCAACAGTAGTACAGCCAACAGAGGCAGGTAATTATCACACAGTCAGTGTATCTGCAACGTACAAGGAGGCAGGTAATTATCACACAGTCGGTGTATCTGCCCTGTACAAGGAAGCAGGTAATTATCACACAGTCAGTGTATCTGCACTGTACAAGGAGGCAGGTAATTATCACACAGTCGGTGTATCTGCCTTGTACAAGGAGACAGGTAATTATCACACAGTCGGTGTATCTGCCCTGTACAAGGAGACAGGTAATTATCACACAGTCAGTGTATCTGCACTGTACAAGGAGACAGGTAATTATCACACAGTCAGTGTATCTGCCTTGTACAAGGAGACAGGTAATTATCACACAGTCGGTGTATCTGCACTGTACAAGGAAGCAGGTAATTATCACACAGTCGGTGTATCTGCCCTGTACAAGGAAGCAGGTAATTATCACACAGTCAGTGTATCTGCACTGTACAAGGAAGCAGGTAATTATCACACAGTCAGTGTATCTGCAACGTACAAGGAGGCAGGTAATTATCACACAATCCGTGTATCTGCACTGTACAAGGAAGCAGGTAATTATCACACAGTCAGTGTATCTGCACTGTACAAGGAGACAGGTAATTATCACACAGTCGGTGTATCTGCACTGTACAAGGAGACAGGTAATTATCACAGAGTCGGTGTATCTGCCCTGTACAAGGAAGCAGGTAATTATCACACAGTCAGTGTATCTGCACTGTACAAGGAGGCAGGTAATTATCACACAGTCGGTGTATCTGCCTTGTACAAGGAGACAGGTAATTATCACACAGTCAGTGTATCTGCCCTGTACAAGGAAGCAGGTAATTATCACACAGTCAGTGTATCTGCACTGTACAAGGAAGCAGGTAATTATCACACAGTCAGTGTATCTGCACTGTACAAGGAGGCAGGTAATTATTACACAGTCGGTGTATCTGCCTTGTACAAGGATACAGGTAATTATCACACAGTCGGTGTATCTGCCCTGTACAAGGAAGCAGGTAATTATCACACAGTCAGTGTATCTGCACTGTACAAGGAAGCAGGTAATTATCACACAGTCAGTGTATCTGCACTGTACAAGGAGGCAGGTAATTATCACACAGTCGGTGTATCTGCACTGTACAAGGAAGCAGGTAATTATCACACAGTCAGTGTATCTGCCCTGTACAAGGAAGCAGGTAATTATCACACAGTCAGTGTATCTGCACTGTACAAGGAAGCAGGTAATTATCACACAGTCAGTGTATCTGCACTGTACAAGGAAGCAGGTAATTATCACACAGTCGGTGTATCTGCCTTGTACAAGGATACAGGTAATTATCACACAGTCGGTGTATCTGCCCTGTACAAGGAAGCAGGTAATTATCACACAGTCAGTGTATCTGCACTGTACAAGGAAGCAGGTAATTATCACACAGTCAGTGTATCTGCACTGTACAAGGAGGCAGGTAATTATCACACAGTCGGTGTATCTGCCCTGTACACGGAAACAGACTGCACCAGCCCAACTCGCAACTACACCTGTAATTCATCTCACCAGCAATGAAGAATCCCACATTAATCGGTGTTTAATTGCTGGGAACATCAGCAGTGGAGGCTGAGACTGGATGTGGAGGAATTAAAGCAGATTAAACAGATCCAGGACCTATCCGTGATGATTGCTTCCTTGTGGAGGAAATACACTGCTAAATAGCTTGTACTCTTGACTGTGGAGTTCATGATGGATTCCACACCGCCATCAGTCAGACGTGGATACGATGTTCATTCCAAGTCTGGAATGACTTCACACACTCCAGCCCTGTAACGATGGGGGCCTTCATTTCACAGTCCAGCATTCCAGCTTTCCTGAAGTAATTTCACTAATGGAGCAAAACTAATAACAAGAGCTAAACAGCTCACAAGGTGTTAGTTAATAAGGGTAGACGGATGTATTGGGTACACAGACAAAAAGGCAAGTTAGAACCTACTTGGTCCTGATACATAATAAGTGAGTGAGTGAGTGAGTGTTTTGGTGGGTGGGTTTTGGTTTTGGGAGAGTGATAGTGAGGTAGGTAGAGTGAGTTAGGGAGGGAGAGTGGTGTGTGGGTTGGTTTGGGTGAGTGGGTGTGAGAGTGAGTGAGTGAGGGAGGTAGAGTGAGTGAGGGAGGGAGAGTGGTGTGTGGATGGGTTTGGGTGAGTGAGGGAGGTAGAGTGAGTGAGGGAGGGAGAGTGGTGTGTGGATGGGTTTGGGTGAGTGAGGGAGGTAGAGTGAGTGAGGGAGGGTGGTGTGTGGATGGGTTTGGGTGAGTGAGGGAGGTAGAGTGAGTGAGGGAGGGAGGTAGAGTGAGTGAGGGAGGGAGGGTGGTGTGTGGATGGGTTTGGGTGAGTGAGGGAGGTAGAGTGAGTGAGGGAGGGAGGGAGGGTGAGTGAGGGAGGGAGGTAGAGTGAGTGAGGGAGGGAGGTAGAGTGAGTGAGGGAGGGAGGGTGGTGTGTGGATGGGTTTGGGTGAGTGAGGGAGGTAGAGTGAGTGAGGGAGGGAGGGAGGGTGAGTGAGGGAGGTAGAGTGAGTGAGGGAGGGTGAGTGAGTGAGGGAGGGTGGTGTGTGGGTGGGTTTGGGTGAGTGAGGGAGGTAGAGTGAGTGAGGGAGGGAGGGTGGTGTGTGGATGGGTGGGTGGGAGAGTGAGTGAGTGAGGGAGGGTGGGTGGTGTGTGGGTGGGTTTGGGTGGGTGGGTGGGTGGGAGAGTGAGTGAGGGAGGGAGAGTGGTGTCTGGGTGGGTGGGTGGGAGAGTGAGTGAGGGAGGGTGGTGTGTGGGTGGGTTTGGGTGAGTGAGGGAGGTAGAGTGAGTGAGGGAGGGAGGGTGGTGTGTGGATGGGTGGGTGGGAGAGTGAGTGAGGGAGGGAGAGTGGTGTCTGGGTGGGTGGGTGGGAGAGTGAGTGAGGGAGGGAGGGTGGTGTGTGGGTGGGTTTGGGTGGGTTTGGGTGAGTGGGTGGGAGAGTGAGTGAGGAAGTAAGGGAGGGAGTGGGTGGTTATATCAATGACGAGGACCCTGATTGATCTGCTACCTGTACAGTGATCGATTGGGCCAAAGGTAGACTGTGGACAAAAGTTAAATATTTACATTTCTATTTACTTTTATATCGTTTCTAGTTATTTTATTTGTGTTTAAAGTTCAACCATTCCTCTGATATGCAACTAACTACAGAGTGATTCATTCATCATGCAGCCATACATAAAATTCCAATCAGCTACCGATTGTGATTAGTGATTGATTAAGTATAACAAACCAACCACGACAAACAATCCATCATAAGATCCAATGGCCAAATCACGACAAACAGATTCGACCTCTGATCCATATAGCCATGCTGTTGAACTAACCATTGATAATTCTTGTGACATCACTTTATTGTTTTAACCATGTACCGGGGTATTATAGGTATTATTTCCCACTAACAATTCAAGCTAGATAGCTGAAACCCCCATCAACATGTACTCTTCACATCTCCGAGTGACTCATTTGATCCTGGCCGCATCATACAGATGTTAGAGTGTAGTACTTGTTACCTGGCTGGAGCTCGGCATTAAGTGGCTAAAACAAGGACTGGTTGGCTCAGTGTCAGGATACTGTGTCTGAGTGGGGTATGCATATTACACTGCAGCATGGTTTCTTTGTAAGCTTACACTAGAAAATGGGGCGGTCGGGTAGCCTAGTGGTTAAAGCGTTTGCTCGTCATGACAAAGACCCGGGTTCAATTCCCGACATGGGTACAATGTGTGAAGCCCATTTCTGGTGTCCCCCGCCGTGATATTGCTGGAATATTTCTTAAAGCAGGGTAAACCATACACACTCACTCACTCACTCACTCACTCCGATTTTACAACTTGTGCTTGAGTCACAGGATACACATACAATACAACAAAACATAACTACTAGAATAACACTATATTTGTCAGATGGTACTGAATTACTCTTTCTCCGCCCTTATCAGTGTAACGTGTGTGAATCTGTGTGCGCCTCAACACATGCAGTCTGGACACCTCACCACCAGCATGGGGAACATCCCCCACACCAGACTTGCCCGGATCAGATCTTTACGAGCTGTCAACGAGATCTGCCCCTGGTGGCAGTGCAAGGAACTACTTGTTGAACATGGCTAGGAGCCCTCACCACCAATTACAGGAATTATCAGCTAATTTGAGAAGTTTGCGGCCTAATGGTAGACTACAGATACATGAATTATCAGCTAATTTGAGAAGTTTACGGCCTAATGGTAGACTACAGATACATGCCAACACCTTGTAGTCTGTCAAAACCATCACAGATAATACCTACAGTTGGGCAGCCTTGCTCCAAGGCTGTACTGAAAGATAAGTCCATGGATGTGTAGTAATTCTATCCTCCTAATAGGCAAGTCTAGATATGTGGACAGTGACTCCAGTCTCTTATAGGGACAACTTGTTCTTATTATTGACCTAATCTAGAAATGATGATCAAAACTAGTAAATATTGCCTCAGAGACATGTGCAAGTCTAACTGGGCTACTGACTGTGATCAGCACCTTGTGCTGTCTGACTTCTGTCGCTGATATCCTCACACACAATGTGCAGGCAGGAAAAAGTAACTCAGATGGACATCATGAAATAATTATTACATTTTCATCCTGCTTGTTTTCATAAATGAGACAAGAGGCATTTTCATAAATATCTTGTCATTCCAGAACAAGCCCAACCTTGCTAGAGTGAGTGAGTGAGTAGCGTTTTTACACCGCTTTTAGCAATATTCCGTCAATATCACAGCTGGGGACACCAGAAATGCGCTTCACACATTGAACCCATGTGGGGAATCAAGCCTTGGTCTTCGACGTGACGAGTGATTGCTTTAACCACTAGGCTACCCAACTGCCCAGGAAATGTATGAAAAAAAAAAATTCTTTTTGTAAGAATAAACATTTTAATACATTTTTTATTGATATATCACAGTGGTGATAAAATGTTTGTTTTACAATTAAGTGAAATAGGAAAAAAACACAAC